TATGAAATATGTATATTTTGCGTCACTCTATATGAACCGTTGAGAAACAAAGATACCCTCAGAAAAGTTGAGAAAAAATCTTCAACTTAAACTGGAATGTAAATCAAATGTCAACATTTAAGAGTTGAGAATTAGAGAAACAAACTGTTAAGTTTGAACTTAAGTTATGATGCAGTTTGTTATGAAATGTTTCACTGTTGCTCACTACTTTCAAACATCTGTTGGTTGCCCGAAATGCCAATTTTCTCACTATTCAGTAGGTGTCACAAGGCAAGTTTATATGGAACTCTCGGAGACTCGGTATAGAGCACTCAAACAATGAAAAAAGTCCAGATCGTGATTTGTATGATAAGGAATGCGATTTTTTTCATTCTGATTTCACCAGGTGATACAGACAATTGAGTAGTATTTGAGAATTGAAGAAAAAAAAATTAATTTCACCATTCACATGGGCGGCTTGTCGATTTACAAATACTACTCAATTTTCTGTATCATCTGGTGAAATCAGAATGAAAAAAATCACATTCCTTATCATCCAAATATATTATAAAATATTCATAAATTTTTTTCTATTAAAATTCATATTCATATTTGAAATTCAATTGAATGAACCGCTGTTAGATAAATTATCCGAAATTAAACACAAATATTTCACACACATACTTCCTACTGTGTTTGATACTTCACAATGAATTTGTTTGGAGTAAAAAAAAATAATCACAATATTGTGAATCGTAGGTAAAAATGGTAAACTTTCGGATCTTTCAATCTGAAAAGAGAATGAATTAAAAGAATTTCGGTATCGCCCCTTTTATACATTTTATAAAAAAATGTTATAAAGAGAGCGTTTCTTTATTATCGAGTGTTAATTGTTATCTGGAAGATATTTTGTCCCATCTTGCTTTATTGTCAACTTGCAATTAACATGTGCCCATAAAATTTTATTGGATACAAGACAACATTGTAGACAGTTCGGCTATACGTTCTCTGTCCAACCATTAACTATACTTATGTTTCTAAATATTCATACGCATATCTCATATAGCATTAGATAAGCAATGCAATCATCATCGCGCTTCATTGATATGATTTGACGCGTGGTTGCTCGCCTATATAGCCAATAGGTAGGAACTTGTTCCGATTTAAGTTAGTCTGTATTTTCCATCCAACGACTCGATGAGGAGAAATAAAATAAGTAAATAAAATATAACAATAAACTCTCTCTCTTCTTTTATAAATTTTCAATTTTTAAATTGTTTGCATATATTCGCCACAATACATTTTGTAATTGGCAAATAGGCTGTTAAATGTACAATATAACCATTTTATTCCTCGAACACACTTTGAATTTTGTATCAGAATAAGAAGTTCTTTTCATTTACTCATTTCCATTTGATTAACTGATACAGATACAGAACTGATGTTCAACAACAACAATAATTCATGGGTTATCCATCAAACTAGAAAACTAGAAACAGTAGTAAAAACTCGCTTAAACTAGCACACAACGAAGCCAACTTCACACTAATATGGGTACAAATTGTACGTAAAACTACCAAGAGAACCAACTTCACGCACTAGAAAAATAGTTTTATGGTCGTCCCCATGATATTATCATTGAAAAATTTATAAAACTAAACATAAACGATAAAACTATAGTACGTTAAAATTACGATTATCACAATTAGGAAATAATATATACAACATTATAATAAATAAAGAAGAATTTTCAATTGTTGATTTTCAATTTTTATGTGTATCTTTCACGATTGAAGAAGAATGGAGAGGACAAAAGAGGACATCAGCAGCAGAATCGCTAAAGCACGGGCCGCATATGGACAACATCGCGCAACATGGAACACAAGGCACCAGCACAAAACTACGAATTTACAAGTTCTGTGTGCTTGCGGTCCTCTTGTACGGCAGTGAAACGTGGAACTACACAGAACTAGAATTGTCAAGTGCTCAAGTATTTGTCAACACTTAAGTGCCACCGCAGAATATCGCCTAACGTCATTAAGATGAGCTGAAATATCCAGATGACAAAATCCAAATATATTGTCTGGTTAGTACTAAAAGTGTCATAATAAATACAATTTTCTTCAATATCAAAAATAACTCCTTATATGGTAAACTCGAAAAAAATGTACACGTCTAAAGGCATGGCTATGCACTAGAGGATTAAAAGTAACCAATTGAAATGAAAGGAACTTTTAAGACTACGACCTTCATTTGAATTGCACATATTGCGCATTTTTATTTCATAAAATTGCATGAGGTTTTTGCTTTTATTGGCGTGTTATTAAAGTACAATATGTTTGAGGATGCAGCTATTGACTTGCGCCTATAAAAATGTCTGAAAATTTCATGTCATTAAACTCTCGTTTCTTCACCTTGCGCCGTGGGATGGCAATACAATAAGTACTTGTTGAATTCGCTGTAATGAACTGTTCTTCTTCTTCTTCTTCCAAAAATAGATGCATTTTATGAAATATCAAATGCGATATGAACATCGCTGTCAACTTGACCAAATAAGAAATTAGTTTGTGAATGCGCCGTCAGACTACAGTCTTCTACATATATCATTCACATTGAGAAATATTCGAGTAAGGTTACTCTGTTGTTCGGAGTTAGTAGTGCGTCTACTCCTCAAAATGAGTTAAAAGAGTATGATTTACACCGGTATTGGTTTAACATGCGTAAGTCGCTTGTAAACGATCTAAGTGAATAGTGGCGACGCATGAAAACGAAGTGAGTCGCCGCTATTTCTAAGTGAATCGTTTACAAATGACTTACGCGTTTTACACCAATACCGTCGTAAATCATACTCTTTTAACTCATTTTGAGGGGTAGACGCTCTACTTACTCTGAACATCAGAGTAACCTTACTCAAATATTTTTTTACTGTGTTGTTGTGTATGATACAAGCCATTAAAATATTATTAAGAAATAAAAGAAATTCAACAGAGAAAAGGTTGTATAAAGTTATCTTTGAATTTTTTATATTCACAATTGTTCACAATTTCTGTTGGCTTTTTATCTATCTGCTGAAAGGTTCAATATGATAATAAACAATTTTCTCATTTGTCGGCTCATAAAAAATATTTGTTGCCCTTATTTCGTTGAAAATCTGTAAACTGATGATGAGAAAATACGAAAAAAAATTGAGAAAAAAAATGTGATCGTTGAATGTAGAAAATTGAGGAAAATTCTTTCAATTTTCTAGGGTTTACAGTTAACAAAAAAACGAAAATTTGTCTGATTTGCTAGAGAATTTACAGTTTTCGAAAAATCACCCCCCTGAAAAAAAGTTTCCTCGCACACTACTGAACTGGATAATGAGAACCATTGCGATATTGAATGGTTCATTCTTGGCTTTAGTTACCGATGTGTGATTATCGCTTCTTGTTACATTGACCGTTTGCCATGAAAAGTGTTTTGCTTTTTATTCGGTGAAATGCATCGATTTTCATAAATTGATGCAACCGTACATTTTCAATATCCATTCAGTTCTCAATCGATTGTTAAATTCTCTATATTATATTCCAACAACGTTATACTTTATGGAGATCGAATTGTAATTCCATCAAGTTTACAAAACAAAATATTAAATCAACTTCATCATAGTCATCCAGGAATCGTCAAAATGAAGAGCCTCGTTCATACGTTTATTGGGCAAATATCGACCATAAATTGAACAATTCGTTAAACATTGTTCAAATTGTGCTTTTTCAGGAAAAGCACCTCGAAAAACTGAACTGCGTTCATGGCCGATTCCATTTGAACCTTGAAAAAGGTTACACATCGATTTTGCTGGTCCATTTCGAAACTTCTATTTCGTCATCCTTGTTGACGCATATTCGAAATGGATAGAAGTTATTAAAACCACATTATTAACATCAAGTAAAACAATCAACATACTGACATCAATTTTCGCTCGTTTTGGAACGTTTCAAGAAATGGTTTCGGACCAAGGAACACAGTTAACATCAGAGCAATTCTTATCATTTTATAACATCATTTGACGACAGCCACATAAAATATTGACGACAGCCACAGTCCAATGTCAAATGGACAAGCTGAACGATTTGTTGACACTTTTAAGCGTTCCATCAAAAATTGGAAGGAGAAGGAAACATTGGTGAACAACTCGACATATTTTTGAAAACATGTCGTTTCACACAAAATACCAACTGTCCAGAACAAAAGTCTCGGACGTAAAATACGAACAACATTCGGCTTATTAATGCCACCAAAATCTCGAAACTCGAAACGTAACAAAAAACATGGAGCAAGGAAACGTGAATTTAAAATCGACGAAACTGTTTACGTTATGATTCACAAACGAAATTCCTGAGAATGAGAAGAAGGATGGATTATCGATAGAACTTGAGAAGTTAATTATTCGAAATAGAGTCTAGATCACGTATTTAGCATCATTTATGCCATATCATATGTCCATACAACATTTTTTACATAAAGGCCACGTTTAAACGATATATCCTCTTAAATTGTATCAATAGATAAGAAATTATAGTATATATAAGAAATAATAATAAACATTGCTAATCCCTTTTTGTTCCATGTATTTGTAGTAATTAAACGTAAGCATTGACAGATAATGATTTAATAAAATAAAAATTAATTCACGTGACGGAATCAGTTGGTTGGCTTGAAATGGGAATTATCCACTATTGCGATAAAGTTGCGATAAATAATATCAATTGTATAAAAAATAATTCCGAAATTCGAAATTAATGGTAAGCTCAAAATGTATTCTTTGTACATGATCTAAGCTTAATTTCAAAATGGAAATATATTTGTGTTTAGTTGAATGAACCGAGTAATAAAATTCATATTTTACCCAAATATACATTTGAAGTGTTTTCTTATCTAACTCTTATAAGTTTGACAAGGCCTTTGTTTGCTTTTAAAAGGTTTCAAACCTCATCGAATGTGTCAACTGTTTGATATAAAAAACTAAATAAAAAACACAATCGTTTCGTATTACACGGTGGTCTTTATTTGCTAGAACATATCCTGCTTTTCATCTACAGAACAATACAAGTTTTCAACAAGTACTGAAAAACTTTTTTGATACAAAATTTCATTCGGTCAATTTAAAAGCCACCACCGCCTTGTTCACGTTGTATTCTTCGCACATAAGTTCTTGACACCAAATTCCATGAGTCCATAAATCGATCCATACACATGGCAATACATTTTTGTTCGGACCCGCCCAGACTGGTACCTGGCTTTGTTACACACTTTTTAAAGCATTTTTCTGTGATTTTCTAGAGAGAAAACAACAACATACACACAGAGAGATTAAAATCAATATATTCCATATGACATCACATTATTTTTGTGTACATAATACTTACTGTTACAAGCTCTTGTGCATTGGCGACGGCAATTTGTTGTTTAACTTCGGTCATTAACTGATCCTTTTGGGTCGATGACAAGTTTCCTAAAGGTGCTTGTAGATCCATATTTATTGATTTGATTGGATGGCTCAAGTCTGAAACAAAAAAAAATTATTCAAATTTGAATCGATTTAAAACGTTGGGTGCAGCTTCAATTAAAATTTCATTGATAGTTTGGACAAGATAGGATTCGCCGGTGTTTCGTAATATCACTGTATATTAAATCAGATAATGTTATTATCAACATTTGCCCCATGTGATTTCTATCAAAATTGTAATCATAACCATGAATGAATCACATTTTATCACAAACACACATTTAACGCAGCTGAATGAGAGGAAGAAAAGTGTAAATAATTAAAAACTCACCGATATAAAATTAAATGAATCCGGATTATTTTTACAAGAAAAATTGAACTTTTCGTGTTTCTAACCTTAGCTCATTGAAAATACTTGACAGCTCCGCATGCTGGTCAAATGTCAATTTCAGTAGCATCGTGACTCGTGATTCACAAATCACGCAGATATTTCATCAAATTAAATTTCAAATTCTTATTATTTGCGGAAATAAAAAATGAACGAATTTGGTGTATTTAAATTCAATTATATTGGATACAAATATTATATTTTTTTAATTCAATCTATCGTGCAGATAAAATGAATACTTAAAAAAAATTGAAAGTAAAGCGATAAAGCTGTTTATTATTTGACTAATCAAATTATCGGGTAAATAATCGAAAGCTGAATAGCTAAAGTGAATGTGCAGTGCATTCAACCCCAAACACGAACATATTGATCCCAGCTGCATGAAACCAAAGCAATTCCAGATGGAGCAATCGTTATAGAAGTGACACGATTTTCATGGCCATTTAGAGAACCTACAAATATAAATCAATATATTGATTAGTCACTTGCTAAAACGCCTCTGAGTCTCATGATAATCATTGATAAGTCAATTTAACGAATTGCCAATCAGTAAAAATTAACATGTGTAATTCAGTAATTACCTGCTGGAGTTGTTTTCAACGTATCCCAAGCATAAACACTATTATCATCTGCGCCACAGAATAAGTAGCGGCCACTAAGTGACAAGGCTATTTAAAGATGTAAAATTATATGATTCTCAAAATTAAGTGACTGATAATACGTACCACATGATGTAAAACCACTATTTGGATTTTGTGGAGCATAGTTGGCAACTTGTTGGTCCGATCTTATGTCAAACATTCGTGCAGTCTTATCTTCCGAAGCCGAAGCAAATGCTTGTCCACTTGGATGATACTATAACATAGAATTCAACTTTCGCGTTACTATGAATTTTCTTTTTTAATCGAAATTTTGTGAAATAAATTGATGATTGCTTACAAATACACTGTTCACATCGGCTGTATGACCAAAAAATGTTTGTTTTGGTTTATTTTCTCGAAGATCCCAAATTTTTGAAGTTCGGTCTACGGATCCAGTGACAAATGTATTTTTATCTGGCGAAAGTGAGATTGAAACCTGGAACGATTGTTTATCCAACTTAAGAAATTCATTCAGTTTCAATGATTTGCCATTTTACTCACCACATCACCATTGTGACCGTCCATTTCTGATGTTTTCTTACCCACTTCCAAATCCCAAACGCAAATTTTCATGTCACCAGAACCAGTGACAATGTGGGTATCGTCAAGGAAACGGCATGAACTCAAAAATCCCTCATAACCAGCCAATTCACGAACAATTTTAGCTGCACCGCTTGAATCGCGATTATTTACATCATAAACCGTACACATATTGTCCATTCCACCACAAGCTATGTGACATTTTATAAAAATAAATGTTGAATAAAAAAACAGTTCAGAGCAAATAGGAATTACGCACAAAACAATACACCGACACTAATAGCATTGCTCAAATCAAATTACAACTACGTTCTGTTTATTGATTTTCACAATTACACTCACCAACATAATTTCCAGACGCAGCAAACGCCACACTCATAACCCAAGCCGATCTCAACGGAATTACCTGTTAATAATTGATTTTCATTCTGTGGAATTTTTGTCATTTAATTTCGGTGTATTGTACCTGTATTTTGTTTCCCGTCCATGTATCCCAGATTATCAATTTTCCATCAAGTGACCCAGAGACACAATGTCTGAAATAATCATTTTAAAATAATTTCCATTTTCAAAATTTCCGTAATTAGTTAATCATCACCTTGAATCGTCCGAATAATGAACGGAATTTACTTTATTTATATGACCCTTTAGCATACGCTTTGTCGATAAGGGTACTTTTGGAATTCCGGCCACATCACCACATTTATCATCGATCTTACAATCAGCGACTTTCTTTTGTTCTTCCTTTATTTGATGGAACATTGATTTTTTAATTGGTTATTGCAAACAGTTTTGTAGAGAAAAAACAGACCTGAAATTTGGCAATTAATTCGTTGAGTTCTTTTTTAAGTGCAGCCGTCTCTGGATCATCTTTGGGTGCCATTTTTTACGATTTTCTTTTATCAAAGCAATCACGAACGAAACTGAATAAAGACTGACCAACTTCAACTGAAATTATGACTTTTTTCTCTTTGACTGACCACATATCACGGTAATTTAATTAGCAACGACTTAGACGCATAAATACGGATTCAAATAGTATATGTGAGTTAGTGAATACACAATCTATGGCTTCACACCAGGCACTTGAACATGTTTTGGATCATCAGTAGCGTTGTCAAAGATTCTTTGGTGGATGGCCACACACATTTTAATATATATACAAAACATCTGATTCGATTTTTTAAAAAAAATATGGAGCAAATGTTTATGTTATGGACAAATTTCAGAGTGTTTGGAGAGCAATGATCTAACCTGGTGAAATGGTATTACATCAACATGGTTGTCACGTCCAATAGATTCATTCACAATTAAAAAAATAAATCATTAAAATCGCACGTAGTTAGTTTCAAGCATAGCTCTTGTTAAAAAAAAATTTAATGTTTCACTGAACGGTAGCTTCTATGAACCAAATACATTCAATAGAAATAGGTTTTTACCAACCGTTACTGAACGCGGTACACACTGCTCAGTACACATTTACCGTGGACAATAGTTCAAAAGATACAATGCAAATACGAAAGTGTTGCGAATTCGTCATCGTTCCACATTTTATTCACGAAAAAAAATCGATTCAATTATATTCAAAATTGTATCGATTTTCGATCGTTACATAAAAATGTCATTGGCAAAGAAACGACTGCCCTTCTCTGTGTGTATTTGATGCTGTAATCGATGCTAATGTCTCAAATTGTAATTTTACCAAAAGTGATTGAGTTCGATCAGTATTATTTTGACTAGCAATCTAACAAGAGTTCCAAGTAATGTTCGGATTTGGCACAATGAATTTTGTGTGCACTTTTTGTATTTGCATTATTTTAACAATGTTGAGTAGTCAGGCTGACAGTGAGCAAAGTTGTCGACAACTTGCAGCGGTCGGGTGTAGTACATGCCGAAAAAATTGGCATATGTACAGCAAAGGTATGACTTTAACATTCTTTCACTCTTTTTCTTTTGTTTTGTTGATTTTTCTGCATTTATTTCTGTCTTTTCGTCATTTTCTTCATAAGCAATAAAAAATTAGATATAATTCTTGAATTGTGTTGTACGTTTACGGTCACTGCACACGACTGAAAAATAAATCTAAATTCAATATCATATGTTGCAATCAGACAATATATTTGGATTTTGTCATCTGGATATTTCAGCTTATCTGGATAACGTTAGGCGATGATATGGAGTGAAAACAATAGAAGTGATTTTTGTATTGTATAGGTATAAAAATACTACCATAACTATAACAATCACTTCTATTGTTTTCATTTCGTATCATCGCCTAACGTTATCCAGATGAGCTGAAATATCCAGATGACAAAATCCAAATATATTGACATATTGTCTGGTTGCAATATATTTTTTAATAATTTTATTGCTTGCACATTTTGTCGTCAACATTGCGGCAACTTTCCATGGTATAACGTTCCTTTCAAATGTCGTGATTTAATGCATGTTTGTACATATATGTTGTGTGAACGCAAAGGAGTCAATCCTATCGATAAAAATTAACAGTGTATCTGTGTATGGTTGCATATGTTCTTAAACGTCATGTTTCATATATCGTCGGAAACGTCATTCCCCTATCTTTATTTTATTATTTGTGATTCTGCAGCGTTGTTCTCTCTGTTATTGTTGCAGAGCTGAGTTTTATTTGTGCTCTCTTTCCTTTATTTTGTTCATTGTATTCGCCATCATTCTCATACACACCACGCGATTTTGATTTCAATGAATTCATAATAGATAGGAAAGCGTCGTATGTGCACATAACGATAGTTAGCATAGAACGACAAGCAGCGCATAAAGCAATGTGAAATTATACTCATTATCAGAATTTAACGCGCACACAGTTAACAAATTTCTTAGATTTTCATACACGCGTAAACACAAACAAATTTCATGGACTAAAAATATATACGATCGTGCATAAAACGAGTACAGTATGAGTGTATTTGAGTCGCGTCCGCATTTGTAGTAATTAAAATTTGTTTGGACAAAATTCAGTTCGACAGTTTTAGTTCCTTCAGAGCATTCTATTGGTTCGCATCGACCGAAAATTGTGCAAACAAAAACACTGTGATGTAATTTGAGCAATTGGAATTTACTCAAGTGTGTTTGTTGTTTCAATTCTCTGTGCCGAAATCGGAGCCGGCAAATAAGCAATTTAATTGATTTAACAGCAAAAACAAATAGCTTTTGTAATTTCAATATTTAAAAAAAAATTGCATTCGCTATTCAATGCAATTTAGCGAAAAAAGTTTAAGCATTTCGATCACATTCAAATGAAATAAGAAAAAATGATGTCCGGTGCAAAATACGTCGTATTTCTTATTGGAGTCATATTTTTAGTATTAAGTGATGTGATATATGCAAGCAGCAATGATGCGGACGACAGTAGTGTAGGAGGAGGTTTGTTCTAAATTCATTTTTATATGTGGTTTTTATTGGTGCTATTTTCCCGTTGTTTCACTCATAATTCAACATTATTATTATTTTGATTAAAATTTGAGATTAAAAATTAGCAGTTTGCTATTTTGTTTAATTGTGAAACTTGAAATTCGAATTGAGTTAAGGAAGTTTCTGGAGAAAAAAAACATCTAGTTACGTTTCCTTCGGCTGTATGTTATCTTTAGATTTTCCGACATATTGCTTTACTCCGAGTCACGTACACAAAAATCTTTTGATTAGTCCTTCTTTCTCTCATATTCGCCGTTACTACATATACTATAGTAAAACTGTAGCAAGTAGAGAAGAGTTCAGTACAAGCACTTTAACTCATGCCTTTTTTGGCTCAAAGTTGATAGTCTTATCTCTAATTTGGTCCATAATTAAAAATAACGTATTCTAATTTGACCACACGAATATATTTTAAACTCTTGTTTCTTTTATTACATTCATTTCGATCGGAATGAAAAGAATAGAAAGCTGTAAAACAGCAGTTTATGAATGAAAAATTGTTTAAAGTAGGGAGACTGTAATAAGACGATATTCATTTGAATTAAAACAATCATAAATTAGTTCGCCCTTATTATTTGTCTTATTCAACACTATAAAATTTGATAGTAACATTTACTCCCATTTCTTTTCATATATGTTGATGATGTGAACAATTTGTGTTGTTGCTTATTCAATGTCTTATCAATTGAGTTCAATTTATCGCCGAGGAAGTTCCAAAATATGAATAATCACTATAAAAACATATTCTCTATTTAATTTTATAGTATTCATCTCGATTTTGTATGTATTGAACAGACGTTGTAGACATTTTTGAAACAGATGAAATATCGCAGAACAGTATTTTATCATAAACAAAAACAACCTTATGTTAAAGATGGCATTTGTGTTTGACCATAGAATTACATAGTTGACCAAAAATTCAGACAGCTCTGAATAAACATCTCTTCTGACACTGAAGGAAAAGAGTTCGAAGATGTTTTCATGTACCTTTAAAATCTTTTCATTCATTTTTATATATAAAACAAAGAATAAACGATGCTTTACACCGGCTTTCACGTAATACTATTTTAGCTGCCCCAATTTCGGGTTTTGTTGTTAAAAGTGTCTGTAGAAACTCTGTTTTGAACTTAATTGAACACTGTATTTGTAACTCCATTAACACAATTTCTGCATATTTGTTTCACAGATTTTGATGTGAAAGTGTTCACTGTTGCATCGGAAGAGACTGAAGGTTATTTGCGATACATTCGATCGGCCAATTATTACGATGTAGAGGTAGCTTATGACCAAAACAACCATTCGTGGCATTTTTCTCAAACATTGTGTCTTTTTTAACGCAGGTACAAACATTGGGAATGCACGAAGAATGGCTCGGTGGCAAAATGGAGAGTTATGGCGGCGGTTACAAAATCAATTTGTTACGTGACGCACTTGAACCGTACAAAGATGATGACAAGAAAATTATTTTATTTACTGATAGGTGGGTTTCTATAAAAGAAAATCAATTGAAAAATATTATGAGTTTTAAATTTTTACACAGCTACGACGTTCTATTCACAACGAACACCGATGTCATAGTGCACAAATTCAAGAAAACGAATGCCCGTATTCTGTTCGGTGCCGAAAAGTATCTATGGCCGGATGAAACATTGGAACATCTTTATCCGGTCGTTTCAAAGCATTTGCCAAAATATTTGAATTCGGGACTGTTCATGGGTAAAATGAAATTCATTTTTGGTTGTAAATTTTAACGAAATTCCAAATCTGTCCGATTACCATAGGTTATGCATCCGATGTTTATGAAATGCTCAAAGCACCAATTAGAAATACCGAAGACGATCAGCTGTACTACACCAAGGCATTTTTGGACAATAACATTCGCACAAAATTGAATATCAAGCTTGATTATGAGTCTGAAATCTTCCAAAATTTGAATGGGGCCTCATCAGATGTTCGGGTCTTGTACAATGAAGCAACTGGTGAATATTTCGTTAAAAATATTCAGTCTGATACCATGCCAAGTCTGGTGCATGGCAATGGACCAAGTAAAGTGTTATTGAACAACTTTGGAGCATACGTTGCTGGCGCCTACAAACACAAAGAATGCCAACTGTGTAAAGAGAACAAGTTTGATAGCAAAGAGGTAGAATATTTTCAAGAGAAAATAAAATGCAACAAACATTTGATATGTGATTTTCTGCCTTTACAGGATCAAGTAAACTCACCAAAAATAACCATTGCAATCACCATTGCGAAAGCAACACCATTTTTAGAAGAATTCTTTGATTCCATTTTGGCTTTGGAATACCCAAAGGACAAATTGAACATTTTCATTTACAATAACGTAAGTTTCACATGAAAAATAATGAAATGAAGCTTAAAACTCAAAATAAAATGTTAATCATTTAGGTTGAATATCACAATGAATTGGTACAAAACTTCATTGAGACTCATGGTGCCACATATGCTGGCGTTAAACAAATCAGACATTCTGACTCATACAAAGAACCGATCGCCCGGAATTTGGCCGTGTAAGTATTAGATGCTTCAGGCAAGAGGTGTCCACCGTTAATGAAAATTATTTTTAAATTAAAGAAACTATGCGGAACGTGAAGCAAGCGATTTTCTATTCGTTGTTGATGCAGAAGCACATATCGACAATCCTTCTACTCTAATTCGTTTAATCGAACGAAATCGGTGAGTGGCTAAGAGTTTATTTGCTATTGATGATAATTGAATAATTCGTTATTTTCATTTTTGTTTATCAGCAATGTAATTGCACCGGCAATGTCGCGCTATGAATCCTCTTGGAGTAACTTCTGGGGCGCATTGAGTGAAAAGGGCTTCTATGCACGTTCGCACGACTACATGAGCATTGTTAAAAATGAAATTCGGTAAGGTTTTTTTTGGTTAAAAATGGCTATAAATGCCTTTTATTTTCAAAAATACGATAACAAAAGGTTTGATACATTTTTTTTGTAGTAGTCGATTGCATAAATTTGCTGTCGCACGATGAATATTTAGCTATGTCGAAATGTCGTTGGTACTTCGTATAAAAGTCATATACCAATGACGTCGTCAAATTTATAGTTAATCGAATGCAATTGAAAAATCGGTCTTAAAGCTCCTACGGTCGATGGAGTACCTAAAAGCAAAAAATGCAAACACTAAATATCATTGTATATATATTTGGTTAAAGCGTACATATTATCAGCACAGCATTCGTAAATGCCACTATCCATTTGAGTTGCTGGATCAATCTCAATTTTTGATTTAACTTTATCGTCTCCTATTCGCCACTCATGCACCTACAAGCAAAAAATGCAAGCCAACACAAAACTCCATTGTATATAAATTATGATAAAGCGTCATTTAAATAGCGAATGCAAAAAAAAGCGAAAATTATTAGCGAATTACTTTCAATTTATTTCAATGTTTTATTCTCACTGAAAGAGAACTAAGAAATGAATGCACCGTAATGATGGCATAGCATGTGAAATGGGAAGAAGAAATTACAATTTTCTTGTGAATACATACGTGCATATACAGATGTTGGAAAATTTCAGAGCCATCTTTTAACCATGTGATTTGTGGTCTCGGTTTTCCTTTTTGGCAGAAAAGGCAGGAATGCATTCATTCATTTTCATAAAAATAATTGATTTATTACCTTTGGCTACGCATAAGAATGCAATTTTATGGCCCAGCACGTATTCATAGTCAAAGTGTGATGCTTGCAATATTTTGGCTCCCTGTCAAATCAACACATCAAAATTTATTATTTATTTCTAAGAAAATATGCTGCATATCAAACAATTGCAATTACATCATTATTGTTGTAGTATTGGTCACTTTCAGGATCTCTATATTTAAAAAAATATATATTGGATTTTTAAAATTATCCACAAAAACAAAATTCAGCAAAGCAACAACAATTAAGGAAAGTCAAACGGACCTATATTTTCCGGTAATAGGTAGTCCAATTTGCACCTGAAATTATATACAAATTAAGCATTTCGGCACATGCAGCATCGAATGTGAAAAAATATATTACTCTTGATTTGGTGCGTCCTCTGCCTCTGCCACGACGTCCAGCTACATCTTGTGAACAAATCAATAACACAACTATCAATAAAATCGTCCAACTGATACGAATCATGGCCAAGCAACGTTTTTTTCGGAATTGTTTTTTTTTTACACTAAAATTTCAACCAATTGACACACTAAGCACAATTTTTGTTTTACAACTGATAGAAACTGTCGCTGCACTGATTGCTTCTGCACCGGATTCAATCAGCTTATGTGACAATCAATAGAAAACTATCTATATTTAGATTATTTCTTTATCGATGTGCTTCTATTTTCCACTTGAGATGCGCTTTCTGATCGTTTTCAGCGATGCAATCTGTGTGTGAACATCGAACATCAACCAATGATTCTCGTGCATTTATAAAACAATCAAATCTGTGGCTGTGTGATGGGTTCAACCAATTTTCAATTGTTGTGTTACAGACACAAATATTTTGCACATATGGTTCAATTACCACACTATTTATTTGCCATGCAATATTCTTCAGTGGAACCCTTTTGCTTTTGATCAGGAAATTCAATTTACAAACCAGTTACCAGAGCCGAATCGATTGCACTCACGATTAAAGCGCATATTCATTGCGCTTTGTGTTTATTACACATGGTTGCATTTGTCAAGTTGACACCGAACCGACCGAAGTGAACAGAACTGAAGTGGATACGTGCCCGTTGACGAATCTGTATGCAATGCAATGTGAATTGCAGTGTCGGTTATCAAATTTGATTGGATAATTTGTGTATAAATGTTCAAATTCCCATAAAACGATCGTCTTAAAACGTACCAAAGCGTTCACAGAGATTTAGTGGGAGACTAACGTTGGTCAAAATCAGCGAATTCTGTTGAAATATTTTAGAACAAACCCTGCACCAAAACCTATTTTAAGACGGCTTAATGGTGTTGTTCAATTTGTGAATTGTGAACTTTTTAAATTGAAACTCGTGTTGCATTCCTGAGAACAAACAAATCAATTCCAAAGTACTTACGAACCTGTTTTTTCCCTTTCCGTTGTTAAAATTACAGAGGACTATGGAATGTTCCGTTCATATCGTCATGTTATCTGGTGAAAAAGTCAGTGTTCCCGAAAATCACTTATGCCGACGATGATCTCGATGCGGACATGGCAATGTGCAAGAATTTGCGAGCTCAGGTAATAAAAAAAATTCAATAATTTTTTTACAGATGATTTATTTTACTAAAAATCTTCAATGAAATCATTTTCCTTCAAATTTAAATTTAGCAAATCTTCATGTACGTAAACAACGAAGAATACTATGGTCATCTGGTTAATAATGAGGACTTCAATCCGATGTTAACCAATCCAGAATTTTATATGTTAATCTCGAATCAGTTGGACTGGGAGAATCGATACTTGCACCGCGATTACGTTAATCAATTGAAGCCCAATCAAACATACAAACAACCATGCACCGATGTAAGTGTTTGCAAAACGCTCTGCTTTTATTATCGAATTTTAATCACAAATATTATTTACACAGGTGTACTGGTTCCCAGTTGCCAATGAACGTTTTTGCGATGATTTGGTGAAAATTGTTGAGAGTTATGGTAAATGGTCTTCCGGTACAAATGATGATGAACGTTTAGCAGGGGGCTATGAAGCTGTGCCTACACGAGATATTCATATGAGCCAAGTTGGATTGGAGGCAGTTTGGTTGAGATTCCTTTACAATTATGTACGACCATTGCAAGAAGCTGTATTTTTGGGCTATTATCATACACCACCACGATCAATCATGAATTTCGTGGTGCGTTATCGTCCCGATGAACAACCAAGTCTGAGACCGCATCACGATTCATCTACTTATACCATAAATATTGCATTGAATTCGGTTGGAAAGGATTATGAAGGCGGCGGATGCCATTTTATACGATACAATTGCTCGGTAACCGCAACACAAAAGGGATGGATGCTAATGCATCCTGGCCGTCTGACTCATTACCATGAAGGCTTAAGAGTAACAAAGGGCACACGTTATATTATGATTTCATTTGTTGATCCATAGATTTATTGTCAAGTGTTTACTGTATGGCGCACAAAGATGCTTAACTTCAACGTACAAAAATCCAAACAAACAAAAATGACGTGTCAAATATTCAATTGTGTGTATGAGAGAAATCTACCGACTTTTTTTATTTAGATAAATTTACATTGACTATTTTGTAAAAAAAGAAAACGTTTTGTGTATTGTAATTGAGTTTTTAGATATTTTTCGATTAAAGCTATTCGTTTGGAAAATGATATTATTTGCTGTATTTATCCTTTGTAGATTAGTTGATGCGGTAGATTCATGAAATTTCCAATGACGAATTTGGTAAGTATCATTTTGTCAAAATCATTTTCAATCAGCTTTCCCTATGTTTTCCACTCAAAATTGAACTGGAACATCAATTTTATTCATTCTTCATCACTTCGTTAAGCAGTTGTTCAGCCTCTGGCATTTGTTCCTTTCAAAAGAATGAAAAAGTTATTAGAATAATGTGAATTGAATAAATTATGTTTCGAACGTCTTTGCGAAAGTGTGCACCGATTTATCAGTGAAATAGTTACCTTAAGTTTATCAACATAAGATGCTGTTAAGAGGTTATCACTTCGTAACCGCTTAAAGATTTTTCCGTACGACTCGATTTTTTGCTCCATATCCGCATCACGCTTCTTTACATTCGATGAATCACTTGTGTCTTTCGCAGTGTTATCACTGGTATTTTTCGCAGTGTTGTCACTGGTATTTTTCGCAGTGTAATCACTGGGAAACGATTTTACAACGATTTTGGTGGGTGTTTGGAATACGGAAAATTCACTGCAACTGGGTGTAAGCGCTCTGGATGTTTCTGTACAAACCAAATCCGCACGAAGATTATGATGCGATGTAGTAACAAAGTCTTTTGTTAACGTTGATGCAAAGTTACACGTGCGTGATGATGGCTCATATTCTTTGGCGACTTCATTGCTGTTGCCGGCATCGTCTTCATTTTTTGTGAATCGCGACGGAATGGCGTCCTTAAGTAAAATCAATTTTCCATTGTCGAATGAAAAATCGGATGCAGTAAAATGTTGACTGCAAACGTATGTCTCGTTCAAATAGTCATCATCGGAAAACTCTGGACGCTCCTTTGCTAATGCTTTAACTAATACACTTTTCCATGATTTGAACAATATCGGTAGCTCTATTGCTTTTGGAAATTTGTAAAATGTTATTTCGGTTGTATGTGGCTCTGGTACAACCGAACAAATCACGCACATCACTTGTGATACCATTCTGTAAGTAATAGTATATAATTTAAGCGTAAATAAATAAATTATTTTGTTGAAATTTGCAAATTTTGCGACTTTATTTGATGATTTTTCAGATGAAATGAAAAGTCAATGGCTTCGTTTTTAGTGTAAAATACGTTTGCACACGGTTCGCATAAACAATGGAATTGACAAATTGCCCAAAATCGACTATGGCACCAGTGTAACATTCACGCATTTCGTGAGTGTTCACGGTCGAATTGTCACATTTCTGTCAAATGTAAATTTTGAGGTTAGGTTTGCCTTTTATTTTTGCTAATGTGAACTTTTGAAAACTGCATCCGAACAAAATCGAGCAAATCGTGGAAAAACTCAATCAATTTTCATTCAATTGTTGTTTTTCAAGTGAAATTCATAATGGTTTTCACATCGATCGTAAACTTAATTCGTTCGAGGGGTCCAGATGAACTTTGGCGCAAGCGGAAGATCTTTAAATTAGCTGCGGTAACTATTATCATGCGAAATTTGCTTGATTTTATTGCATCTCTAACTGGAAATATGAATCAAAATTACTGAGAGTTTTTTATTTGATTTATTTTAGCATTACACTGGCCGAAAACGTAATTGTTATACATTGGCAATCAGAAATGTTCATCGGGCATTGGTATATGCCACAAAAGCTCGCAAGCTAAAGAAAGATGATTTGAATGAGGTAAGTTCGACGCACAATCACAGTGTAAATTTAAAGGTTAATTTTATTTATTCGGTATTTCAGTTGCGTGACGCTCGTATATCGGCTGGCTGCAATCAGTTTGGCATCGAATTACCCGCATTCCGTGAAGGGCTGGCCAGAAGCAATATTATGTTAAATCGGTATGTAAATACAAAATGAATTCATGATTTTATCTTGACCAAAACTAATATTAAATTATTTAAACAGAAAATCATTGGCTGACTTGGCGGCTTGGGAGCCAAAATCATTTGAATCGCTGGTGATGATCGCTCGTGAACGTGCCGTTCAAGATGGATTACGCGGCGTCCATGAAGTCAATGCTGACAATCGAGTAGTTTATGCTAATGACGAACAAAAAGCAGAAAAAGAGAAATACAAAGATACTGTGCCCTCCAATTACACCACTTATTTCAGAGAAAAACCTTACTTTAATTAATCCAATCATTTGTGTTAGAGCAAGAATTTAAAAATTCTATAGAAATAAAGTTTATCGAAATGAAAAACAATATTTTTGCATTGAAAAAAGTCATTGAAGCGTATCGGTCGCTCATGCAGGGTTTTATATATGTAGCATTGCGTCGTGCTTTCGCAAGGAAACTCACTGCGTCTTATACCTGTATCTTGTATGTAAGCGACCACAAGCATATCACTTGAAAACCGGACGAAACATGAATAAATTGATAAAAGCGAAAAAAAAAACAGAATATTTACACAGTCTGTCCCGCTCTCGACACAAATACAAACAAAACCGTGTGAAATGGGATATCGACGAACATTATTCTGAAACGAGTAATCGTTACACAATACTCACGTAAACATCGTTGAATGAGAGAAAGAGAATTAAGGTGGAGAAGAGGTAAATAATCAAAAAAGCGAAACAACAACAACTATAAACATCGACAAGTTCACTCAAGAACCAGAAAACACTGTTGCATCGTTTCGTGTCGTTGTGTGCGCCGTGCATAAACGTATCGAATGATCGTCTATCCTCTTCAGTCTTTAGCCGCTGTTTTTACAATTCAGTTGCGTTGTGCTGGTGTTTGCGTACAAAAACAGTGCCAAAAATGTATGTATCGACATTTCGTATGAATATATTTGTTTAAAAAGCCCAAAAGAGCGTGATCTGCAAATCGAAAACTGACCAAAATTCGCGTACCATATTCAGTGATATATTGTTATATAAAACAACTGGACGCATATTTAAGCAATTTATGTTGTGAAAGTATTATTTGCATTGATTTCGATAATTTTCAACGCATTTCTTTTGACAATTTATTGTGAAAAAGTATTTGTGTTTCAATTTGTCATTTTTTTGTGCTAAACATTCGGAGCGTGTTAATTTGTCACGATTTTATTAGCAGACTATAGCCAACAGTTTGTATGTTAATGATGTGAAAAACACAAGAACCTTAAGGTGAGAGTAAGGCAAATCATTGGCGTCAGTGGCTCGATTAAAAGTGAGAAATGTGTTTTCAGTGTAAATTTAAGTGTGTAAAAAGTCACTAGACTAACTTCGATTTAAAAAAAAAACATTATTTACTGTGTATGTGTGTGTGTGTGTTTGGTACAGCATCCAGTCGTCTTTATTATAATTTGTTGTTCATCAAAACAAGAGTGCATCAATGAAAAACCAAACCTTGGAATCCTAATTAACGAGACAAAGAATTTTTGTAAGTAACACTTTCTCTATACCACTTCGTAAAATTACAATGTATGCATTTATTTTTGTTTCCATTATCCATCCACGAATTCGTCTTGATTCTCATTTTCTTGAGGAGGGGGATATCGAAAAATGTCCGATGAGATTCTTAACCGTCGAATCGATCAAATTAAACGTTAATTTAACAGACATTTCATACATATTTGTGTCTGTTTAGCTGATGTGATGCGATCCAATATCGATCGAAGCGAACAGCGAGAAAGATTCATATAATCCGATGTGAATGAAAATGCGGTGCGTTTATTAAGAGATATATTCGAATAAAAGTGTTATTCACATTGAAATGAAGCCAAACATTACGATCACATACATATATCAAATGCGCACCACAAACATTTATAACGAATGAAACAAAATAAAGGCACTCGAGACATCTACATCGATTCAGGGCAGCGTCAGCTTTTTTTTAATTCTCCTATATCATTTTTAGTAGTAGTTTTATTTTGTTTTGTTTCGTTTTTTTATTCTTTTTTCCATTAGGCTTTCGTTGGTTTTTTATTGTTGTTGCTATCGTCGTCGTCGCCGTTGTCGTTTCAAAGTGCATACAACACCTCTCTCACAATGCGCTAAGCCGGTTTTTCGTAAACCAACCAAGTTCTGCATTTGCATTTGTGCTTGTAGTTATACGGCAGTTTTCCGTGTGCTATACAAATGTGCGTTTCTCTGCATATTACTTTGTGGTTTAAATTCTGTTACCTTTGCCTGTCATTGATCGCTTAGCGTCATGTATCCACGTTGTTTGTTTCAGATGCGAGTAGTTGTATTTTTATTGCATTGGCTGTACCAGCATTTCTTCACGATGCCCGTATTTTGACCTGTTGTCTTTATAGCTCGGCAAGCGAATAGTATCAATGGCATGCACTTTTTGCGTCGTACCACAAGAACCATGGAAACGCTGAGAAATATTCAGATTTGGTTTGTCTATCTCGGTAGCGCCCAGCTTTGAATTCGATGCATTCAATTCTTTAATGTAAATTCGATGACTTTCCATCAATCGTAGACACAAAATTCAATTTGAATATAAGCCGATAAATTGATTCTTCGCGTTGTGAATGTATTTTACCTCCGTCTTTTTCGTGGGAAATGCGATATAGCGTGACTAATGGAGAAACTATATCGGCCAAATCAGTCATGAGTACAATAAATTGAATTAAACGTGTGGAATAATGTTGCATTTTCATGTGAATGCAAACATGCATTTCGATGCTCGACCGATTTGAATAAGAGTTTTCCAAGGCGTCAATTACCGCTTTATCGGCCATAATACTGAACAAGTCTCATTTTCGGAACGTCGAAAAACGCTGTATCACAACAGTTTAACAACAATAATTACACAAAAGGTTATAAGAATCAAGTTATACAGTTTATAGTCGCCAGTAACTCGATATTATGAAATTTTGAATGACAACAAGCTGCTGTGCCTATGAAAGATTTTTTTTTTTAATGAAAAAAAAACCTGTTTGTCGCTTTGGGCTTTTTTTCGTTAGACGTTTTCTTTGGTTAAATCCGTTGATCAGCAAATTTTTCAAACACTTTTTCTCGTGACTGTTGTCTCGTTGCTTAAAATCGAGTTCTGCGCGATTAAATCGCATTGTTGTTAAAATGTTTATTTCTCTTGCGTATATGCATCGTGTCTTATTTTCAGCGTAGGAGATTCAATTTTAATTTTCCCAAGCTCACATACAAAAAATAAACTGGCACAATTCCAATCGTGATATTGGGTGTATCGATTAATTTTAAAGGATTGATAAGAGATGGCGTAACTTGAAATTGTGTGTAGCTTGACAGGTGAATCCAATTGAATTTTATACATATGACATTTGCCAATCTAATTCAGAGCAGAAAGATTTATTTTCGACACAGTGTCATTATTTTCTGATCGATTCAAAATGAGTGATGAAAATGTGTTTTTCTGTCTGGCCCTCCTTTGGTTCAATTTTTTCACTTTAAATAAAGTGAAAATACATCTAAAGGTTATAAAATGTTGCAGGAGACGAGACCTCTCAATCGCCACAGAGAATGTTGAATTTGGTGAAAAAGAAGTGGTGAATTTGTTGAAAAACTGTGAACTCACCAAAAAAATTTGAATGATGGGCTATTGGCGTTTTTTATTCGATAAAGATGCATGAATATGCATCAGAAAACATCAGAAGCATTAAATATATGTGAATCAATCGTTTTAAGACATTTATAATGAGGTAAGACCAAAGAAATTGTGTGCCACACCAGCTGAATCCAAAAGTAGTTGTAAGACGTTTTTTCAAATTTTGCCACAATGTTCCAAAAATAGGAAAGAAAGGAATTTTTGTATCGTATTGTAACTGGAAGTGAAGAGGGCATCTGCTAAGATAACCCCAGGCATAAAAATAAGGGTTGAATCCCACACAATCATCAAAATCTACAGCATAGCAGGATTTTGATGATTTCTCGGTAATGCTCATTATTTGGTGGGGATAAGGTGGTTTGGTGTATAATGAGCTGCTGAAACAGGGTGAAACAGTCACGGGGAATCGGCATCGATTACAACCAATACGTTTGAGCGGAGTACTGAGAGAAAAATTGAAAAAAACTGCGACAAGAAATAGTCGAAGGATTTATCAAAATTTGACATATTTCAAACATCGCAAAAAAAAGATAGGGGACTCTGGTCGGGATGAGCTTGATCAACCCGCGTACTCTCCAGACCTGGCTCCTTCTGATTACCACTTGTCCCGATCGATGAAAATCAGCCTGTTCGATGAACACATTCAAAATTATGAAAAAGCGCGAAATTGGATCGATGAATGGATAGCTTCAAAAGATGAGGAATTCTTTCGACGCGGAATCGACAAGCTACCAAGAAGATGGGCGGAAGTCATAGCCAACGATGGGCAATACATTGGTTAAAAAATATTGTACAGTTGTTTTTAAATAAATGTATCTTTTCACACAAAAATCCTTTAAAATTAATCGATACACCCAATATCTACTGCTCAGATTCTAAAGACCAATTCAACAAAGTGTTTAGATATCGTATACAAATTCATTGCTCTTTTTCAGAAGTCGTAAATTCAATTCCAAAATAAGTGCCCGCGTAAATGTTATTAATAAAAATTCAATTGAGATTGAGCAGATATAATATTGTCAACGATGATATAATTGTGGAACGAGCGAAAGAGAAAAAAAGCCAGGCCTACAAAAACAAAATGAGATTGTGATCGATCAATCATAATTGTGGTAGTTAGACGCGTGATTTCAGCCGCCGTTGATCGACACTAATTGTTTTAATGACCCACGCAATTATTGCTGTTTATGTTCAATGAATTGCGATCGTATATGATGCATAAACTCAGTGAAATACAAAGCAAAAGGGAAAAAATGTGGTGTGAACCCAAAGATGGCAGGAACAACAACAAAAATGTGCACTTTCGCAAGAAAGACCTTTCTTTCTCTCACAAATGTTTCTTTTTCTTCTCTGCAAATTCCAAATGAATTATTAAATGCGATTGTTCAATGAAATGTCATGTTGCCTGTGCACAAGTGGGACTTTTCTGTTGAGCCAAGCAATCGTTCATAAAAAAAGAGAAACGTTTAACTCTCTCACAGCGACAAAGCCGGGTAAAGAAAGTACGCACGCGATCTTAATTTACCGAGTGCAGTTTACATGCAATTGAAGAATGAAATTCTTATTGGTGGCGGTGTTTTTTTCTTCACAAGAGGAAACGACAAAAGGAAAAAAAACAAGCAATCTCTGGATGAAATCTTGTTTAATCGAATAAGAACCATTCATTTTGTCTCATTGAACATTCATATTTTTTTTGTTCGTATCAAAGAAAGTATTCACAACATTACAGAAATGCAGTTTTTTCTGTAGTTTGCTGATTATATTGCATGCTCTAGCAAAGACAATAGGAATACAAGAGAAACCGTATGCATTGCATTGTTTTGCATCGAATCACATTTTCCATCACGCACACTGACTCGGTGCCGAACAAACAATCTGCTTTTAATTATAACAGAAGACGAAACTAATGCACTCATACATACAAGCTATAAATATGTTGAAGTATACCAACAGATAGAACATATGTATATTCTCGTATTTTTATGGAAGTACCCTCTTCTTTGTGTGCGAAAATGAAACAAAAGCGATTTAGTTGTGTATGATCCTGTGTGTAAAAGTGTGACAAAACAAAGTGGCTCAGTTTTCTTTGTCGCTTGAGTTTGGCGAATGAAGTAATTTCTCATGAAAACAGTCCACGTCAAAATGCCGGTTTTCAAACAAACAAATTTTGGTTTTGCCTTTGGGGAACGAAACAAATAACACATGAGAAAATTCTGCTGATTGTTGATTGAATATATGAAAATATATATGTGAATCTGTGTCATCACATGCTCATGCAATTTGATGGTAGCACATGTACTGTATGTATGTAAGCAACAATAACAAAGACGTGAACCAGCAACACTTGGAACCACTACACACATTTGTACAGACAGCAAATTTGTGCGAATGCTCTTCTTGATGGTCTCATTGTTATGATTACGTTTCGTTATTAAATTTCAATTGTGATGCACACTTTAACGCGCCAAAAGACAGTAAAATGACAAAAGACCGAAACGCTACGGCATGGTGTTGAAAGGAAAGCAGACAAGCAAAAACTATTGTGTAGTATTGTGAGTGGAAACTACACACCGATATACATGTGCTCAAGCAATAGCATCAATAGAGAAGACCCAATACGGTTGTGCACAGAAACGTTCATAATACAGAAAAACACACATATATACACAGCACATATGAGCACTAAGCCGATTTCAACTAACACAAACGAAGAGTTGGCATACGACAGTGCTGTTTGGAACAGCGGCAACCGCATCAGACCTACAACTAGTTTGTTTGTTTGTTATTTGCGACTCTTGAATCAGTTGATCGAAATTGTTCTATTGCTTCGGACTTCGCGACGGTTTGTTACGATACATCTAGTTCTTACAAAGTCTTCCGTCAGCAGCGTAACAACATCATAACAAAACGTAATTTTGTCGCAAATCCAATTTCGTGTTATTTCTGATGACAACGCGTGTTCATTAAATTACCGAAAATAATACCATTTTTCCGTGGAATTTGTAAAGTCGGATTCAATTGCATATTTTTGAACGGTTTTCGCGTCTTTAGTGTTCAGTGTTAGTGCGTTGAATTTGCTCAATTTGAATGGACTCTTTCATTTGTCTTCTACTTTTTGCCACTCATGGCACCAAGATTGACGTGAACCGATGCGCACCATTCTATTTTGCATGATGCTGGATTTTTACAAAAAAAAAAATAACTTAAAATCAAGCTATAAAATGCTCGTAAAATCATCGCGATCACCACTTTTGACTGTTCACCAACATTGTGTTTTTGCTGGGATTTTGTTCTCTCTTCAGTTTTGTATGTGCGGATTTTACAGTTCGACAGTTGTGGAGAGAGAAAAAAATAAAATGTTCATACCGCATCAACACACACGATAATTATAATGTACTGTTCGGTTTTAGTGTGATTTTCATGTCCATTCGTGTTATTTGATTGTGACCGTTTTTATTTTGGCCTTATTTTTACAACCGACGTGGCAGCCTTTACAATTGTTTCGAATAGAAAATGTGCAAGAATTCACATTAAAACTGTGCTTTATACTCAAATCAACCTAAAAACAACCACAATTATTAAAATGTTTAATGTGTCGAAAGAAAAATGAAAAAAACACACACAACACGGCTGGAATTTTTGATGAAATTCATACACAATGAGAGATTCATAATGAAAATGATGACGAAGAAAACAAACCACGCTGGATAATAATAAAAATGTGTTTAATAAGAAAAATGTGTGAATCGAGAAGGTCAATTTTAATAACAAAGCGCGTTTTTTTCTTCGTCGGCCGGAGTTTATTCCATCTTAGACAATTTTTCTGCTTTTAATTTCATCTATATACAAAAAATAGAGGGGAACATCGTTAATTTACGGAACTGTGAACATTTGACAGTTGTTGTTTACGACCGCGCCAGTTCTTCTTCTTCTTGCTCTTCCAAAACTCTCCAAAATACATAAAAATGACTTTGAGTAATGTCGTTTTTTCGGATGATAAACAAAAAAAAACTTTTTTTTAGAGAAAAATGTGTGTATTTGTACCACAGTCAGCTGATCTATTGTGACAGTGATGTTGTCGTATTTCATTCAAACAAGATCTCAATTATTGAAACATCTGAAATTCATTCAAGGGAAGCTCAAATTGATAGTTTTCACATTGTAAACAATTTGGAAAAACGAAAAAAAAAGCCAACATCAAACGCGGCGGGAATTGGGCCAGAAATCACGGAGGGCTCAAATTAGTTTTCCGTATGCGCGCACGAACGATCATTAAAATCGACTTTTTTTCGCTACACGATTTTAACAAGAGAGAGAGACCGCATATTTTGAATAATAATCCAAATTAACCCATATTTGTATGCGAAATAATCATTAATAACCGCAACCGCTCAATGAACAAAACATGCAATTTATCCACAATTTGTTCGTTGCGATCGTACAGACCGATGAAACAAAAAAAATATATGGAAAGATGTATGTGTAGTAAAGAATGTTTGAATTAATAAAAGTGGCGCTTTTGTATTCGCATTTCGTCGACGCTGCAAGTACATACGTTTGTGAATGATGTCTAATAAAACACAACGAAAAACAATCACTCGAATTACAAACATGATAATGATTAGAGCTCACGCGCACATCGCCCGTTCTCAGATCTGAATTCAGAAAGTCGCCGATTTACAATGCACATTCAAAGAAACAAAATCAACAATGTATATCTATTCCTCTCTCTCTCTCTCTCTCTCTCTCTATCCTTCACCGCACAGCTCCTCATTGAAAACGTATAAATGTGGAAAAAAATAATAATCATCATTATTGTGGAATGATCTAAGAGAATTACTTTTATCTTCGAATCTTCTATTTGAATCGATTGTTTCTGAACCAATGCATATCGCCAAAGCAAAATGAGCCAAGAAAGTCGAAAGAGAAATTTTGTAGTTCACTTTGAAATTGAAGCGTTTATTTTCTTTATTTCTTTATTATTCTCTGTTCGTGGTAGAAAAAAAATGAGTTTGATCTTTTCAAATCGTTCAAAATGGTCTGTGCAATTAATTTTTTTTATGAGAACATTGGGTTTGTGTAATTGCGTTTTAGCAGCAAAAATTGATTCACTTGATCGGCTGTCGATGCAAACACTCCACAAATCACTTAGTACTATTGTTAATGTATGCATATCGGTTTTATGTTTCTATTGGCGTTAAAATATTAGTTTCATTTTCTCATATATGGTGTGATCGCGCCAGTGCTACAATTAACAATTGTGCGCACTATATTCCTTTTATTCCTCTTCTTTCCGCATTTTGTTTTGGTTGTGTTAAACGAACATTCTTTTGGCGAACGATATTGAAGTGTTATTGACGGCAAGCAATGCTTGCTAAGATTGTTTGTCACATTTGGACTGGCAAAGCTAAAGCGACGGCTCGACACCGATTGCGATCGTTACCGTTTCTTATTGCTGTTATTGTTGGCTGCCCCATTCGTACACGAAACGCATATTTAATTGTTTTAAACGATTCAATTTCAAACTAGAACACTCAATCGCACACATCAAGCTCGCCACGAATGAATGCCAGAAGAAGAAAAAACACAATATATGCAAAACAAGTTCAAAGCACATACACCATTTCACTCTTTGCATTTTCAATTCCCTGTCGTGTGTTACGCGCGCACGTTAAATGAAATTTCAATAATAATCATTGTTCAAACGATTGAGGGAAAAAAAATACACACACGCAACACAGCATTTATCGCAAGATCATGTTTTGTTGTACGCGCGTAAATAGTACTTTAATGTGATGTCAACGGACAAAATACGAATGAAATAAACCCTATTTCTGAACAGAAAGCGGTGAAAATATTTCACTCGTTTTATTTACCTTTTCTGTTTATTTTTTGATTTGTTGAAAAGCAAATAAAAAAAAAATTGCCGCACAAAATATGAGAGCAAAATCACAAGCAATATAAACAAAAATCTCCAGGAACATCAAATAGAACAAAGCGCAATGTTTATTTCTCTTTGCTCATTGTTGTTGAGTCTAAATTTTAATTTGTAGTCAAAATGCCGGGCTGCAATAATAGTTGAACTCTTCGCCTGATGAAGTCATCGCACAAAAAAAATGGCAAAAGTCAACGAAAAAATAACATACTACGTCATCGTGACTCCATGCATGATGCATCTGACATGATTTCACATTCGAGATTGAGTGAAGAGAGAAAATAAAACAAAGAACTTTCATCTAAGCGAAGTAAATTCAAATGAAATCGTCATCCAAACACATAAAATAAATTTAAACTAAAACAAGTTATAATTAGTGATAATTTACAGCAATTTTTTAGTGTTTATCTGCGTGGAAACTACAATCGTCGAGAGCTTGAGCAAATTCACGCTGTTTTGTAGAAAGTTTTAAATCGAATGGAAAAAAAAACAAACCCTTATCATTACATCAATATAGAGTGCTTTTGTTTTTACGTTTGTTTTTTTTTTTATTTCTTTCGTTGTGATAGCTGCAGTGATAATATGTGACCCAAATACGTAAATTACAATTTCACTGAACTTCAATTATGGATAAGTCAATTGAGCATAGCGTCGATGGTAAGTGGCTATTAGGCGAATCATGCCGTTTAATTGACACCATTTCGATTTCATCGAACATATTCATAGATCTTTTTTCTCGTGTATCGAGTTCCAAACGATTAATTGAGGCAAAACTGAAATTCACAATACAGTCTCCCACAGCAATATGCGGAATGCAACAAAAATTCTTATTTTGGAACAAGTAACCGACTTGAGACAGAACGATTTTTTTTCGTTTTCTTTTTTATCAAAATTCTCCCCGATATTCGATATCTCGCTGTATCTTCTGATGTGTTTGTGTGGAGTGGAGTGCACGAAAGTGTTGCAAAGTATGTTGGTATTCAAACGATGTGGTGAATGAAGCCATTGGAAAGCGTATCGAAAGATACAAATGACGTATATTTATAAACTGTTAAGCTAGAGGTCATCCACCGGATGCACTCTTCACCATACATACAAACAACTTTAAATGACAAGATATAAACAGACATGTTTGCCATTTTTATCTCATTTTCAATGGGTTGTCTTCTTTGTACGCACACAATTTTAGTATAATAGTTGATCGAAGTGACAAAAAAAACTTCAACATTGTCTGCTTATATTTTCATGTACGAAAAAAAAACCATTTCAAGTCTACGTTGCACCGTTTATTCAAGGTTTATTTTCTTCTTTGTGTTATGGAAACTCTTTTCATCTTTCAATCAATCGTACGATGATGAAGACATCTTATCGGTCTCAAGTGACTGACACTGCAGTGTGTCGCAAGCCAAGAGGAATAATCAATTGATTGGAATATAGCATTTACTATGAAATGCACTTGAACGTTGAGTGCACACCAGAAAGTGCATAAAACATAAGACACCTGATAATAATTTCATGTGTTTCGATAGAAATGTTTGTTTTCGTGTGAATTTGTTGTTGCAGTTGTTCAACAAACAAAGTGGCATCACATAAAATATTGCAGCCATTTAAGTTGTGTCGTTTATCAAAAATCCAATCGATTCAATACATATGGATATGTATGTTTGATGGTGCACACAATATTTCAATTCACGATTGTATGGAATCAGCTGCCAATAATGCCATCGAACCATGATCGATACGGATGTCCGATTTGGAACACAGGAAGTTTCAGTGAAAAAAAAACTCTGTTCTAAAATCAATCAACAATTCGATTTTAATTCTGTTTGCGAGCTATACTTCCGACCATCTTGTGGACAACTGGCACACTCGTACATCCATTATATGAAAACTATTGGATACGATCACAGTGAGTCGCAACTAAATGAAACTTGAATTAGTTGAACTTTTCGTGCGGCGAACTATAACTCATCTGAAAAAAAATGACCGTGCCAAAACTGTAGCAAAATTATGAATGAAATTGTTGTTTCGTTCAAAATGTTTATCATTGAAACAATATTCTTTGCCCTAAAAAGATATCTTTCAACTGCTTGAAATGTTTTGTCATTTATTTTTCGGGCCACAATAAAACTTCAGTACATATCATATGGTTGTATTTCAATGGCACTTTTTCGCTTCATATAATTCTTAATGTTGTAAATTTTCCCCGTTATCTAATTCGGCCATAAGCGAAAATTCCATTCACTGTGTTCGTTTTTTCATTATGCGCCTATGCATTCCACTTACGGTTGACGATACACACAGAAATACTTTTGCCAAGATACTGGAGATAAGTGCGTGTTTTGGCTCCTTTGTTAGCTCTTCACCGACGACGAATTATTTTCATTTTTTTTTGTACTCTCCTACTTTCATGGTTTTGATATTTATAAAAGTGGGATAAAATAAATACATTGAACGGCGTCGTTGTCGCATTGATTCTTTTTTAATGAAATCAACGATGCAACCCAAATGGCAATGGCAAATCGCATTGTCAAAGTACGTTGCACGAACTTTATGCCGCATTAGAAACCTCAACCGATATATCAACCCTCGAATTTTTGCTGTTTTTATTTTTGTTCGTCTCATTCATTTGTCGTATGTGCAATTTTAGGCAGAACGTCGTTTTCTCCACATAATGAATTGAAACCGACTGGTGCATACATCGGTTTTGCTGTTAAGCGTATAAATGCACACAGATTGTATGTGTTCATTGATTTGTGTGTCTGCTGTTTCCACTGTTCAATCGTTCGCTTCACTTTGTTCACCGAAAAAATACACTGCATCGTTGAAACCAATGCCGAATCCTCACATTCAATGTGTATTGTGAACAGTTAATATATTAAATGCTTCCTTCGGCTATTTGTGTATGTGTTTCATCACCCATGTCTCTCTCTCTTTCTCTGTATGTGTGTCTTTGTATGCACTTCCGATTGGATATTGTGAGGGTTTTTTTCCATTTCGCTTAATGTTGTTTATATGTTCGAATGATTGATACACTTCTTTATCAATGCCACATTTATAATAGCCCCGAAATTTTCATGTCGATTGGGTCTTTCTTCTCCTATTTTTATCTATTTTTTAGTGTTGAATTGCGACCTATCACCAAATTATATCAAAACTCAATATTGAACATTCCACGCCTGATGTCAACTAGTAACACCATAATTTGACTTTTACAAGCGACATACCATTTCTTGTGGTTATTTTTATAGCTTCAAATGAAAATGTTCAATGATATTTCAGTTTTATCTTCGAAAATATGTCAATAATAATAGTAAATAACAATTCGTCGACGAGTGGAAAATCCATTTTGAAGTTGTCATGCCTTAATTGGTTGTATATTCGTTGGCAAAGTGCATACAATAGAAGCATTCTTAAGATTTTTTTTTTCTTTTCGACTAGTCACTGTGTATGGTCTAAAAATAAGCCGAAAATTGCGTCTTACTCCAGTCGCATATTTGAATCACCGAAAAAATTTCCAACTCAACAAATGCAATGCACACACATACTTTTGTGTGGAATTCACTGTCATTGTTAAGCGTATACGCGCTGTGTTCGTTGCAATGCAACGAAAAATTTATACTGGCTGAGAATAATGGTTATTAGATGTTTGTATCATTTGCGTCTGCCTTGAATGAACCCATGGAGTAAAAGATGCAAGCATTTCCGTTTATTATTATTTTTCCTGTTGCGATCGAGCAAGTACATTTATCACGCAACACATTGAACATGAACAATTTTCTCTCAACGAATAAATAAACAAGTAAAAAGTTGGTCGTTATATGCTATCTTCCGAATCATTGATTTTTGGCGATGAAACATTGTCCATTTTCAAGGGTGCGACTTTTGGTCGCTTATTACTTGACGTCCAAATGATATGAAAAAGAAGAAACAACAGACGGCTAGTCTGTCGTTTTGATTCGAATAAATTGATAGCAGCGAACGGATGATTGCTCATGGAAGACCATCCCCGTTGCATTTATTTTAGTCACAGTATGTGTTTTGATTGTATCCCATCTACCACACTGCATTAAACGTAATTACGAAATTTTTATTAATCCCATGTGTATGTTAAGACCGAACCCACACGACAAAAGTCGAAATTCCTTCAGAAAACGCAAGACTATTTCTCCAACTATGGAGAGCGGGTGAACAAATTTAGATTCGTTTCTATTTTGGAATGTTTTTTTTTTCAGTTCGTGGAAGTTTGATTTTAATATATTCGTTCCCTGCTCATCAACCTTCACACTGAAGAACAAAAACAATACATCCAATGTCATCGATCGACATTTATGTAAATCGATTCTAATTGAACAAGGTGAATGGCAAAACCGTCCAAATCTTCTGCGTTTTTGTTAGGCTTAAGTCGTGTCATCGATTTATCATCATTAGTTTGAGAACCGTTCGCAAATAAACCAACCACAAACTCACAGAAGAATACACTCTAGTACAATCACGAATTTATCTTATTTATGGATTCAATTGTGTGAATAATATCCATTGGCTGTTTCTTTGTTTTCGTTTGGTTTCATGAATTCGAACTAAATGAGCAAATGGGAACAAATTTAGATCTGATTTTGAAACGCTTATTTAATCGCAAAGAAATGCGCATATTTTCCGGATCAACTGTATCGTATAAAACAGATCATTTGTTTTTATGATGATGATTCGAGTGCATTTGCTCTTGTAATCCGATCTGAGATTTGAAATGAAGAAATCATACGGAGAAAAAAATTCGTATTGTAAAACAGGGAAAATGGTTTAAGTTCCGTTCATATTCAAGTGGAAGATGATTTCGAATGAGTAACCGTTTAAGTTAGACTCGTGCCTCCGCCTTAATTCGAATTTAAAGGGAAATGGAGATAAATCGCGGTGATTTATGTGATCTTTTGGATCATGTACGCAGTGCAAACAATGAAAGCAACAAATAAAATCCACGGGCAATAAGCCGTTTCGTCATTTGTCGCTGAATAAATTTTTATGGTTACATTGAAGATCGACGGTGGCCGCCAAGCACGTGGATCACCGATCAACAAACAAGGAAGAAATACGAAAAAAAAAATTCTCTCTCTGGGCGCGAAACAATAAAATCAGTCATAAATATTAAAATGAACAAGTCAAAAAGATGTTGTTAACATCGTCGACAACATTTTTGCCACCGATCTGAACGCTGAAATTTGATGTTTGCTAATTGATTACGATGTGAGCACAGATCAAGGTTTTCTCTTTCAACAACAACAGCCACCATTATATTTGTGTTATGCGCTCTTTTCTCTGTGTTTGGTCGTGCGTGTGTTGAAAATAACCAAATAATGGCCAAATAAATGACCATCTAATAACACCTAATTGAACAGCGCACAAACTCTGAAAGCTGAAAAAAGGCAATGACAACGAAAAAAAATAGTGTTTCCTGATTAAATATCACTGTGTACTGACAGAGACAAAATATACACAACATATCTACATACACAATTGTTTGAGTGAATTTATCTTTGCTTAACTAAACTCAAATGTTTTAAGAAGACAGAGTGTAGTGTGTATTTGTTTATGGAACTGTGGTAAATCCCGGCTTTGACTCAAAACTTTGGTATTCATTGTTTGTCGCTTTATGACACAAAAAAAAAAAAAACACGAAATATTTTTCGTTATGGATGGTTCCATGTTTTGCAAAGGCTGATTTTGTTTGTCATTTTTTTACTTTTCAATGTTTTTGTTTACTTTAGTGAATGGCCAAATGAGATGTCGCTACGTGCGTATCTCGTATTATTTTGAGATGATTATTGAGTCTCGTTGTCATTGTAAACTCTGGTTTATTGCTTTTAAATGATTCCAATTGCAACAAATGTTTATGGATGCTTCATTTGGAATGATCAATTTAATATGTTGTGCGTTATCAAATCACTCTGTTTCGTTCAGATTTTGACTCACAGTGGGACACGACAAATTGACGACGAATATAAATTGAAAAGAATTAAAAAGACCGAATTTATAATTTAATATTTAAATGAGATGAAAGAAGAAGTCAACTTCGATTGAATTTAAAATCTTTTCACATCCACTTGAAGTCCAAAGATACAACGCATCGCGAGCGATAAATGAACGCATATCACATGGAAAATGTCGCATAACTATAAAAATTTGAATAATCAGATGCAAAGCCGTTTTTTATGGCATCACAAAAATAACCCATACGTTATAAAGAAATGAAGAGACGGTGATAGTTTTCTAATAGGCACTTATGTCGCGCATCAAGTTGTTATTAAACAAACACAGTGAAAAGTGACTCAGAAAATGTCAACATTGATCACTTGAACGAGATTCAGTCACACTACTTTATAACACATTGAAAACACTCGAAAACTATTATTGCAAAAATTATATTAGCATTTATTTTTAAAACTCGCTTATCTTATCTTTTAATGTGACGATAACATCGTTTACCTGATTTCACGTTGTTTAGATCAACAAAATCGGCTTTAATCGCTGCAACAAATGTGCCCATTCGCTACAAATCGATGGAAGTTTTAAACGTAACATACAGAACACACCTACGTGGATCATTGACTAATTGCTGATAAAAGGCACGAATGCGTAATTGTCATTCGACATCGCCGAACGTTAAAAGTAAAATCGTTTTCAGCGGATACGTGTGCGCTGAGCCGCAACAAACTAACATTTATTTTATTAATTCTGAAATCCAAATAAAACCTTAAATGAAGGTATCAATGACCATACAAAAATACATTTTCAAATCAAAATCGAATGATTAATCGATCGATTGTATTTCGTATTTTGCGCCAACATTAAATGGGGGGATTTTTCCCAAATTAAAAGCTATTTAACGTAATCGATAAATAGTGTGACCAAAAAAGCGAATGTGTCGAGCTGAAATTTCCAAAGCTATCCAAAAAGACCAATTCAAGGCCATTCGCACAGTGAAATAGAAAGCATTCATAGAACTAATTGGATCCATATAATTTCCACATCACATTCGTTGCTTACTTAACTCAAAATTGCTTACGAACTCTTATCAGCGGTTGGTTATCTCCAACGAGCTCAAACTAAAGTCGCCGACATTAGATTGCGAAAAATAACTGACAAGCATCGATAAATTAGCGCATTCGTATGTGTATGTCACATATATAAATAGTTGATAGTAGGGCCAACACTAGAAGAGGCAATGACTGCAATTGAATGAAAAATTGACATGACCGCTGATGGAAAGCAAAATGTAACAATTTCATGATGCCATATGAAAAATCGATCAAATGCGAACGCTAATACTTGGTGCAAAAAAATTAAAACGAAGCAAGGCTTTTGTAAGTCGACTGTCAAAAAGATATATCTAAATAATATTGGTGTCGAGTGCCGACACATTCTATGCGATGTGGAAACATTGATTTTTTTTTCTCTCGCTCTCTTTTGTCTCCCAATAGTGGAATACTTTCAATTAACAGACCATCGAGATAAACATGTGCACATACTGTATGGATGTAGTGCAAACGATTTCGTTGAAATGTGAAATAACATGAAAATGAGTGCAAACAACATCTCGCAAGAATGAAAATATGAGCACATCTGATGTGTGCCGATGAAAAGCACAACAATGTGATAAAAACTTGAATCACACCATTGTGTGATTGCCGTTTGCAAATTATTTTGAAATGACATCAAACATTGAATAAAATCCTCATCGTTTCGGAGTCTTTTAATTCGACGAGCATACACACAATATGGCAAACAAATGCCATAAGAAAAAGAGCTCTTGTCCATGAATAGTGGCATTGTTTTTGTATTTTAATATAAAATTAAATTTGTAGAAATACGCCCGTAACTGCTCGATCAAAATCATTGAGACAGAATTCACAATTAACGATGAATTGTCAAAACAATTGCGGACAAAATGAATGTGACAGAAACTATTTTTTATTTAGTTTTACGGACGGACTTTTATGACGTTGAAATGAGAAAAAATATGAGTTTTTCATTAAAATGTTTATTCGTCTCGATAACGCAGATCGAATTCAATGTGAAATGTCAGAATGATTGGCGCACATAACAGTCAGTTATGTGTGGCTGTTGTCCACTGTCGTACTGGCCGTCAAATTGTCATGCAAAAATCGTTCTCTCAATGTGAACGACTCGTGAACGGAAAATCCGCAAAAGTCCAAGCACAACGCAAACTTGCAAATTGTATGGCTTCATTCATTCTACATTGAAGATGCGGTAATTCGTATTCATGTAGAAAAAGTTTTTGTTTTTGTTTTATCGATCGACGTAATTGTTATTGCTTCTACAGAAAACTAGCATTCGAATCGATTATAATGGGCGAGAGAGTGGATTTTCAAAGACCGTCGAAGAAAGATCAATAAACTGATGAAATATATTGTTTTGATATTATTCAAGCATCACACACACATTTGGATGAAACGTAATAAAATTGCATTTTTCGAAGTCCGGCTAACAAGTACGGCCGAAATCTCGATTTCGGTTAGCCTCTTACAAAATTCATAAGTGAATTCAATTACAATAGTGTTTATGATTAGCGCTACGATAAGTACACAACAATTTCAAAGAATTTGTATTGGGACCACAAATTTATGAGATTTCTCGAGATACGAAGCTCAATATTGTTGTTTCCTATGTGTCGATCATGCGTGTGTTTATACATAGCGTTTTTTGTTTCATTTTCTTAATTTCAATCGCGTGCACGATCGATTTCGCTCATGGAACTGCTCTTGTGCAACTAGCGCTCGCATTTCACAGCGCATTGCCTTCTTGTTTTTTTTCCACTCTGATCATTCTTTTGTGTGGCACGAAAAAGATTTAAACAAGACAAAATTAAGATTTATTGTTCAATTTCTTCACTTCTATTCTTGATTTTTTTTTTTTAATTTCGTTTCTTTCGATTTTATCTCATCGCCCGACATCTGCATGCAATGTTTATTTTTGAACACACGCCTGTACTGAAGTTTATCAATGTATGGGTGAAAGCGAGTGAGTGAGTGACCGAATCGATTTTCTATCACGAAATCTCTTTGTTTACACAAATTTGCACTCATTTTAGTTTCATATACACATTTCCGGGAACACAAAGGAATTGAGAAACGATTGCTGTTTGTTTGCATAATTTTAGATCAGACTCTTTACATTCAATTGTATACACACAAGAAAAAACACCAACAACAAACATTTATACATTCGTATAAATCCCAATTGTAAGAATGTTGATTTTAATTGATTGTATTTCGTGTGAATTTATTATTATTTGCGCAGTTGGAACTATAAGATGTTTGAATTAATTGCGTAAATGAGTGAATTCGGAAATTATAAATTTAAGTCATGAGCATAAAGTATACGAACGAAATGTGCACCACGTGCACCATAAACAAATGAATTCGGATGAAATATAATAATAATTTTGGAATTATTTAACAATAAATTGCATAATTTCCAATGCATTGGGCAATATTACGAAAAGATAGCGATTAACAAGAAACGAAGAAAAGAGTTGAACGCGATACAGAGCTCCGATAAACGCACGTTCGTCACATAATGATGCTAATTTTCATTTTATCGATGCTCAATGGAAAATATCACTGGGTCACTTTTTATTGTTAAAATGTCACCGAGTGTTAAATGGAAATGTGATCGCTCATGTATATTTAAGGTTCACACTAAATGCATCACTGTTTTACGTTTATGGTCGTCTTAATTTTCGTTGTGTGCATTGGACCAGCACAAAAGTAAGAATATCAAATAACATAAACACGCGTTGTTCCATCATCACGAAGCTACTGCCATTAAAATTCACTGACTTGTTGATTGTTTTACTATTTGTTTAAAATTCTCTGTTTCGCTTCGTTAGAAACACAATTCTCAGATCGATAAATTACCCAAGAGACATTTGTCTAAGTTTAGTCGTTCATGTTTAGAAAAAAAAAATCATTGAAATTATGAATTTTTAATGACAAACAACTTGCTAATTGCCTGTTTCTTTTCTTTCTCTCTTTCACATGTTCAGGCCAAACTATTGAATCGAATAACCAGTTATCACATCAAGCGGAAAAAGAGACAACTGAAACAAATCACCCGACATCAGATGAAAACAATGTAGGCGTTACGGGCACCATACAAACACAAACGAACGAAAAATGCAATGAAAACGATACTAATCAATCGAAAAATGAACGAAACGACAATCCGGATGGCAAAAACTGTGATATTCTCGTAGAACGGAAAGATAAGGATCAAACCAATACGAATGCCATAAAAAATCCAACCGAAGAAATTTTGTCGACGATATCAACTGGTGACATCGATACGAAAACTGAAAAAAAGCCATTTGGTTCGCTTAATGATAAAATCACACCAAATGGTACCATAAAAACTGTGCAAACTAATGGTGATGAAACGAAATCAAATGGTCAATCACCGTCGTCGAAAAGCAATGGGAAAAAAGCCGTTTCATTGGATAAAATAAATGAAAAAGTCAAAAAGTTTATTAGCGGTGAAATTATAGTTGATAAAGAAAATCCATTTAAAAAATTAAACGCAAAACGACGAGCCGACTTTTTCTCATCGACTCCAACGAATTTACAACAAAATTCAAAAGTGACATTTTCCATCAAAGAAATACCAAAGGATGAATACATCACAAAAGAAGATGTGCTAAAAGAATCAAAATATGTTAAAACTTACATCAAAAATCCCGACGAGTATTTTGTTTATGATCCAACGATAAAGCAGCGCCTATTACGAGAGGATCAAGAAGAATTTGCGACAAAAAATCGTAATCGCATTTCACCGCCGAAAAAAGTCAATGGAACACGTAACATTAGCAAAACAACACAAGAACGACTACGCGAATTGAAAAATAGATACAGTCCATCAAATTTGAATTACAATCAACCAAAAGTAAGAACAATTCACAGCAATGGCTATGCAAATGGATGCGTAGCCTCAAAACTGCCAACAACACAATATCGAAAAGTTGATCGCAGTAAATACCCAGATTTATCACAGATCAAAGTAAAAACGGGCACCGATCTTGAAGGAACGTTTTTCAATCCAAAAGAAGTGGCATTGAATGCGAAAAAGTTTGATGCCCGCATAAAAAGTATTGCACAATTCGGTTCGCAAGACGATTTAGATGAAATAGCCGATTTAACGAGTGATTTTGATGCAAGCGGTTTGGATGAAATTGATACCACACCCGAAGAAAAGCCAAAAGAGAAAATTGAAGAATCGCTTACAAACACAGTGAATAGTAGAGAATTTCAAAAGTATTTGGCCGAAAAAGGTCTTACGCTACAACCACCGCTACGAATCATTGAAACAAAACCGAAAATGTCTACGCCAACGATAGAAAGCGAAGTTGATGCGAAAAAAGCAAGAAAACCATCGGTGCTGCAGCGACTTTTTCCGAATGGATTCTTTTCATCGCGGCGACGTACAACACCAAAAGACTCTACACCTGTCCCAATCAAAATTCATGCAAATGAACCGAAGAAAGAAGGTCGCCTTAGCAGCGCCCGACGTTTGGTATTACATCGACAAAGTATGCCAGCCAATTGTGATGCTTATCTTGCAAAGTCAAATTTAAAAACGTCGAATGCTTTGGGCGGCAGCTCATCATCGATTTCAAGTACATTAACCAATGTGGAAAACAGTGAATATTTGGAATCGTATCGTGCAAATTGCAATAAATCGCTGAAATCAAAATCAAATGATTCGGAAAGTGCACGATCACTTTCCGGTTTGCGATACATTGATAGTTCGTCAAATAGTACGATTGTTACCTGTGATAAAAACAAAAATACAGATCAACATGTGCAAAATATAGCGAAACCGATTCCACGGCCACGTCAACATATTAATGGAAGATCATCAGTGCCATTGCCACAGCAAACGCCCATTACAAGCAAATCGAACAAAGAACCATCGGCCACTTTGCAAAAAGTCAGAGTATTAGAAAATCGTGATCGAGATAGTTGTGTCAAAACACGTGTTCGAACGCCAAAAATTCCGATCAGTAATTTACGACCGTTAGTAAATCAACGAAACGATGGAAAATCAGATCAAATCGATGAGAAAAGAGTCAATGGCTTCGGTAGCGATACAATTAAATGTGAACAACCGAAGCGTCGTAATCCATCAAAATTGCCCGAGAGACTGAATAAAGTGCCAGCATGCGCTCAACCGAATAAACGTATTCTATGTGAAACATCGTTTGAAGTACAAACCAATCGAAATGATGTTAAGACTCCAGACACGTTTTTAAACGTTTCGAAAGCACCAAAAACATCAACACCGATCACAGATGGTGCACCGCCAAAATTCCATGCGGAAATGAAAAAAGCCAACAATATACAACATGAACAAACATTAAATTTGTCACCGATTTCGATGCAGACTGATTCGGTACTGGAAAAACCAGCTCAACTGAAAATGGATGCGGTAACATGGGCAAAAATGCAAGAATTAAAAGAGAAAACCGATCGACAATTATATTCGCAACCGTTGTTAATTCAAGCGCATATGAATGCACAGCCAATAGCATATAGCCCAAGAATAATTGAACAACCACAGCAACCACCAATCTATGATCGTTTGCCGGTTCATAATAATATGGTGGCCGTACAACCGTTGTATGCCAAAGTGGAAAAAAAATCAGCGGTGCCAATAAGCACGCAATTCATTCGGAATGCTCCGTATCGACAATCACTCGATCAAATCAAATTGCATGCCATACAACAACAACAATTGCAACAGCAGCATCAGCAGCAGCAACAACAACAACAACAAACTATGAATCCGGCAATGGTTTATCAGCAACCTGTTTTCATTCGAAATTCTCCGCAACGAAATACGATCAGCGGCATTTATCGCGGTAGTACGATGCAACGAATCAGTCCACAAATTCCGCAAACACCGATAACAATTGTTCAGGCGACGCAACAGCAGCCACAGCGACCACAAAGTGTTCTCGATGAAATGATGACAGGGCGACGTGCACAATCAACACCATCGCCAAGTGTTCAATTACGTCGTAATCCATTGAGTCGCGGCGAAATAATGAGTCAGGTAATTGAATTTTGCCGAAAGTCAATGAGTAAAACGCCGACCAAACTCTTTGGCGCTGCATCAACGGAACAAGTGGCTACTGTTAAAGATGCAACGTCATCAGAGGTATCACCGATTTCATATTCGTCTATGACACCATCAAAAACGAGTCCAAGTATTGCTTCGAGTAGAAGCGGTAAAATTGGACCTCAAGTGCCAATTCGAAAGCAAAGCTTACTGCAACAGCACCAACAACAGCAGCAAATCAAATCGAACACAAATCAGATTGATCAACACCATCCAATTTACGAACGAATACCCAAACACTGTACACAAATACCCGTACCGTTGGTGAACGATGAAAATAAGCCAATGAACGGAATGATTGGTCATTATGCTGTGCCGCCAAAAAGATACATTATGGTTGATAATGAACATCTAACACCAACTCACGTTAAACAATATCAACAAATAAACGGATCACATGCATCGCTCAATCAACCGGTGTACATTCAATCGATTGCACAGAAAAACTGCAATCGTATTTTTAATGATGCGAATGCATACGAATATGTGAACGTTTGCAGTGACAGTAATCCATCACTCAGCAACAATTTATTGCAAATTTATCATCCAAATTTGACACAAAAACCAACAAATCAAGCCATGGATCGCAGATTCACACCAATTATTTTACCAACAATTCCACAACATCAGCAAATAAATGGACATGCAAGCACGGTTGAAGTACACCTTCCACCCGGTTACACGAAAACAAAAGTCGTACCGAAACACGGCCGCATCGTCATGTTGAATAACGTTGAGCAAATGTATCGGCCCATTGCAATGCCAGCAAAAACCATTCGATATCAAACCAACCAAACTTCTCAAACTTCATTGGACAGCAGACAAAGTAGACAAAGTGCCGATACAATAGATTCGCTGCAATCACCAAAACGAGAAATTATCGCACACAGTAAGTAGATTAATTTTATTTTATTTGATTGGGACCATTCATCACTCTCCATGAATTGTATAAACAAAGAGCAAAAAAGTATAGTTTCTTCGGCGTCTCCATTGAGCTTAGTTGAACTAGTTAAGCACATGCTGTTTGGAGCGACATCTGTTGCCACATTCATCTCCAGCGTACTAACGTGCTGAGCTCCGAAAAGCTTTTTCATATAATTTTCTTACGAAAAATTTATATTTCATTTGCTGCGAAGAAAATTTATTTTGTGATGTGTTGAAATCCGTTTCACCGAGTAATATTTCAGTTGGCAAATTGCATTTGCCGATCGCTAGGGAAAAGTGGTTGTAAATCGTTCATCAATGCAGATGTTGTAATATCAACCGTTTCATTCAAATTCCGGAGAATCAGAATCAAAAAAAGGCTCCAGCATAGAAAATAGATTTGAATTTGTGTTTATTTATTGTCAATTTTAACGCCGAACAGTTATGAAAAGTTGTGTGTTCGCATGAAAATCGGTGTGTTTATGTGTTGAAGTGCGTGCGCATAAATTCGTCTTTCTTCCAGAGAATGTGACAGTGTGTGAGAGCGTACGTGCTGATGTATGTGTGGTGTCGGTATAAGGGCGGAACTCGTATACAATACACAAACACATGCAACCACCGTTGAACAATGAATTGTTTTCCTTTAAACATAATGAGTTCGATGCCGCGTATATCGATTCAAAATGTTATTGTATTGGTTGTAGCGCGGTTTGAATATATGCGTGGAAAACATTTTCACTGTTTTCAGAATTGGTCTTTATTTTCGTGTTAGAACGCATACAGAGAGCATAGCTGAAGTCAACGATGAAAACGATTTTTTACTCGACACCCAAAAGTTTTAGCTTCAAGACGCGCAATTCGTTCGCATTCAGTCATTAGTGAAATGAATTTCTAGTATTATAGAGTGCATCATTCGTGTAATAAATACGGAAGATTTCAATTCAATATTGAAATTTGTGATTGTTCACAAAAGAAAAGAAACAAAACTACAAGAAAAGGTTGGAAAAAACTTACCGCCTTCATTTAGAGGCTGTGTCAGTGTTAATCGGTTTTGTGATTGTGGCTGTGCTGACCAATTTCATTTTTCTTAGATTTGGTTTATAAATTCAAAAAAAAACATTGATGTGCCGGAAATATGTTGTTGTGTAAATGTTTAATGAAATGAAAAAAGAAATCGATCAATCTTTTGTGCTCTCGTTTAACTAACATAAGAATTTATTGGCTACATTTTCTTTTGCTGACGTTTAGACTTTTTTCGGCTCATGCTTTTATTTTGTTATATGTGCGGATATAGAGTGCGAATTATCAAATGTGAAGAAAAAAACTGAACTCTGTGTTCTGAATATGAATGAACTCTTTGACATCATTTGACTTTTATAGAATTTATTTGAACTTTGTGTGTTATTTTTGTGTGCGCAAAAAAAAGGTTTCAATCAATCGAATTTATTTTGAATTTTATGAGCTTCAATTTAGTATGATTGATTAATTTTTTGTTTTTTCTTTCGATGATTTCACGTGCTATAACCTGTAAAATACGTCAAGCAACGCTGAAGCTATAAAAGTTATTTTCTTCGACAAAAAAGAAATGAAATTCAATTGAGAATCATTCGCGAAACGAAAAACATTCGGAATAAATTTTATCATTATCACCAAAACCAATTGAATTTTTTTTTCTTGAGCGCGAATTGAAGGAAGAAAAAAAAACATATCTCAAGTGCTCGTTAAATTGACAAAGAAACGAAGGAATTTGAATGTTATTTTCCCGATTTTACGCAAACAACTGCCAAAGTAAAAAGTTTGGATTGTTGAAAGTTTTGCATGAACTACGCCCATTTAAATATACGTGTGGCTCCATTTTTGCATTCATCACATAGTGGTTTCCGTCACAAAACTTCTCTTCGCAAACAGAGAAATAGAGAGAGACAGAAAAAACGAGCACGATTCATTAGCCTTATGCTTCTGCAACATTCTATTTGTTCTATCTTGTTTGCTTTGCAAATGCGGATGCATTTAAAATTTATGAATCCATTCACTGTTGAATATTTTATACGGTACAAGATAGCGTACGTAAAAATGTACGAGACCCAAAAACAGCATGTCATGAATTGGTCTCTAATCGATTTTAAACCCTGAAATAAAAACGAAATCGCCAAAAATTCAAATGAAAACACAATGTTAATCATGCTTATTTTATCTGATTTTTACTTATGATCCATCTCACCAAATTAGATGTATGTAGTTTGGTTGACACCTGGTAGTTCGCTGTTCATTTTCCATAAATCATGTACAACACAATTAGCAGCAAAAATACATGAGAAATACAAAGCGAAACATCCTAATAAGTTTCTTGGGAATGGTAATGGAAAACATGCCTATGCGCGTGCATTCTCTCATTCAACCATACCATATTTTAAGCAAACAAGTACCACATAAAATGGTTGAATGATAATGTCGGCGAATGTGAGCATAATTGCGTGTAAGTGAGCATTTTTTTTTGTTTTAAAGTAGAACCAGTATATACATATCAGACGGTTGTTCGACATCGTGACGAGTTTATATGCGGCGACTTCCTCATTGCTATTGTTCATTTAATGTGTGCGTGTCTGTTGTTTGAGGCGTTTGCCATGCTTGCAAATAAAGGAAATTCTCCATATATTCGCGTGTGGTTGTTGTCGATGTCGCTTTCATGTCTGCTAATTTATGTTTGAGTATGTACTTTTTGACACGGTCCGTTCTTCTTTTTTCTTTACCATCGTATCGTCTTCATAGTCGTAGTAATCGTCTTTTTCTTTCCCTTCTTCTTCTTCTTCAGCTACCATTTCACGGGTAGCATCACTACCATCATTGTGATTAGTACTGAAGCAATGTCTGCTTCGATGTACTGAAATTTTATGTTTACCTGGGGAAATAACGTGTTTTATTTCATTTTTATTACGCTTTAAATATAAAAAGAGGCAACATTTACAAGCAAAAATATCCACGATAAAGATATCTGACATGATGGTGATGGCGGTTTCCACCACAATATCAAATTGTTGACATAGTTCTGCATGGATAAGTAGACAAATGTATGTTTACATTTGGCTTTTGTGTGTGAGCCATATAGCATTTCTCACCTTTGAGTGGCGTCAATTTATATGGTTTCGTTGCCTTCAACACGATCCCCATTCAATGAAGTTCAATGAAAAAGATTATCGATAACATGTCATAATCCTACACTAAAAGGACGGTTTTATTACGCCCACCGTTAAATGATGATAAAACAAACGATTAAAACACTCTGCTCACTCTCTCTCTCTTTTTTCTCGGTGTGTATGTACGCAGAGAACCAAGAACTCTTACATCTTAGCCCTTTAAACGAAAAATGGAAAATCGTTGGAATGAAAAGTTTAAAATTTCAGTTCAACTCCGAAATATGTTCTTTGGTCAAATAAATACATGTGTGGAGGAAGACCACAAACCCCGAAATGGAAGAACTATTCCAGTTTAACCAAAAATCGCTTTGTACATTCCTGTGCTGAAAAATACTTTGTTTTCCAGAGTAGATTTATTGCTTTAGTTATACAAGAAAAATATATTTTGAAACGTAAATGCATGAACAAAAAAGAACTGGCTCACATCAACGTAACAATGAAAAATTAATCGAGTGATTTAAGGAAATTATTTGCATAAATCGAAAGTTTGACACCGGAGCCCAGGTTTGTTAGCTAAAATTGTTGAAAGTTTTCTACATGAATTATGTCATTGTGGATATAAATTTAATCATCAGAGTCAAAAATGTGCGCTACATTTGAAAACTTGGCTGAAAAGTTGTTGTAAATACACAAGCTGCATTTCTCGGATTTCATGACAAAAATTATGCAATACACTTTTATAACGAGGACTCAAGCATCAAATTACTTTTACATCAACAGTTTCAATCCATTTATATGCATTTTCATACATTGCCTCACAACCGAAAGCCTTTTTTTACATACAAATTGAAACTCTGACTTTGGCATAAATTCTGCAACATAAAGCAAACCACATTGCCAACTACATCTTGTAGATTGTCATGCAACCTGTACTTAAAATGGAATGAAGAGAAAAAAACATAATAATTTTCCTCGCGACACTTGCACATACTCATCATCATTTGGGAATTTCTTCTCCTACGTGCTCAAAGAATTTTTCGTCGTTAAACTAAAAAAAACTAACGATTGACACCTCATTTTGCGGTACTCCTTTGCGCTCACAAACAACACAAAACGTTCATCGCAAGTACTTTGAAACTCATGTAAAACTTTTTTTTTTATTTGCTTGTGTTTCCATGAAGATATTTTATTCGAAGAAAAAGTGATATACAATTTACATGACATCTGTAAAAAAATATAAAAACTCATAAACAAACGAAGTGAAAAGCAACAGGAAACATTTTATTTGAAAAGACGACAAAATATATTTAAAAAAAAAACAGTAACAATATGTTAATTCGCTGGAAGAGTAAGGATAAAAGTAGCTCAAATAGCTCATCGAGCAGCTCAAAGAAGAAACGAAAAGGACGTGAAGGAGGTAAACAAATTGCTGTTTGAAAGTTTTTGTTAATTATTTAGTACGTTGATTGTGAATAACGAGCATTTTATTTCCTAACGATAGATAATTACGACGAATATTAGAAAGAATGAAACAGGATAAAATTCTTGCATGAAATGATATATTTTTGGAGAAAAGTTCATTTATTTGATATGAACTTCCAGTTAATTGAAAATTATTGCTTTTCCGTTTGCGTTGATGTAGAAGACATCATCACAGTGTGAACGAGATGTTTCGACAGTGAAATCAACTGCCAATCCAAAAATAAGTTCAACACTATTGACAGAAAACTTCGATTAGATTTCAATATTGATGTAAACAAAATACCAACATTCTATAGATTATTATATAGATACCACCAATGTGTATTGAACGTTGTAATAGCGAATAAAAAAGAACGTACAACGTCAGTCCTAAGATAATATTACATCCAACGATAATCCAGACGCAAGTTGAATATGCTTCAGCACAACTTCTTCTATTCGCCATCTCTCGCTATAGATAATTTGGATTTTCTTTGCATCAAATTCTATTTGCAATTCTAACGTAAATATTTATGTCGGGTTCCGTTGAATGAACGGATTTCGCCTTTTTGTGCATGGATTACGTATGGATAGAGAGAATGAAAGCGATTGTGAGTTTCTTGTTTTCGATAGATGATGGAAAAAATGCGCTTATTTTATGCGATGGATTTATTTCCATCATTTTCTCTTTTCTCGATGCTGTTGGTGGTAGTGCTGCTGCTGCTGCTCTGGTTGATGTTATTTCTTTTCATTTCATTACGAAAAACTCTGATTTCATTGTGGAAAAACTCATGTTAAAAAGGAAAAGAATGCGAATATTTTTTTTTACAAATATGAAATGAACCATAACTGTTAAAAACAGAGGAGTGGTTCACCTAGGTTCACAACCTTGTATGAGCTAATCGTAGCTGAATTGATTTCCTTGCTCGTAGCCATTGTGAAATTATATGAAAACGTCAAAATCATAGAGAACCATGCATGGTCCCATGTCATTTGGAATTATTATGGTTAACGCATTTACGTGATAAATTTCTATAACCTACATTCTTTGTTTCAGAAGAGGATTGGCAAAATGACAAAGGCAAAAATCAACAGAGTGATCAAGGTAACATTTTAATTAACAGCAATCTCTTTTTATATTACATTTGCGAGTGAATATGTTGTGGCTTTTGGTGTGGAAAAGGAAATAAGCTGTTGACAGACTTGTACATGGCTCCATTTGATTATGATTTCTTCTTCCCGACAACAATATCCCAGCGGCTTACCTTTTGTCAATGAAAACAATTGAGAGAGACAGTGAAAAGGATTGAGAAACACAAACAAAACGACATTTGAATTTATAAATTAATTTCCATAAATTTTGTGGTGATATTTCAAATCTCGCACTGATTGTCTTGGTATACCACCTATAAGAATACACCTTTAGAATTTACGTAATTGCATTGAATTTACGACGAAATCCTGCTATAGATAATGAAATTTTCGACGCAATGTATTTTCATTGTTTTTAATTGGAGCGGAAACTACAGATACATATTTTTTTTTCTGTAATAATAATAACTCTGATGCACGATGACCAGAAAGTCGAATTCTCTGGTAAATTGTACAATGCTTGCAATAAAATCGATATAATTACCAACGGAACACCATAAACAAAAAAAAAACTCTATGAAGAAAAAACACAGAATAAATTGAACACATGTCGGAAAATTGTATGGTTGAGCGTTCGAGGTAGAGGCGCGGTGCTTGTTATTCAATTTACAATTATTGCCCCCTTTCATAAAAAAATGAGAAAAACAATTCGAACTAATGGACATATATGAACATTTATAAAGCAATTCCATTTGAAAACAAAACTGAAATAGAGTCAATTTTTTTTATTTCATTTTTTATTCCGGTTCCAATTAAAAATTGAAACAGCTTGAGCACATCTCCTAGAATATGCAACCGTAATACGTACATACAAGACGACGGGACACCCATCTGCGATGGTCCACGTGTCAGGTTTTTTTACACATTTCAAAAATATACAAATGAGCTTCCGACTTCGACACTTTAGGCACACCAACAAAAATAAACAATGAAAAATGAAAGAGACAGAAAATATGAAGTAGTTGCAAGCATGTCGCGATTGAAGATTTGATAGAGATGCGCTCGAGACTATTTCGATTTTTATTGCCTTTTGCCGTAATAATTTGACATTTGATGAACAAAATCGGCATTCGGCAAGCTGACAGCAGATGTGCCTCATTTTAGTATATTTAGTTCGTGGGGCCCGAGTACGACGACCACGACGACGAGTATTCTATTGCCATGCATTTTAAGATTGTGTGATATGTTCAGAACGACTGTGTCAGCAGTCTTGCATTAACATTGCAAAATATAATAGACCAGACAATATTAGAATTTCGTGTTCTTTTCTCCATTTGCTTTATTTCACTCGACGATTTTCTCATAGTAATATCATTAGAGTCACGTCGGAAAACTTGAACCGCTTTCATATTACGTTATTGTGTCAACGATAAAACCATTTCCAAAGTGAATGAAAGAAAGTCCGTTGCTTGTATTGAAAAACGGTGAATGAAAAAGTTGATGGAAGTTCTTTTTATTCGTCTAATGATGAGAGTGAAGTATGATTTATTAAATACGTGACATTAAGTTGTAATGGCTAATTGAATCGGTAGCAGAATGTTTAATAATAATATTTTCGTTTAAATTCAAATGTATTTCAAATTATATGCGACGCAATGTTTTAGAAAGAAAATTTGGTTGATTTTTTTGCGATTTTCTATTAGTCCAGCCATTTCAATCAAAAGCCACAATAATCCAAGTGAGACATAGCAGCACTAAATCACATATTTACAAATTTGTTCATTTGTTTTTCTAGACGACAGACGACGTGGTGGCCGCATACGACAAACAGAAGATAATCGACGGCATACGCTGGGAAATGATATGCTAGTTTACGCTCAGCAGAATCAAAATCTTCAGCAACGTGCAATGGATCTTGAGGTGAATATCATTAAAAATTATTAAAATTTTCACAAATGTTCATCTTTTTTCATCAAAACCAAGTTCCTCATCGTTTTTTTAAATACAAAACCCCCTCTTTTTCGCGCTGACATTTAGTCTGCTTAATTTTTTAATTAGACATGTTTTAACATTCCAAAGTAAGCACAAGTAAGATTTTTTTCGATTTGAGTTGCGAGTTCTCTTTTTTTCTCTCTCTCCATACGAACATACATTGAAAATATAAAGAATGAAGCACATTGTGCAGCCAAAGCAAGTGTCGCAAATTGAAATGTTGAATTGATATACTTTGCTTGTTTTTAGATGGGAATGCGGGCTCAAAAGAACAAAAAGGTAAATGGGGCAAATTGAAAAGATTAGTGTGTGTTATATCTTCTTTTTTTTCATCATATGTTATTTTGCATCCAAGTTTTAGAATGTTTGCATTCATTTTTCATTCAAATTCCAAAGAAAATTGAGCATGAAAGCGAAAGCAATCGGCAACACAGTTGTTGAACTGGCGTTGAATTAGAATAATTTCAACCATACATTCAGCATTTACTGAATAATCTGGAAAGATTTATGAGAAAAATTCAACCATCATTTCATTGAATAACGCATATAATTCATTCAAATATGCTAGCATTTAAAGCATGTTTTTGTAGCTTTGCATTTGATAAATAGACCTATTGATAGAGTAGACGATGAATCGTTTCGCATGTTAAAATTCCATTTTAGAATCAAAATTACATTTTATGTGAATTTTTTTCTCGTCTATGTCAGCAGCAGCCTCCGCCAGTGCGTGGATACGCACCAGTAAATCAAGGTCCATTATTTGATGATGATCCCGGTATAATGTCAGAAGTCGAAACTGCCAGCACTGGATTTCGACGTGGAAATAAAACCAGATCGTCGTTGCCTGTAGTTCGTACACCGTCAAAAACGTTGGAACGACCTCTCGGTATGTATTTATTTTTGAATCACTTTTTTTTTTGTTAAAGAGCTTTACTCTTCTCTTGGCCGATGCATAGAAAAATAAATAAATCAGAGAAAAATATGTGTTTAGCATTCATAGAATGTTTAAATAAACGGAAACAATTTTGTTTCTTTTTTTTTGTTGTATTTTGAATGCAGGCTTGGTATTTTTACAATATCGATCTGAAACGAAGAGAGCACTGTTACCCAACGAAATTACGTCAATTGACACAGTACGGGCACTGTTTGTTCGTTCATTCCCGCGGCAACTAACCATGGCTTACTTAGAAGGACCAAATGTTAAAATTTACATTCATGATGCCAATAAAGACATGTTTTACGAATTGGAAGATGTGAGGTTAGTACATACGACTATATTTCTCTTTCTACCTATCTCTCGCTATCTATTTTGGTGTTGGTATTTTTTTCCTCTTTCAACGGTATTTATGCTGTTATGTTGCATATCTTTGGCAATATTTGACATCAAAATAAATTCTAAATAATTTTCCATGTATGCAGAGAAAAAACTCATTTAATTTTACGATTGGCTTCTGGATATGCGATAGACAATAATTCGCTTCTTTTATTTGGTTCTGGGTGTTTTATTTTTGGTGATTTAAAAATATTTTCTTCAGATCACATCTTAGGGAAATTCGTGATCGATCCGTACTTCGTTTGTTTGAATCGAACGAAGTAAATGCTCCACAAGCTCTACCGGCTGGACCTGGAACAGTACCACAACCATTGCCACAGACTGGAACACACTGGGATCAAGATCAGGTACATATACAAATTCCATCAACATATTTACAAAGAAAATTCAATCAAATTCCTTTCTATTTACTCTTTCAATAACATTCTACATTTCTTACCTTACCTTTATTCAAATTAGTTTGGATATTGTTCGGAACCGGAATTTGATACCGAATACTCGCATCAGCATGTTCACAAAAACAAAGTGAGTATTGTTTTATTTTAAATCAAAATCACTATATTTTCATTTATTTTCTCTTACAAAAATTCAAGCGAATTACAACTGAATAAATTAAATTAAATGTTAAATTGATTCTCACAAAAAGCTGTCTCTGAAAACATAAATCAAAAGTTTGTTTAATAGTTTTATACATAAAAACATGGTTGGTATGAATGTGAAATTAAAAAAAAAAAAACAATTCAACTAAAAATAATGAATTAAACTAAAAAGCACCGCAACTGCCAACGCTGCGTCCCTTGAGTGCATGTTCGGTTTGAATTTTGGCGTCTTTCCATGTGAAAGCAACTGCACCAGCAAATGGTTCAATTTGACATGATGAGCACAACGATAAAACGGCATTCACTTCACCTTCGGCTGCTTCGCGATCATGCGCTTTAATTTCATCTTCGATATCTCCCTGTTTTGTTAAGCTTTCTTGAAAATCACCGGCTCCAAATTGGGCCAGCCCATCATAAACGAATGGCGAATCATCAATCTGGGCTAGATTTTTATCATCAATAAATGATCCATCGCTTAGTGGAATTAGTGCACGTTTCTTGTTAAGTTTTTTGGTTGTTGGTGCACGTTTTATAATACGACGTACTTTGATCGCTTTACGTGGACTATTGCCATTTCGTTTGAATAAACTGTGACTGTTAAATGTTGGCGTTGCGCTTTCATCGTCAATGAATTGAACATTGGCCGGATTGTTTAGATTGACAAAAGATGAAGCCGATATTGATTGTGGAATTGTTGGATCTTGTGGTGGTTGTTGTGGAAATAGAAGTGGTGAGGTTGGAGCTGGTGAGCTTTGTAACTGCGATGGTGGTGGCGGTGTTGTGAATTGCTGTTGAACCAATTGATTTGCTCGACTAAATTGGCCGCTCACAAATTGTGTTTGTCCCGGTAAAAATTGCGTTTGCAATGCTGTTGGTTCGTTTAAATTTATACGATTCAATACAGCACCATTTACCAAAAATGGGTTCGATGTTGCTTGCTGTACACAACAAAAAGAAACATTCGTTCATATAATGATTGAAAACGGTATTGGATTTTATGTAATATGTAAATATTTGTTGATGGTATATTATACCTGTGGTGCTGGTGTTGGTTGTGCCGTTGATGTGACCAAACCTTCGTAATCAAAATGATGCACATGATGATGTTTGTGGTCGCGATGTGCTTTACCAGCACTCAGAGCCACTTTATACAATTGCAATACGGTTATTTCCATGTGATGACCCGGTGCTATAGCGCCAGTAATCGATGGGCCACCCGAATATGAAACACCATTGGATCCAATTGTATAGCTAACAATCTGTAATCAGAAAATTGAAATCATTAATGATTACAAGGTTTTTTTTTTCTCTCTTGTTTGCTGCCAATGAATCGCCTTGTATCCAGGCAAACAAAACAAAAAACACCATGAAAATGGGTTGATTTCTGGTTTTTCGATTATGCAACGAAATCATTACAATTTTATCTCGAAAAACGTTTTTTTTAAGTGTCTGGGAAAAAATCGGCAACTTCTAGGTGTTGACATGATTTTTTGTTTGCTTATTGTGAATATATACGTGCAAAAGAGAGAAATAAATAATTTTGTATAAAAAGAATTCGGTCGATACAATACCCGGTTATGGAAACCGCGTCCAACACGTTCTGCCTTCACCCATAGTTGCCATTCACCAGTTTTACCATTCCATGAGGCGCACGCATGATGCCATTTACGTAATTTCAATGGATAATTCAATCTGTAGCAAATAAGAGACCATTAATTTTTTTGTTTTTTTTCCTTCTGTTTGTTTGATTAATTATGGTCGCTATTGAGTATTGACATTTTTTCTGATGACAAAAAAAATAACAAGGTTAGCCTAGGTTAATCAAAGAAGTCGTCGTTAGTTATTGAATCCAAAGCCATTAACAACAACACTTGCTGACAACAGCACTAACATTTAATATCATGGTGTGTGACTCTTCGCATCAACATCAACTTCTGTTTATGGTCGTTATATTCACTCGATTTCATTTCATTAATTGAGTTGGTGTCATAAATTAAATAACGGAGAATAACACTGAACCAGGCAGGTTTGCTGCAATTCATGTGGAAACTAGAGCAAATTTTTCAAATGTTGTTCAAATATCGTTCGAATATCATGCAGTTTGACAATGCATTTATTTAATTACTTGAATTTGTCGCTTTACATTACTCGCTTAACCCACTAAAAAGCGTAATTCTATCCATTTTCAAGAATTTTGATTTGTAAATTACTGCTTATACGAGTTGGTGTTAATTAGTTGCTGCATTTAACCGAGATTTTATTGATTGATGTCAATGGCAATAATACAATTTCAATAAATAATAATTTTTTTATCGATTTTTTTTACTTCTTGTGGTTTATAATGCAGAGTTCTTTGATACGATTCAAAGTATTGCAAAGAGTAAAATTGCTGCGTGTCACAGCACTTTTTAATCTGATTTTAAACGCTTTACACATTTAAAATAAAAGCGTTCGACGAAATGCTAAAAGCAAAATTCATAACTGAATGTGGTTGAGTGTATTACTCTGGAGATTGAATGAAAAACCGAAACAAAACTAAATCCCTTTACATAAACTTCATTTTACGGTGTGGTATCGATATGTATCAGCGCGATGCCAATACCTCCCAGAGTAGATATTTTCTTCTCTTTATTCGCAGTTATTCTTTAATCGATTTTCGGTTCCGAGAAATGACGACGCAACAGAAAACTTTTCAAACATGAAACATGCTTACCTGAAGAGTGTTTGTCCATGAACAGCCAACGAAAAGTAACTGGATCCCCTGGAATTAGCTACCCAAAATTGGATTTCTCTTGGTTCGCCTTCAACTGCAGAAAGAAAAAAGAAACGATATCGTTTAAAATTGACAAGGAAATGGTACAAAAAGAACGTAAACAATGAAACGGGTAAAAGTAACAAGAAATGAATTCCGGTTTTGTAAAATTGCATCAGAAAAAGTGAATATCATTGTGTTGTTGCAGCACATAACACAAGAAAAGACGCCAAAGTTCTGCAATCGCCAGAGACGAAACGCGCTTGCATTTCCAAATCTGCCCGAAAGTATAGCAAGAATGCATGCGCCAGAGGGAAAGAAATAAACAGAAATAAGCAGCAGTTCAATTGTGTTGACACTCCAAACAGTTTATGCTTGTTCAACATTATTTTGAGTAATTCGCTTTTTTTGTTCCACGTGGATTGACACTAAGTTGATGCTTTCTGCAGCAAGTTTTATTCGAAACGAATGATTTCTTTCGTTTCCTTCAAGTGGATTTCTTGCCATATGTTTATAATTCACAATGCTGCTATTTTCGTTTTGTCTATACCATATTTCATACGTATTTATGTATTAATTCCATTTATGTGTAGTGCAAAATTATTCGTTTTATGTGAAATATTTTTTAAATGGACAAAGAGCAAAGGAAATAACGTATAAACAGAAGAAAAGAGAAACACACACACACACACGTATATACCGAGACACAATTCAAAATACACTTGTCGCTTATGTTTACGCATCGGCAATGTCTTTTCTATTAATTGTGAAAAATTTTACATAACAAAAGCGGTGCCGACGTTATTGTCATGTATTGTGGCCGATTCAATTTTCTTGCTTGCAATTTCATTCACATAAATCCTATTACGAACAAAAAAACAACGAAATAAATTTGCACAATTTTTGAATGCGATTTCATAATATATCGTTCTCATTTGACGGCAACCTATTCATGTGTATACCTACTATCGGTTGTATGTTGACATTTTGGGCCAAGCCAACATAGCAAATCGTTTACCACAATTTGTCTGCGGAAACAAATTTGTCAAATGATAATTTTTATCTGAATCACTTCTCTCTAAGCACATTCAATTTGAAATCGTTTAGTTGGTGAAATGCTTTCACAAAATTTCATATTGTTTTTGCCGCAAATCCATTGGTTTTGCAAGGATTGGACTCTTCAAGTCAATCATGAAAATGGGATACCATTATTCAAATGCCCAAAGCAAATCAATTGTTTCGTATGTTGCGTATAACGACACAATACGTACTTCTGATATTGAAATAAGAAGAGACAACGAGGAAAAGACATTGAGGTTTTCGCCTGGGTGCGTACAATGGACAGAAGTGGGCGGCCATATCAGATATATACAGCATGCATTACACTAATGAACATATGTAACTAATAAATAGGTTGACGTGGATTTTTGTTATCTCAACATACATAAAGTTCCATTTAGTTCAATGGCCATTCGAAAAGCGAAGAAAGGTGATCGAACAACAAACTGAATTAAACTGCCAATCCAAGGAAGTAAATTAACATGTTATGGTAGTTAAGCGTATGCTAATTGGATTCAACTATTATTATGTGTCTGTTGATGGACAAAATTTCGGTGGAACAAAATGTCTATCTAAAATTCGATACAACACAATTTTCATCGTCGTGGCACATGAATCGATAATTATATAGGTCATCGAATGCTCGTTTCGAATAATGATAATGTATTTTAGTCAGTCTCCCTCTCTCCCGGTTCAGAAGGACGGTTTAAGAGTTTCGCTAAAACTATCTAACAGCATGTCGAAGGAAGATATAAAAGATAGTTTTACGAAATCCCGTTGTTGCACAACCCACTTAATTTCCATTTTGCTACAGAATGGTGGTTTCTACTTTCACCGTTCACTTTAATTTGTTAAGTTTTTGTGATTGTTGTTAAAATAAACTTGATGGTGCGTTTCAAGTATGTTTCAATGTGCATACAAGATTTCTACGGGCGGAAAGAAACAAGGAAACGGAATTGTTTGATTCTTGAAATTAATCTTGGTATCGGAAATTGTGTGCTGATGCGCATAAGAGTGAGACGATGGAAGCGATTGAACAAAACTTCTTGATTAAGTTTGTAGTGTATCAACTTGAGATGAAATAAAGTTTTTCATTTACAAGAAAATTTGTATTCTTCAAGTGACAAAACCACGCACACCACTATCATCAACACTAAAGTGAATGAATTAGCCTTCGAATTTATTTGCAAACAATAGCAAAGTTATTGAATATAAATTAATTTGTGGGATTTTCACTAATAAATTGCATTCAACAAAAATGTTCTCTTTCAATATTCACTGTTCGTGCGCTTGTTCGTGCTTAGCTTTTGCCGATGATTAAAGTGAAGACGAAGAAATAGCTAATATAAATGTCACAATGATCAAGTACATTGAGCATAGAATTGTTATTTGCATGTTTGTTGCCAACGAGAATCTAGTTCAAAAAGCACAAGATGAAAATTTATGGTGTGCAAGTCATTCGGATGAATGTGAGTGGCGAGACAGATTCACCGACAATATTCACGGTTTGAATTTCAAACTCAGATCAAATAAACTCGACGGAGTTTTGGTTCTGGTATGCGTATCGAAATACGAAAGAAAAAAAACCGTCCCGGAATAAGTAACCGAATTCATTTCGAGACGGATTTGAAATTTAAAATTCTATTGACAGAAACATTAGCCCCTTATATTGATACGCATCGACAGTTTTTTTTTTCTGCTGGCTACTTGGAAATTTACAGTTAACGTATACGTAAACTGTCAAAATTAGTTTTTTAACGTAAATCGAAGGAGATTCCGCTCACGAGCTTTGGCCTCATCCATAATCAATGCGAACGTTTAGAGTAGAGGACGAACACAGGTTATAAGACGAAAAACGATATATGGCATAATGGCATTTCGAAAGCCACATAATAGAGGAAAAATAAATTGAATTTTCCATTTCTCCTTCTCTGCCTCTCTCTGTGTGTATATTGTGAACTCGTGCGAATGCATTCGTAACTTATCAACTCAATCTCGCACAGAATATCTCACACCAAAATGCTTTACATTTGAAGTTGACAGTGTCTTTGCTGCTGCTTAATCAATTGCGACAATAGTGTGCTAAAAGCGAATTCAGCTTGACTTTATCGTTTGATTCCCTTGAAAAAGAAATGGAACGAACAACAAAAAAGTTCACATGACGTCTGCTGAAAAGATTAGAGATTAATTGTAAACATAACGTTCGATCTTAACATCTATGTCTGTCTGAGTGCATCGTAGAAAAAAAATAAACATATTTCAAGTGGAAAACTTTTAAATCAACGAGTTGAAAACTTTTTTTTCTTTCACTTTAGCAAGTAGAATGAAAAATTTCATTAAAATTCATTTGGAATTGTACGCTTTGTTCTTGCATTTGTGAATATTCATGAGCGCATTCAATATACAGCATAAACTATACTGGTAATGGAGATAAAAACTTTCATCGATTGTTGAAAATCGAATGAATTCAAATAGAAGCACGCTTTTCTATCAAATCAAAATTCATTTAAATGAATCAATGGGCTTTTATCATTTGCACATTTGCGATGATACTGTTTTGCTGTGGTGAAACGCTATTTTTTCCCATATATTATATCAATAATAGTTTCATCGAACCAACATCAATTTCATTTATATTGTGTTTGAATAGACACAGACAAGAAATGGAAAATATAAGACGAAACCTCCGTATTTTATTGAAAAAAGATCGAATTTCGTTCAAATATTTGCTCAAAATGAAAATTTTGCGTTCATCGTCTATGCCATCCATCACAATTTCTTTGCTTTTAACAATACTCTTAAGTCGCATTGGAATGAGTAGTGAGAAAACACTCAACATCACCGAGAAAATGGAGTTTATAGAAAATTTGTCTCGTAAAACACATGAACCAAATTACGGCCGGATTATGTTAACCATTTTCCTGTGAATGGAATTGCGAATTACGAAAAAAGTTTTTTATCACGTTTTCAAGCTGTATAAGTGCATGCAAATGGATTTTCGGTCTTAAAGCGATAAAAAAGCCGCGACGTTGACGATATATTGAATGGTTTTTAGTGCCAGTTTATTTTTTTTATTCGGTCTTCATCAATTATTATCATAATACCTACCCGAATATGTAAATATAGAATGGTCGCCATCGTGATTGGTAAATCGCATCCACGCACAAAGTGTAAATTGTTCCATCTTTGGTATGCTGACATCATATTGAATGGTACCCTCATCTTCAAATGCGTACTTATCCACCGAACATTGGTCACTCTGTTGCTGTGAATGTTGAAAAATTGAAAAGGGAAAAACATAAATTACATTTTGTATCGATATGATGATAAAAATCATTTTTCACAATGATTCGATCAGTGTCAACAGTTTTGATTAAATCCTTTTAAAGAAACATATAAAATGTTTCACGGCATTTTCAAATTACAAACGACATTTTTTTGGGATCAAATGGGGTTTCCACCGATACTTTTTTTTTTAATCGAAGGTTATAGGCAACAACCTAACAAATTCCGAAAATTTAAACAATACTGACAACTTCATAATCCCTTGTCAAAATCCTCAATGGATTTTAAACCGGTGGTGTGCAATGTATCATTAATCAAGGCTGGTAATGAAAACGAGCCGCTTGACACAAAGTCATATGCAAGTTTTAATTGCATTCTTGAATTTGGTTCTCTTGCTTCAGCCCAAAAAAACCTTTACGAGGGTCAAGGATTTTACTCAAGCAAAGTAATGCGCAATTGATTGAAGATTTTTTGTATGTACGTTTTGTGCGGAAACTTGCAAGTACTTACGAAGAATCCATACCAGTGTAAAAACGGTGATACAAACTCCCATTTAAATGGTATAAAATATATTGACAAATCGGCTCGACTAATTGTAAATGGTCCATGCATAGCGTGTAAATGATCTACTATATATGAAATGGAGTGGAAATTATCTATGCAAATGAAGTTTGGCCACATTTAACACCCATGCCAAGAAAAAAAAGAAACACATTCGTATGAACACGATATTGATTGCTAAATAATGGTTGGTTTTTTTTACATCACTTTGATGAACGGGTTCAAACTCATTTAACTATTGGGTGCCTTGTAACACAAAGAGGTATTTTTTCTCTGTGTTCAATTTCAAGGCCGGTATTTTACACCAACACACGAGAAGAAAGAAACAAAAAATTTCAATTATAAAAACATAATCGAAGGCATCAACAAAAGCCCCTCAGTCCATAATCCATTCACGCTGAACATATGTTTTTTTTGTTCAATCGTTTGATTTTGCAGTTTTTGATTTAAATTGATAGGAGCCAACCATACAGATCAATATACATGTTTATGCCTGCCACTTATTCGGTATTTTGTTTGTGAATAATGAAATCTGGGACACGTTCGATTCGTATTGTTATGACACTGATTGATGTAATACCATTATCTAGTATGTTCGAATTCTTTGAAATTTCATTGAATAAAATTGAAATAAAAAAACACACACACCACAGTGCTATATCAATGACAGGTATGCTGATGTTTCCGTGGCTAATTGAAAACTCACTTACAACAAATTTACTGATTTATTGTCGATAGTAAACTTGAACCGTGTGCAAAAGAACGATGGCAAAAAACGTCTGATATTATCACATTGCATACGGAACGGCAATCGGTAATCAGCTATCAAAACATCATCAGTACGTTTGATTTGTAGAATAACGAGTAACATTTTATGCGAAAAACCGTTTATGCATAATGTTTGCCAACTCTGTACGATTTGTTGTACGTGATGCGTTTGTTGCAGTCCATTTCGTAGCTCGTTTAATGGATGAATGAATAGTGTCTGAATGGTCTTCGCTTCGCATATCGGATAATGCTTGTTAATTAAACCTGGGAATTTTCAAGTTTTCGAAAAGTGTTTAATGTAATTTAATGTGCAGGTTTGTTCACTTTCTGCTGTATATTGCATACAGTTCCATCCAACTGAATGTTATTTGATTTATTTCACTCTCATTTGCAAAGTAAATACACCCGATAAAATTGAGGAAAAAAAATATTGTGATTTGATAGACTATCACATCCGTGTTCCGCATGCAGAGAGTGAAAAATAAAATTAAGCCATTTGAATCGTAATGAGTGGATGCGGCTCTCGCTGTCCGACACTTAATTTTTTTATCATTATCCAACATTTATGGTGGACTCATCACGGGAAATTTTTAACAAAGGCGCTATCAACATGCTATCTAACACATTTTCATATGTTTTTATATATAATGGTGGCAACAAGCATTTTACAACGATGTTGGTTTAAATGAACCAAGACATGTTGATGTGCTGACATATGAAATTGCACACTTTTATTACAATGTTCAGACACAATCAATATGTAAATATTTTAATTGGATCGTGCGATGAAGGCAAAAATCGAATATATGCAGTTTATTTTTTTTATTAATTGAAATTTTCATCGTTAAATGGTTTTGGCACGGAAAAATTACTTGTCAGCGCACACTACATTTTAATTACAACTAGTCAACTACAGAGACCTTCAACCTCTGGCCCAATATTTAAAAATGAAATACAACCATCTGCTTTCAATTAAAAACGTTCCATGTAAAAAAAATCACAAAAAATTACAAAAATTTTCACTTTTCCGCACTTAAAATACCTGAAAAAGGAAAAGTATCACAATTTGTGGTGAATGTGAAACTTACACTGATTGTAGGTGCGTAAAAACCGTTTAAAATTTTTCCACCGTATCCCAAATATCTGGGTTCGCCATCAATGGCATCGATGTCAGCTGTTAGGTCTGGCGCATCGACAGCCAACACTGGTCCGGCCGCATCATTGTCACCAATATTGGTCGTAATGGTTTGCCCATTGAATGTTATAGTACTTTTACTGCTCGATGCGGCTTTCAAGCTTAACGAATCGACAATTATTGGCTGTTGGATGTTCAATGCTGGCCTATTTCCCAGAATTGGTTTCCAATCCGTTTCGTGCAGTGCTGTAATCAGTCCTAATGAAAGTGATAAATACACGACACACCTCATATTGCCGCGATTTGATTTCGATTTGAAACGGAAAATATAGGAATTTTAAACGCCAATTAAACACAACAATTTGCCAAAAAACCAAATTACTTCACAAATCATTCACGTTGTAACAATAATACTGAAACGTGTTTAACAGCACAAAAACCGAGTTGGTAATTTCTTAACCGTTATTCTTGAAGACGCGTAATCTACTGAACGACAAATTCACTTTCAATATGCCACAACGTTACCACCAGCAACCCACTACGCGACTCAGCTATTCGTTTGTCTCTCTTTATTGTATTCGTCTTCATTCATTCATTCAGTGGAAACGGCAACTGGCTACAGACCATCACACTACAGACACACAATTTACTTGTGCAAGTGAAATAAAATAAAATAAACGAGAAAAAACAACAACAACAATAATATTAATAATAGAGCAACACCATAAACACAACGCTTTGAAGCGCGAAGTATATGAAAATCATTGGCAACACACAAAAAATTGTGGCAATGGAAACCACATTACAAACACCACTCGTGACTCAAACAAATGTAATTAATTTGCTAGTGTATCGAGTTTTCTTGGTGCTTCTGGTTTGTGTTGTTCATGCCATTCCAACAGATTACACTGTGGGCCAACAAATTTTGTAGACTATATACGATTCATACACGCTGCGAGCCATATCATAACCATGAAATATGTGCATATCTCGAGAACCATCTTCAACAATATTGCTGTGGAACCGTTTGAACTCGAATGTGTCTAGTTCATGTAAAATGTAAACACGGTCATGGTGTACACACACGCACAAACACTCACGTATTAACATGTGCATGCCGGCACACTGCAAGTACGGAACTAACATCATTCATTATAGTTCTGCAAAATAATTTGCCGAAAAATTATATCGATTTGAAACAATGCTTTCGAAATGAGTCGAAGCGCTCGAAATGAAAAGTGAAATGTTTAAAAAAGTGACTAACAAAACTGTTTTTGTTTTTCGTTCACTTTCCGAATTTGGTTCGCATAATGCGGTAAATAAGCATTGCTACAACGGTAGAGTTGTTGTTGATTGCCTAGCGTAACACAGCGCACATACGGTCGAAACGAAAAAAGTAACGGATTATTTGGTTATCGCTCCATTCAAAAATAGTTGGTCATATGTTCAAACGTTATCGTTCGGGTTTTTATTTCGATAATGATCTAGTACGTTTCTGTTGTGCATGGATGCAGAAAAACAATATTTTACATAACAATATTTTGCATTTGAGCTACGAAGTTTATAAAATCGTCAATAAAATGAATTTAGCGTATAAACACGATTGATGTATGGATTTATAATCGTAAAGTGATTGAAAATCCCGTTTGATTTATTATTTCACCATTTTTCACCTTGTTTTTTATGCATTTCATCTTGAATATCAAATGGAAAGGTCCAAAATTTAACATTGTCGGCAAATAAAAAATAAAATAAATGTGCAATTTAATGAGGTGAATGACGGCGGAAGCGAATTTCATCCGTATTCAATTAGCATTTCTAGTCTCGGCCTCTTACCATAATTACAGTCTCTTTTTCTCTTGAAAACCATAAAACTTCCATTTTCTTCATGTTCTTTTCACGCTCACTCTTTATCGACTTTAGTTGACGCTATTGCACATAAAACTTTTCACTTCGATAAATGACTAAGACGAATACAGTCTTTTTCCATGTATCGATTTCATCAATTCAAGTTTGCTTCAGTTTGGTGTTTGAGAGACGTCAATTCAATTTCTGGGTAGATGTAATATGCGTTTTCGCTTTTTCTTCTTTCGATTTTACTTGAGATGTATGTGCGAATGGTTATGCAATTTGGTGACCCTATATGGATGCATTGTTGGTTTTATTTTCGGCGATACTGTATACTTGAACATGATACGTGCAAGCGTAAACAAAGCTTCCAACAACAAAATCAAAAGTACTGTTACCACGTGACAACAACGGAGAAAATAAACATAATATACAGAGATATACATGCATACAATGCATTAAGTCTATTTGAAACAGGTACAGGTAAGCATTCTACAGCCAACATTCCATTGCAACGTACTTCCATTCAAGTCACCTGATCCCACCGATGTGTATTAGTTTGTTATAATATTCACATCGTAAAATTGTATATACTTTCTCAATCGTTCCCCAAACGTGATCTGTTCAAGCGACTAAAATCTGTTTAATGAATAATAAAGGCAAAGGAATTAAATACACTCCGATACACTTTCAATTGTGTCAATTTCGCTGTAAGAAAATGTAAGATTCAATAAATACGTTGTTGCCCCATTGTTTGTGTCGCATAAAAAAATGTTTTCTTTCGAAACCTCAATTTCGTGTCTTATCAAAATAATATCTCAAACGATTTGCCATGGACAAATATAGACTGACATTTTTCGTCCTTTGTTAAAGCCTCACGAGAAAATGCCATCTGATGGTATAACGAAACCAAAAAAAGAGATCGTATCCAAACAATTTTATTCTTGTGTCTCTTTTTGTCTCCACACTTCAGAGGACCAACCTACTCCAAATCGCTGAAAAGGTTGTGAACAACAAAATAAAAAAAAACCAAACGGACTAAATACACGAATATTTCACATTTCGGATTGTGAATTCAAATGCAAAAAAAGGTAAACAGCACAGATTCGTGGTAGCAGCTCCAGTTTCATTTGCTGTATCATTTTGAGTGGGTCAACAATTGTCGTTGAATATTTGATAAGGTTTTGAACCTCTGTGTTTTCTCTTCGAATAGACAAATCATCCAATATTTATGCATCAATTTATGTGCACAAACAGAAAAATAAAACACAAACAACGGATGTAAAATACCAAATTTGTAATGTCTATATCATGGAGTGTGGGCTTGAGGCGCATACGCTTTTAAATTTCATATTATTGATGGAATATTAAATTAGAACCGTGCGCTATATTACGCATAACATATTTGATTGTTTTGTTTCTCGATTTTGAAAAAACTAACATCAATTATACGCATTGGCCAACATTTTGCAACATAATTGAAGTATCAACAAAAACAAATTGCAAATGATTTGAGCTTCAAACAAAGGAACAAATATATCTATAGAAATATTTGTTGGAATTTTCATTTTTGTGTAATAACAGTCTCAGTCTAATTCAATTATTTATACCATTGTATATAGCCAAAGTAGCCATTATTTTCTTCTTCGCATTACTACCGCCAACTGACACATTCGCCGTTTTATCAAGTCATCAAGTGACAGTCATGTTGTATGCGCGGTTTTTACGCCATAAATTCCGTTTACATAGAAAATTTAATGCTTATATCGTCATAAATTTGATACAGATTCACGAACTACACGATATAAATCGCATTTGATGGCTTTCGTTATTTCTTTATTCGTTTCACACATCTCTTCCACCACACGGCGCTCCGCAAATATTTGACTCGTATTCTGTGCATTTGTAGTTGTTTTCTTCTTCTACTTTCATTTTGGATTGTCATTTGATTCGATTGTTTCGGTTATGCAATTGAAGTAATTTTATTTTGTTTTTTTTTTTGTTTGTCTTCTTTTGTTTGGTTTTTGTGTGTTTCCATTAGTTTTTTTTTCATCAGCTTGTTTTGTAGTGTGCAAAAGAAGAGCAGTATTCCCAATTTGTGCGAATGGTGAATTTAAGTTCGGCATATACGTAGTATTTGGTTTAGGTCGCATCGGTTATGCACACACAATGCGGTTACATTAGAGAGCACATTCATTCGATGGCCATTTTTTTTTTCGTCGGTCTGTCATTTGCCGTCAGTTGTTTCCCCAGTAAATTTCATACTAAATTACTAATGTTGAGTTTTATGGAGTAATTTCTATTTTTTTTTTTGTTTTCCAAATGGCCGATGTGATGCGCAAAAAAACGCTATAGGCCAACCGAACAAAAACATAATTTTGTGGTTTAAGTGCAGCCCATGTGAATTGCGACCAGTTTTCGATGACTTTTTCGCTGTTTTATTACACTCTCTTTCTCTGTCAGTCCGCATTGCATTCATCAAAATTGAAACGCCATCACAACAAATTGTATGTGAAAAATTGGATTTGAAATCATTTATTGTCCCATCGAAGAGAATATTTTTTGCGAATGTTTCTCTTTTGGTAACGCGTTCAAATCAATAATAAGTTCAAGACTATTGAGCAATAATAACTTGAACTATCGATTCTGATTGAAGATCAGATTATTCAATTGATTTTTTTTATTCAGATATGAAACGCTCAAAAAAATACATTTTATACAATTTTCAATTAGAATTCTAAGAGCATATTTCTTTCGTTGTTGCAGGGCGTCAAAGGTGCTCCGTACTATGTTGGTGCTGCACAGACATTGCCTCGAGGGATGTATAGCGACCGTAACAAAAATATTATTGGTAAGCAAAAACACAAATAACATGTCATGATGACATCAAATATAATCTTTAATAGGATTCCGATTTGATAAGTTTCAACGAAAAAAACTGCATGGAAAAGAAAATATGTGAAGCAAAAGTTTTCAAAGTCCATTTGACAGCGAATTTATATGTAGATTTCGTATCAGCAATTCAGTTTTGTACCCTTTTTATGTTGTTGTTTTTTTTTTATTGCGTTGAAAATAGGAATATCATTTTTACAAATGTTTTTCATTGAATTTGGATCGCTTTTTCGTTTGATGGTTGGAAAAATATTTTTTTATTTCGTGTGTGTGTGTTTTGAATTGGTTTCTTTATTTGGTTTGTTTGTTTGAAAATGGTTATTTTGTGTAGGACCACCAGTCAAACCATTACGATCATATGGCTCTAGAGGAAGCATGAACGCTCAATACCCTTATAGCCAGGATCAGCTTTACAGTATACCAGGTACAAATATTGTTTGTTCCACACAATACCAATAGCAACCAGAATTAAAGCACCACAATTTATTAATTGACTTAAGTGTCAAGTTTTATGTTTATTCTTCAAAAAACAACAATAATTCGAGATTTGCTTCAATTGAATTTTAGAATACAAATCACTACACGAACCAGTAATTACATCATATTTTTTGCATGCATTTTTCAAATCGGTCCATAGTTGAAATTTATTTATTTATTGGATTTTCAAAGAAGTGCTCGTAAATCCAATTCGAACACGAGACTTTTGTTGAGAAAAAAGAACATATTTTTGAAAATATCTTTGCTCTGACTAACATCTCTGATTGATTTTAAACGAACAGATGGTTATATGAGCTCACCAGAGCGTGGAACGCGTGGCAGCTATGAAGAACCGTATTACAGTCAGTTTGGAACTCGTGGAAGTTCAGTGGCACCAATTATTGATGAGGAATTAAGGTCAGATAATTTTAAATAAAATGTTCATCATTTTTTTATTTTGAATTTTTTATTTGCAGTGATGTATCGTTAACAGAAAATCAATACGCTTTATATGGTCATAAATCGGGACGAATTCCACGAAATGCGACTCAGATGTATGATCCAACACGGTAAGTAGTTGACTCCATTGGGTCAATCCGATTTTAGCATTTAGATTGCGTTTAGATTGGCGGTTGTGAAAGATTGCTTAATTGAACGTAGCCTTTGGAAATGGCCAAAAGTACTTCGAACATGTCAAGCGGATCTGGTTCAGCATTCATTATTCGTTCGGCGGCTCTTTTATTCCGTCCAAATCGATTCGGTCGGAAGCCAGTTACACGATTCGTTGTTTCCGTTCCAGTTGACATGATTGGTAGAGAAGTCTGATGAAAATATGTCGTTCCTGTTGTGGTGAATGGAAAAGTTTGAAATTTTGGTGGTTACAAGTATTCGAATATTCGAAATCAATGTTTTATTTCACCTTTGCTTTTGATTGCCTGCACAATCATGCACAGCAAATAGCCAGCAAATGCCAAAAATGTTAACGCTGTTATGCTCAAATGAAGTATTTTCTGTATCTTGGATGGTTTTTCCTCTTCCCATTCTGAACCATAGCCTGTTTTGTGCCTTCAATTCCAAATAGTTTTTTATTGTTCCAAAAAGTGCATATAAAAAAGAGGAAGAGAAAATAATAAAAAAACGATGCATTCAATTTTCGATAAAAGTTGTTTGAATAGCATTAAAACTGTACATGAGCTGTTTGTTTGGTGGATTTTTGTGCATCGGACTGGTCATCATAAAGCGTTGTGCCATCGGTAAATTTGTCGAATTCGGATAACGAGAGAAATATTGAAATGCATTTCGTGTGTCAGCTTCTGGTAGTTCACGCAATAGACTGTCAGTTTGGTTTTGGTTTTGGTTATCGATTGCAGTTAAATGTGGTAGACGATGTGCATCGTATTCAGAAACCGCATGCATCATCCTGATTGCTTTTCGTATTTTCATCAAATCACCAACTGGCATTTGTGCCAAACATTGTAAATCATTTGAGACGAACATCATGCCATCATCCGTTCCATTTTCCATCGTTGACACAGTTGATGTATACCGAATCAATATTGCCAATACAATTAAAATCTTATTTGATATTCCATTCATCATTCTCATTAAGCTCACATTTAAATTTCCCTTTCAATCGATTCACTTCACAAATTTTCAATCAGAAATTCACTTTATGTGCTGGAATGGAAATAAAACCGAAATTATGTGTTGACAAAAAAAAAACAATATCACCGAAAAAAGCAAATCTCATTAATGTGCGGAACCGAATTTTTTTTTTTGCTGTTCAAAAACAGAACAAACTCACACACATCACACAGCGAGACAGTTTTTCAGCGTTTTTCATGGAATTTTTTTATACCGATTGAATCAGCACTTGTCTGGCACAATCACGATTCCTGTGCGCTTAAAAATCCTTAAACCAACGTACGAACAAACTCAATTTGTCAAACGGTCTGTGCGATTGTCGACATAAAACTGTGTTGAAACTTGGCTCTTCATTCGTGCACATTAAAAAAATCAGCGCACAAAAGTAGGGGCGAAAAACAAAAAAAAAGTGCTGCAAAAGTTTCTACAATTATTAGTTTTCCATGTGACTAACTTCATGTGCCCGAACCATTGAGAGCGAGAAAAATCGCACACATTCTCGTTGGGCTCTGTGCTAGGTGTTGAAAATTGCATCATATAACTACAGAAGAGGCCAGAGTTTGTCATATCGTTGCTATAATGTTGTTTCGCATGTCGCGTTTCATCTTCTTCTCTCTTACAGCTTATGAACACGTGACAATGATGATGCATGACGTGAATAACAGCGGAAAAATAAAATCATTTCGAAAGATAATTTAAAGACGAAGAGAGGGAGTACGAGAGAGCTGCACAATACCTGCTCACGATTGAGGCTCCCTATATATTTTAATGAGCGTAACGTCTGAAAGCAGAAGAAATTAATGTCAATTTTCATTGAAAACCATTTTTGAGGCGAAAACGCGTGTGATGCTTTCCATTTATGTTTCGAGCGCGACAAGTGAAGACAGTTTAAATTGTTCATGCGCTCAAGCAACAATTTAATTCTTTTTTATCACATTTCACGGCTCGACGATTGATGATTCAATGTTTGTGTGTGTGTGTGTGTGTGTATATGATCAAGACAAATAAAACCATCTCGCCCACTTCGTTGCTTTCTATTCATCTTGTAGATTGGATGTAAATGCTCGTTATATTTCTTTGTTTGTTCAAACTTTTTCTCATTTCTGTCGTGATTTTTTTTTTCCTCTCTTGTCAACAGGCCTGAAGATTTGCATCGGATTCGAGTCGAGCACATGGAACGTCAATTAGCCAATTTAACGGGTTTGGTGCAAAAAGCATTAACTCAGAGCGTACCACCGACTGCAAATGTTAATCAAAATTATTTAGGTGTGCCTGGACAATATCGAGGTAAATGACCATTTTCAATTGGATTTGCTTTTGTTTTTCAACACATGTTTCAATGTTAAAAGAAGTAAAATAGATCCTGATTCATAATTTAATGAGTTAGTTTATCACAATCGAAACACTTGATTGTTTAATTGTCATATATAGCTGATGTAGACACACAGCACTGAAAATAAATATTCGTACCCCGAACTATATTATCACATCGAGACAAATAGAATAATGATACTCTTGACCCAATATGAAAATAACTGCACACTCTCTACTACTATTTATGTACTTATGATTCATTTGACTGGCTGCAGCATATCATTAATTCGTTATTATCAACACAGTAATATATAAATTGAGTCTAAATGTTCCACATTCAAATTGAAAAAAAAAAAAAAAAACTTTACCCACGCAAAACATGAAATGGTTAATTAAAAAGTTGCACCAGTAAATTTACATTTAATGCACTTTTCGCACGATTTCAACTTTCTACATAAATACATTGATGAAGAAGGGAGCAAACTGGGGTGGAAAGGGTTGGGGAAAACACGAGGATATGAATGTATTATATCAGTGAAAAGTTTTCGTTGGTTAACTCTCTAATTTGCATTGTTGAGCTCATATTAAGCTGAAATGTTTCATCGCCACATGGCCATAGATTTGGGGAATTCTATCATGTCATATAAAACAAAAGTGTTTGAATATTTTTTTTTATGGTTGTTCGTCAACCGAATTAACATTGTTTCCACTTTTGTTTTATTCTTGGCATCAAAATAACATTGAATTTTGAGGAATATTAATAGATTTTATAGTGCTTCGAAAGATGTGCTTGACGACTTATTACATTATTTTTATGTTGTTACTTCGTATCACAGCAAAATGTATTTTCAATGAAACTCCTTTGTGCAAGTCAAATTTCAAACAAAATTTATATAAACCCCTTTGAAGTAATATCGTCTGCGAAAGAATTTCGAATGAACAGAAAAAAACTTGTGGTACAACAATGTGTTTATCTCTTTCTTTCATATTTGGATTTAAATTTGACAGCCCTTTAGGATGCGTTCTTTGAAATTTAAGTTATTTTATCTGCTGCTATTATCATTACTATCGTTGTTAGAAACAAAACTTTCACTTTTATTGCTGTTCCATTGAGAAAATAGTTTCCATTTAACATTGGCCCTGAAGCTGCCATTTTAAAGTTGCTATGAAACTTGTAAATAGTCTTGGCAATATTCAGTTTTCTTATTTTCACCGTATCTACGTCATTGGAATTCTCATAGAAAGTGCATTACATGTAATTAAGTGTAGCTTTGGGTTGATAATAATAATCCTAATAAGACTCAAGCAAACACAATGTATTTTCTATCATCATCGTTGTACCTCAATCCATATAGCCCTCTCCCCGCCCCTTCGATTGCTGTGTATTTTGATGGATTTGTTGTTTTATGTATCAAATGAATCCGGTAGAAAGTGTAATTGATTACCCCACCAACGTTAGATATTTGCCGTAGATAGGATTCAATTACGAGTATTAAATGAAAAATATGTAGGGGCTTAAGACAACAGAGCTTATTATAGAAAATACGAATTAATATAAATAGAAACACGTCGATCATTCTATCTCCTTGTTATTATTCTAATTCTTCTCTTCGCATTTCTGTAAAAAAAAAACATTATAAAACAGATGAATAATTTCTTATTTGCTTAAGTGATTTCACGTCATATCTGAAAAGCAAAACCAAAAAAATCGATCAATAAATACATATTTATCGAAATTGTCTATATTTCAATCGGTTAAAATCAAATCTATATATAGAAGACATGGACAGACATTCGAGTGGTAGCTCACCTTCGATCCAAGGTAAATCCATAAATCGATTAAATTTATTTGTTAAAGAGATGAACATTTTCTAAAAGAGATTTTCCCATTGGCATTTTGTCTGTTTAAAACAGTAGCGAATGGTATCAGTGATGATATTTATGTGCGGGAGAAACCACCAAAACTCGGCAAATCGTCGTGTCGTAAGTTTCTATTCAAAATCTATTGGTTTTTTTTGTCGAAATTTCGTTTTTCTTTTGTTTCATTCTCAAAAAAAAGAACGGCATGATCTATTTGCTTTGCATTTCCAATGTTGTTTCATATTTGTTGTTGTTAGTTTCAGCATTTGAGTTCAATCTTTCAATCTTGACTATACACTATCGATTTCATGTCTTACAAATTGATTGAATTGTGTACGAAAGATGTTTATTTTGCACGTAATTCAATGATTCAGACTGTCTTATTCTACTACTATAGTCTATCTCTGTTGCATGTTTTTAACAGTGATCATAACTCGAACATTTTCAAAATTGAATAACAGCATGATTTTCCAAATATTTATTTTAAAAGTTCAATGCACGCAAACGACTTAATCCTTAGTATTATTTTATGTGTGTTCCGTTTTAAACTTAGACTATTGCATGAAAGACAAAGTTTGTGTTTAATTTTCGTGTTTGGTGTTCTTTTCAGTGTTCACATTGCTTGTCGTCTTTTTTTCCTCCAACTGAAAATTAAGTATATTAAAAGCCATTTTTATTGATTTTTCAGATAAATCGGTGTCATTCGAGAAGTCGGTATCATTTAGCGATGACATTCAAGGCCTACCCAAATCACATAGTCCGCAACATCTATCCGGTAAATCAATGTCCTTACGAATAACATCCGTATAATTTACACTTCCACACCGTTTAAAATCAATTTTTTTAGTTGTTTATCGTATATTATCTGTGTTCTATAGAGATTAAATCACGTAAAATTTCAGACATTTCTTATCCAGTCCTTAGAGTCGAGAATGTAAATAATTCGTAAAAAAAACTTGCATCTTTTTTTTGCGTATAGTTTTAATTTCGTTTTGTAGCGAATACAATAATTCAATTTTATTTTTGCAATTAATTGAAGCAAAACTCTTGCCCTTTAGTTTACCAATAAAATTAATATATTTATTATTTATTTAAATCGTAAGAGTAAATATGGTTTCAAAGACACATTTTCTTACATTCCGAAACTACATTTTCCTACTATCATTCAACATTTACGAAATTTGAGGCTTTTGTCGAATTATTTTAGTAAGTAAAAGTATATTGAAAGAAAGACAAAGTGTAAATGGATTACCTCAAACTTTATTCAATTGAGTGATTGCGTGAGGGACATTAATTGTGCTTTTTTTTCGCTTAATACTACAATATATTCGAAATCTATACACCCGTTATCGTAACCGTAAAATTTTTCGAACACTTTTCGACAAAGTAAAAGGAAATATTTGTCATTTGAATAAAAATTGAATTATAAGTGGAATAAAATCACATTAAAAACTGTAACCAAATTTTTATTTTCAACGCATGAACATTTCTGTGAAAATTCATTTCAAATTCAAAAATTTATTATTTTATGCGTTTTCGTTTTCATCTCTCATCATATTTTTGCATTTTCAGCGAGTTAAATTTGACAAATATATTCTTATTCGTATGCATGTAATTAAAACACTATTAAGCTTTAAGTTTTATTTCCTCTTAATTTGAATTTATGCAAATAAACAATGTATTACATTTTAAGTACGAATTTTGGAGTTGGATAAAGCATGAATAAACAAAAATGACACAAATAATATTCTGTTCAAAGTAATTTTATAGTTTATATTTTAAAGCACTCTTTCTAGATTTGATTTAATAAAAAAGTATTAGATAAAAAATTTCACTGGTCTGTTTTTTTTTTCGTTGGGATTCCTTGTGATAAAGATAATTTTTGAATGGGTTTCCCGTATTTAACTCTTTTTTTTATTTTACTTGCTTCTGTTTTTTATCTTTAACGAATCACAAACCCTTGTGTTCCAAATGTTTGACGAACGCCTAATGTATTACTAATTGATGCTATTCCCATTCAAATATTTAATTTATGCACAAAAGCACCTCATGTTCAACATTTGTACATACAAACTCGTCTTTTTGTTTTGACATCAACTCTGTTTTTTTGCTGACACACATACACACTTACGTTTTCACACAATAATTTTATGTTTGAATACACATACACACACACATCCACAAATTGAAAAGCAGAAAATTCAAAATTTATTTTCAAATGTCATGATGAGAGAACACAATTGTCTAATTGTAAAATATATTCCTTTCTTTTGCTGCTTTCTTTTGCAATAAAAAAAACGCCTAATCACAAAAAACACACATACACGCGCTATTTAGCCGATTCGAAACCACCAAAACCGGCTATCAAATCGTCAACTTTGCCTAGAACATCCTCTCAAGGTAAATAAATAGTTGTTGCTAAAACGTCTTTAAGACCTTTTTTCTGCCTAACACCGCCATATTTCAGAGCTAATTTGTAACAAAAGAGAAAAAATAAAGAAAAAATGTTGTAATGAGGGCCGCTGTGTATTGACAACCGTAGTCAATAAAAAGTATTTTGCATTTTTGACGTAAAAACACATAGATAATTTTCGATGCTAAATCCATTGCTTGCAATCAATTGATTGGTACCCACTAAATCATGTATGAATGTAATTTTCACGATTTCCGGTTTTCAGAACGTGATCGCTTGAAACCGGCACCGCCGCCAAAGCCAATGTTTGCCGGCACCGTTGCAACAACACATGTCGCCTATCGACCCGACTTAGCATTGGCACCCGAAGTTTATAATCATTTACGCGGACTACAAAAGAAGGCAAAAGATTTACGTATCGAAGTACGTACACTGCGTCGATTGTCACAGGCACAGGCAATTGCTGTGCGTGAGGACATAAAAGATGCATTCATGGGAATTCGGGCTACATTAATTGCCAACAGTGGAATATTCAATGGACAAAATGACCACGAAAAAATGCGCTTAACTAGAGAAGAGGACTTATATAAACAAGAAGTGATGCGATTAGAAAATGATCTGGGTGATTTGGAATCATCGGTGGAAATATTACGCGGCGAAGTGATCAATCGACGGACTCGCGTCAATATGGCCGCTGTCGAGGATATGGCACTTATACTTAGTAGAGCCAGGTAAATACATACTAAATGAAAAAAAAAATGATCGGACAAGAACTGAATTTAACAACCAATTCCAATGTGATGAACAGTAAAACGGTTGCTGAACTAAAGATGCGATTCCCAATGCTTCAAAATGCACTGCGAAATGTATTGTCAACAGAAATGGAGAAAGTGGTACGAGAAGAAAAATTCCTTAAAGACGAACCCGATCGCTTAGAATCCGCATTAAGACGATGTAAAAAATTGACTGGCACATTGGTTACGCTTAAAAGGTATACACGAATTTTATACATTTGCTGATAGATTGTTTATTTGAAATCCACGATTTCTGCACAGATTGGCTAGTGTTCAAGAGCAACGTTTGCCGGGTACATGTCAAGAGCCTGGTGTCGACGAAATACCACGTTCGGTCGATCATCAACCCACAAACAAGGTATGATAAATGCATTCACCTTTTCAATTTGATTTGTATGAGCTTACAAAGAAAAAAAAACGAAATAAGTAAACAAATTATAAAGTAATCGACTTCCTTACATACTTCCCAAGGAACAATTGTTAGCGCAAATCACCCATTACCAGGCCCAAGTTTACGGTCGAATTTGGGGTAGCATTCGTGTGTAGTTTCAGTCAATTTTACCGTCGCAATGGAAAGAAAAAAAGAAAAGAAAGCACAATTCAATTAGACTGATATGAAAAAATTGACTTGATTCATAATCATCATTATGCTATTGTATATGCAATAGACTCCACTTACCGAGTACAATTTATACCAAGAGGTACTCGTACTTTGGCAAGGCCACAATTTAATCAAGCCTAGCGAACTAACAAATAATTGTTATAAACTAATGTCTAAATTTAGTATTGTTTGAATGTTGTTGAATGAGGGCTGCTACTACTGCGGCTGCAGATGTCCATTGTTGACATTCTGATTCTGACCTCGATACAACGGCAATGGCTGATTGTTGTCAACACGGCGTGGTCTCCGTACATTTGGATGAATTGTCCGCTTGAACACCACGCATTCACCTACCGAATGATACATAACAAAAACACATTACATGTATAACAATTGCTTCAAAATTTGTATCAATTTCAATTGATTGCATACCTTTGTAGAGGATCAGCTTCGCTGCTGCGATATCACGGTGCCATACAGTTGTGAGCGTTGGTTGTGCTCCGGCAGCTCCCTCGATTTCAACGTTTGCAACATTTGGTAGCCATGTTTTGAAGAAGCGTTGCTTCTTTGACACCAAACGACCTGCATTCGGTCCATCTCGAAGAGTTGCAGCAATGACATCGCCTATATCACGCATCTCGCGCCACATTCGTTCAATTGTTCGTCGCATTTGTAGTAATCGTTTGCTCACATTGGTTACGATGGTTCGTGGTAGTCCAACAATTGGATTTGGTACACAACCCACACATGTCTTGTATCGATCACGTCGAGTTTGTTGTGGAAATCGTTTGAAACACAATGGACAATGTTGTGATGTCATGTACTCATCGACCATTCGAATGATGCAATTGCCACGTTTCATAATGGCCGCAAGCAGCTTCCGTGTGCCTGGACATCGCACATGTTTCTTGATCTTAATCGGCGAATTAGCTGGTGTTGATCCGCTGGCTCCCATGTAGAAAATTGATGGTTGATTGTGAACCATTTTGCATGCCGTTTTGTCGATTGCACGAACCGATTCGATATGCTTGTCCAGTCCCAAGCGTGCATACTGTTTGGTTGAGTATGTTTCAATGCCATCATTCATTACACGTAATCGATGTTCAATGTACGAACGCCATGATGGTCCTTTTGGCGATGGCATTTCACCAATCATAGCTGCAATTCGATTACGATCGGCTTGCTCTTCGAAAGTAAACAATCTTGTGATTCGTTCGGCTTTTGCATTACGTCGGCCTTGTTTCGCATCCCAGTGATATCGCTTGCTGGATATACGCAAATTCACCTAACAAAATGAAAACAATAAAAACAACATTGTATTCACAATCACAATCGCTTTCATTCATTATTAAATGACAAATTTACCTCTTCTTTGGTATGCAAATCTCGTCGTACGGAAGCGTTCCACGTTCGCATACCCGGATCACATCCAACAGCATATTTCAACTCATTGCTGTCATACATTGCCTTGATTTCGTCATCTGTTGTCTCGACTGGTGGTACTTTCGGTTTTTTGTACATCAACGATACAGATACGCCATCGGAACAAATTTGAGAATCGAATTCCTTTTTGTTGTGCACAAGTTTGAGAATTTTCTCCACATCGAAGAATAAATTCCAACTTAGGATTTTATTTGTGCGGAATTCGTTGCTCGTGATGTTTTTGAAATTTGTTGTTCCGTCTTTACGTGTCCGTTTACCGCACTTTCGAGGCACCAATTTCGCATTCGATAGGATAACGTACAATGCGTCGGTGTCAATTCGAATGTGTCGACGCTGAAAAGTGCACATCGGCACAACGACAAAGTTTTTTATTTGCGGTTTATCGCGACGATCTTCGTATGCAAAGTGAAAGTTCCGAATATCGCGCTGAATTTCCGACCACATGCGAATCGACTTGAACCAATCCTCTTTCACAAAGTCACGGATATTGCAATCGTCCGGTGCTCCCAACCAACGCAATTCATCCAATAGTTCACCCAATCGCATCTCACGTTCAACGTCGCCAATTGCGGTGTTTCGACGACGATAAGTATAATTGATGGCATTTTTTATATCTTCCTCGTCGTAGTATGGCAATTCGAATTCGATCATACCGTACAAATTGTTGAAATAATTGTACTTGATGGCGTAGTCGTTGAGTTCGAATGCTCTCATTTTAAAAAACTTCCGCAATCGAGACTCGCAATGCGTTGTCAGGTTCGTTTTGACATTGTCGTAGTACTGCTCCCATATATATTTAAAACCGTTCCCGAACCCACCGTTTGTGGGCCAGTCAATGTGTGCAGCGTCGACAATGTTGCGGAAACCAGGTAACATAAGCGATATGTTACCAATGTTATCGGCAAGAACGGCCTTAAAACAGTTGTGTATGATCGTTGATGGTTTATCGGTTTCAAAAAAATCATAGTTGAAATCGTCGAGTGCTTCATTGACCTATTCAAGAAACACAGAACACATAGAGAGAGAGAGACAAACAATCAAATCGATTCATATAAATACAATGGATCGCATAGTGCCGAAAAAATGATGAAATAATGACGAAAAATAAAATTTGGTCAAAGAAATGTGTGTACTTACCTTCATCAAAAATAGTAAGGATGCAAGGCATGCGATCTTCGTAGCCTTCACCGATAAGTACGAAATGATTGCGACAATTACATCCCGATATCGTTCACGGATAATTGATGGCAGTCCTTGCTTTATACACCTTTGGTCGGCGTTTGGATCAGCCTTCTTGTGACGACCCATTTCGCAGTCTATTTCAAAATTTAAAAAAAAACGGAAAAAAGAAAGAAAAAATGCGTTAAATAATTATATAAACAATTGAAGGCTACACACAACGTCAAATCGCAATTTCAAAGCACAAAACACACAATAGAGTGTACAACAATAACAATGATTGAATGGCCAAACAGTTTATATCAACTTGCCTTGTGAGGATTTTTCGCTAAACTGAATTCGATTCGCAATATTCTGACAGTCAAAAATCCAATGGCATCAAATTCGAAGTTAATACACAGTCAAATTCACACAACAAAGACATATAAAATGAAGAATGCACTTCCACACAAATAAAATGAACTTCCTATCAATTCGATACAAAATACACTGTAATGCCGCTTTGATTTCTTACTGTGTGACTTTGGAAATGTTCTGTTATTTTAAAAACAAAACAAGAACAGACACAAAATTCACCGTAAATAAATATATTCTTTGCAAATTCACAATATCTACGTTGAAATTAGAAGAAAGAATTCTGTTTGTTTGAACTAAAAATCCACGATGCATTCTCAAAACAAAGCACATTTTAAAATGTAAACAAAATTATGATGTTTGCATCTTTTTTCAAAGTGACGATGGTTGAACGGCAACTGTCAAATTCAATTCGAATGTCTTTCAGATTTCGAAATTCGAAATTCATATACGTTCATGAATACGAAAGTATTTAAAAAAATAAATGCCAAGTGCCGTTTAAAAAAAAATTCTTCTGCAGAAAATTAAATCAAATCACTCAAATCTAATTTGTTTGCAGAGAATGGATTTTCTTGCGGTAAATAAATCATTAAATTTGAAATACAAAAACTTAACGTACAGTACACATATTGGGTGGCGATCATATTATACGGTCAGAGTATGTTTTTGTATGGTAGTAAACAAGTGGAACGAATCATTCCATTGGAAGTTGTAAATATACTGGAAACTACACACACAATCTACGTTCCATTTGACACGGAAATGACCACTAAACCGGGCCAAAGCGTTACATTTTTTAACGTTAAAATGTCCTAAAAACGTTACATATTTGTCCGTTGGGAATATTATTGAAGACTAAATATTTTATAAAGCATAAAAATTATATACTGTATCGAAAGAGAAACTTTGTAGCCTGTTGTAGTTCCTTAGTTTTGTTTATGTGATCAACATAATTTCAGTTGAATCATCTTTGGTTTCGGTTTGAATTTTCGTTCGACTCACGTTTGACTTGGTTTTTCTCTCAATCACAAAATACCATCCAAACACTAACAACAATATGCAAAACAATAAGCTTCATTTTGATCCTTTTGCCTTTTGATGTTTTCATTGGCAAAATACAAACCAAAATTGAACAAAATGTTGTTTTTCCCTTGAACTCACGTCTCTTTGCAACCACAAATTTCCATTTTGCAACCAACAGCATAATAAACTTTCATTTTAAATACAATGAATTCCCTTTGAAATGCATCAAAAGTAACCGCTGTTTTCAATTTTAATTATCCCATGTGAAACGTAACATATACGTATTTCCATTCCAAAATCATAACAGTTGTTAGTTATATTAATTATTCATGGATATCTTGAATTTATATTAAAACACTTCAACTACTTAACTAAATAATAATAAGCAATTCATTGAGCCAAAATGCAAAGTATGTATTAATATGTGTGTTTTGCAATTGCAATAAGCTTTACTTTCTAACAACGTACACAATTCAAAATTTGAGTAATTTAGATTGGTGTTCACACAAGCACTTCACTCCTGCACCGCATATACAGGATGGTATTCAATATTAACCAATGAAACCGAGTTCAAATGAACATTTTATAAAACTATAACAAAGATAATTTGTTATAAAATCAACGCTTTCCCTTTAATGTTGCTTCTTACCTTATCATTTCGGTTTGCGTTGGATTTAAATTAATTAGATTGGACTAAAAGTAATCATTTCAAATTTATTTACTTATACTATTATATTCATTATACTTGCTATACTATACAAACAACTTTATTATTATTGTTAGCCACTTCACAAAATATTTATCTATTTGGTTTTAGTTCGAAAAATATATACTAAACTAATAATTATCAACAAAATCATAGTGAAAACAAATATTATGTAGCTATTTTTTGAGTTATTTATTCTGTCGTAGGCCATGAAACCACATAGAATCAAAATTCGAGAGATTCGATGTTTGTGACGGTGTGTATGCTTCGATTTAGTGTTTGATTCATTTTGGTTTCGTGTGGATTCTGATTGGCAAATACTAGTGACAAATGTGATGAATATTTTAAACAAACATTGATCTAGTACAAAGACAACCAATGTGTCATACATACTTAAATGAATTTGTCATAAAAATGTTTATTCGAACACGGTCCAAGCGCATTGTACTAGATCTTTTCGTTTGTAATTTGCAATTTTTGAGATCATAGATTCTCCTTTTTCTTTCAATTATTATCAATGGTTTTGGCCAATTATTTAAAACTTACATCGAACAAGGTATAATCGAACATTTATTTTTGAATGAACACAACACAACTTGAATTGATCTGGTGAATATCACATATTTTCGTATAAGACGGACACAGTGAATACATGCAACAATGAGCTCCAAATGCTCAATTAATTCATTCAATATCATCTGTCTGTGAAAGTATGCTAAAGTGTGACCATTTCAATGCAAGTAAACATCAGAATTAAAGTTGAATATGGTGTTTCAACTTCAATAATAATTAACTCTTACATCGAGCAATTTTTTTACATTTTTTGTAACAGTTTTTCAAAGAAGCTAACATCAAAATACGGATAATGTGCAATTGATTCTTTTGATTCGTTTTCTTTAATTTATTGTAATGTGCAGCGACTTAATTTTGCAAGCAACACAAAGTCAAAATTTTAAACGCAAAATCTTTGGCAATTGGGATTTTTGCATTTCCAATGATCTTCAGGGGTTTTTAAAACATATAATTACTCTTATTATTTGTTTATGTGGAAATTCAACTTTTTTTTTAAATGTACTATTAAAATGTTTCTTTTCCTGTGTATTCGCGTAATTGAAAACAAAATCGTTGACTATAGACAAATGAATGGGCTGATTTGATCAGATAAGAGAATGCTACTACGATCGTACAATTAAATCAAACAAAACAAAAAAACCTATTTATCACCAATTTTATTGAGTGTAAGCAAAAAAAAAAACAACCGAATATTATCTCAACACCAAATTTTCTTTCTTTCCTTTTCTTTGGTGCGTGTACGCTTAATTTTTCGTATAGTTCAACTGGCGATGGAGCTCACACTTCCGAGAGGCAATAACCGAGTAATTTCTATGTTCCGATTTTTTTCCAATTCTTGAAATTGCAAAAATGATTAACTACAAAGACCATAAACAAGCATATCTTAATTTAAAAAAAAAACATTTAAACAAACAAACAAAAAATCGTTTTTCGGTTCAACCACATGCAAAAAAGGCAATTGATTCTCTAATTTTATTTCCATTTTGAACATTCTTTATTTTTCGGTTCAGTCACTGTGTTTAGTTTTTGTTTGAAAACTAACAAAATATTCAATTATAAGTGCTCACTCATTCTTTTCAATTCATTTCAACTATATGTTCGTTTAGAGAAAATATGGAATCATCAATGTTTCTTCTTTGTTTTTTCTCGATATATATTCTAATTGTTTTCACACTTTTCATTGGTAAATCATGTTTTCATCTGGGCGTTTTCACTTTTGTTTATTTTCATTATAAAAAGGGTTGTTCACTTTTGGGGTGAAGTGTTAGTAGCCGGAAATCCATCCAAAATTGCACACAACATTGTTTATAGAATTGAAGTGAATAATTTTTGACGGATTTTCGGTGAATTTCTGTTAAATTTTATGTTTGTTTGTTCGCATTTTTTTTCACCCCCCAGAAATCCTCTCCTTGGTTCAAAACAATTGGCGCATTGATGTTTTTCATGAAATATAAAATATAGCACAATGCAAAATAAATTAAAATAAACAAAAAATTAATTCAATAAAATTTTGATTTATGAATTGGCTCCTGATTGTAACCTTCTCTTTTTTCTCTTTCTCACACTTTCACACATACACACACAAACACACACACTCTCTCTCAAATTCAAATTGGAACGAAACCCCTATTATATAAAAGAAAAGTAAATTTTTTTTGCCTAAAACAACAACAACCAAAAATGCAAAAGTTAATCATTTATCTTTTTTCCGATTCTCGTTTCATTTATTTTGTCTCTGTTTCCATTTTAATGCAATTTTCAATTCGTATTTTTATATATTTGATATCGATTTCATAGGTTTTGTTTTTTGAATGTGTGGTGCAACAAATGTTACGGCTAAGATATTTTGTCTGTTTTCGTTTTAATTTTGTTTTGTTTTTTTGTTTTTTCTCATTCATCTAGAGAAATAAGTTGTTTCGTTTGATTGCGCGTCTCGCTCGCTCTATCTCTCTAATTTATGTGTCAATAGATGATGAACGATGAATGTGTTTTCCGTTTCCATACTATTTCATTCGGTTTGATTTGATTTGGTTTTCTGTCGGTTGGAATTTGTTTTTAAGAAATCTAAAAATGTGTATTTGGAATTAATGTTTCTATTTGTTCGTTCGAATCATTAGCGATTCCCCCTATAGTAAGGTACATTGGAAATGGGCTTAATCATCTTTTTGTCCAGTTATATTTATATCTATATATTCATTTGAATTCCGTTTTAGGTTCATCAAATCGACTTTTAGGTTGCTTGATTTTCTTTTGCAGGTCTTTTGTCGATATTATGGCCAAATGCACTTCAACTGCACTGCCAATATCGCGTGAAACTTATTTAATGATATCACAATAAACATTAGATGTTGGTTATAATTTTTGTTTGTTTCTGAGAATAAGGTGTAGAAACCTTCGAAAAAGCTAACTTCAGAGTGTAATCGAAGTTCAATTTATCAATAAGCAATTGACGGGGGAAAAAACGTAGCAAATATTCTTGGTTTTTATTTAGTGATCACATCAAATTACTTTGCATATAAATATGAAATAATTGCACAAGTTTTTGCCAACACAATAAAATCTCGCACTTGGTTTAAGCCCATTAAATTGTAAAAATCAATTGACAAAATTGGAACCTATTTGAACCCTCAAAAATCGATAATTTTTTTGATCCGAATCATATTCGTATTTTGATTGGACCTTACTATGGGAGTTTTCTTCAGTTTATTTTTAAACGATTTTTTGTTTTTGGAAAATAATTGGCTGGACTCATTTTACAAATTTACACAAAAAAACCGTAAATGATCTCTTGGCATGTGTTAATCGTTTCTTCTGAGTTTTTCTTTTCTTTTGTCAAAACTTTTTACAATATCGGTTGCAAATTGCATGTAATATTCCTCACAATTTACCCCTAGTTTGCACTAGTTTGATAACTATACAAATGTCACGCATTGTAGAAACAATTTTCGCTCAAAATTAGATATTAACAACATTTTGCATGACTAAATGCATACAACTATTATTAACTTTTATTTCCTTTCATTTAACTATACAATATCAATTTATAGAAACAAATTGAAGCAAACACATTTGTATTTTGAAATGAATCACTATTTGAACAGTTACATTTGTATTTGCAATGAAAATGCATAAATGCATTTTTTTTGTCCTAAATGTAAACAAAAACGACGAATAAATTTATAAAATCTAACTGTGTTATTTAATTGATAGCCAAGCACAATCCAACGGATGGGGTCGGTCCCTCTCAGCGCAGGAATCGCTCCAGAAAACGCACTCGATGCCCTGCTAGACGAATTGCAAACATTTTCAAAGCCATCGGTTGGAATGAATGAGGTGCGCTTTTAAAACTCTATAAATTAAATTTCAGAATCATCATAATCTCGTTCAATTTCGTTGTAGTCGCGTCCTGACGATTCAACTTCTACCGATGACAGTTCTCAAAATTTGGCACAACCAATTAACAACACAGTGACAACACAAATATCACAAGCAACAATTTATTCAACCAACGAACTAGCACCGCCAAACAATAATACATCAAGTTTACGTCGATTACATTCGTATCCAAGCGGATCTGACACCGATACCAGTCCACCGCAGCAAAAACTACGTTCGGTTCCGGGTAAACCTCCGGTGCCCGAACGAAATGCCGAACTAATGTCAAAAGTCATAAACAAACGGGCACCACCCCCGCCACCCCCACGAACAAGTAGTAGCCGCAGCCCATTGGCCAGTCCAACTAGTCCAAGTGTTGCATACAATATGCCAATCGTTTGCGAAAATGATCAAAACAATGGCAACGGCGATGGTGGCAATTCAAGTGGAAACGAATCGTCGAATTCACAAGAGCGACAAGCAGCCCTGGAATATCGCCATCAAGAATTGTTGAAAAAACAAAAGCAATTACAAGAACAATATGCACGATTACAGCAAATAAATAAAAGTGGTCCGATACCAACAAATGATCCGTTGAAAAAGACTGGCAGCGAATCGAATTTGCCACAGAAAATGGGCTTGAATATGGCTGTAAGCGGTTCAATGAAGAACCTTAATGTTGATGTTACCATTGTTGAGGCCGAGAAAAACGATAGAAATCAACAGCAACAGGCAGCTCAAACAACAACCAAGCAAGTTTATGAAACCGACATCCTATAGCGCCAAACCAAACAATGGAACGAAACTGAAATCGACCATTTTTAAATCGCTTAAATTCGTTTCATTTTTGCTTTTTTCAAAATAGTGAAACGCCAACAATGGACGGATCGAGCCGTCAATAGAATTTTTGACACATTTTAAAAGAAAAAAAAAACATTTAAACTTTTTCCCTCATTTTTGTATAATCGTGATAATTTTTATGGAGACACAAAATCCATATTTTGATGCATGTTCTTGAAACTAAGTCACCAACATTAGCATATAACATAGGAGGAGAAAAAAACACCCTTGCCAAAAATAAAAAAAAAACAAACCTGTGAACCAATTATGAGAACTTTTTTTTTTGAAATTTACCTATTTAAAATTTAAAAATCAATTTATATCATATTAACTAGAACTACACATCATTACAAATGAATGTAACCACGTAGTGCCAATTCAATCAATTTAACAAAAAAAGTATTTATTCATGCATGACAATATCATGCGGAAACCGTGCATTTGACATTATTCAACACAATCCTATTCACTATATGTACTGAATGTAATGAATAACATTTTCGGAAAGTATTTTGCATTAATTCAAAAACTCAGCCAATGTCGGCAATCACATTTTTGCACATTCATTTGACGTTTTTTTTATCATTGTAAACGCATCGAAATCGGATTTTCAAGTTTCATTGATGCTCGTTTAAATACAGCACGGTCACCATATTGAAGAAAAAAATGTGCAAAAAAATCAATTGAATTTAGTAATCCCAAAGATATGGTGTAATCAAAAAGAGATAGTAAACTATGAATGGCAAATAACTTGTTGTCATAAAATGAAAGGAAGTGCATGCTTGCATAATACTATCAGAATGCTTTGAAATCGAAATTCAAGTGAGAACTAACACCACTTTTAGCCAATTTTTATTCACAAAGAGAAATAATCTTGATAGAAAATAATAATCAATCATAATTCAAATTCAATAGAACGAAACTTAACCGAATGTAAACAATAGAGGGGAATTTAGAACAATTCATATGATATTTATGATGGAGAAAATGGCGAGACAAAAATATATAATGAAAACTCATTTCATAGCTCATATTTGAATATGATATTGACATTGCAATGCTATTTTATTGTAGAGATATTAATAATTTAGTGTAGTTCATGGTAAAATCCTTATCTTTATACTACAATACGAAAAAAACAAACCAACCGCAACCGCATCAACAACAATTTAAACCGATGTCATCTTTGGCTGCCGACTATTTTGCCAAATTTATTAACGAATATTTTAAACTTTCTCAAAAGAACACCATTATCCGGTCGAATCATAATTCATAAAGTATATAATAACAAACAGAACCACATGTAATGCACACGATCACGATTTATCACTTACAGTTTTAAATTTTATTCATCATATTCACCTTCATTTATTGATAGATCGGCCTGCTCAGAAATCAATAACCATTTCATACACCTTTTTACTACCAAAATACTGACGATAGCAAAAAAAATCGTTCTCTTTGTGGAAAATGTGCAATAAAATGTTTATTCATTTGAATTTTGAGCAGTCTCTTATGTGTCATCCCAAATGTTCGAAAAAAAAAACATCGTTCTTGTTGTACCGTACTTCGTAACACATTTATGTATAATATATTCAAAGCACAGAAATTTTTCACCCGAAATAAATTTGTCATTCATTGACCTCCAAAAGATTTGCGCATGTCTCGGTGCATCAAGTCACATTATATTGGTGAATATACGCCTATCGTTTGAATTTTATTGGGTATGTTATTAAATATGTTGAATTATAAAATATATTTTCACAGTGATCATTTTCGGTCGTCGACCATTTATTTCGGAAGCACGATTAATATTGTAATAAATCATTTACTTGAATGAAAACTTGATAAATTCTCAATACATGATTCTTTGATAAAGTGTAAAAATTCATTTTAGTTGCTTTTGGCACCGAATACAAAAATCATCACTAATATTTATTTATTTCAAAGTTATCGAACCAAAATATCTTTAAATTATTTAAAATCGACATATTTTAAGCCATGACAAACTAACATTATGTATTGAAAACGTTGAAGACAAACAATTATTTCTCATTATCATGTTGCGTTTATTACGAATTGAAGTCTCATGAAATTATTGCAATAAGATCACATAAAATTATTGATTGTAATCTATTAATCGTTAGAAATGGCAAGAATAAAAGAAAAAGTAAATTGTTCAGTCGCAAATTTCATTTTCAACAACTTATCATGGAAAAATGATGAATTAACTGCCGATAACGAAATGGTTTATCTGTTTCCTGTGTGTAGTCAAATTCAAGTCAGTTCAATTGAATCAGAAATGGAAAATAAAGTATGAAACCATGACAAATTACCATAAGCATGTTTCTTTTATTATCAAGACTAATTGTCGTTGGAGCATTTTCTGCTTTTTAAAATGGTAAGTCTTTTTTCACAACATTTATGCGATTCTCGTGTTAGAGTTCATTGGTAAGTAGATCATTGGCAACATTAAATCTTTCCATATGTATATATGCGCAGTTTTTATCAATAATAAAAGGATTTTATGTACCAAATTAGGGTCCACATCCAAGCATACGATGGGGGACATAAAACCCTTTTATTTTGAATATTCACGTTAAATTCTATAAACACGTATAGGTCCCAATAATGTTCGTGACACAACACAAAACGGGACATGGTTCTTAATACATTTACCATTCAGCCCAGAGATCAGTGAACAGCCCTTGAGGTAATAAAGTTATCATATTAAAATCAGTTTTGTGCTGTTTTCTGTTTTTTTTTTTATTAACGGTTGCATCCGTCCATTATTAGGCCAAAAGTCAACTGTTCCTGTCGAAATTGATTGACCATATCCTCCTACAGCATCGGAATGTATTATATCCTATAAATGCAAATTGTTATTGATCCATGTACGATATGTCCTGAGACTTTGTATAATAGTTTCCAGTCGCTGCAGCTAACCAATCGAGGACAATTAAATTGTGTTCTTTGCGTGCATTATAAGCGTTGACTATTATGCGCACTGTACTGTTTACTACACTCGTTTTACTGATGTCATACACTGGATGTTGCATAATTGCTTCAAATTCGTTCAAATTGTAAACTCGATTGTTCAAGTAGGTAGGTCTATAGAAGAAAATTAGTTTTATTTGGTTAGGAGAATATATGGAATCACCGTTGCTAATGAAACAAACCACAACTGTAATTAAATAACAGAGAAAACTACTTTTATTAATGAAATTTTCCGATTATTTTGCACGCTTTTTTATACCCAGTATAAGTTGCAACCACCAAATTCCCAACATATTCTGTTTAAAATGAAGTAATGATAAGCTGAAAAAAAAAAACACACAACAAAATCAAAGTGGTTAAGACACTTCGGGTATGGAGCTGACAGTCGGGGAAAAGTTAATAAGACTGCTTTTTTTCGAAGCAAATTCAGTGGAGCAACTGTTATAATAAACAGTGAATAAATATCCAATTCTTAAATATATATTGATATCATAAATTGTCATAAATAAGTTGAGCGTTGCTAAACAAACAAAACACAAAAGGAACAATTTCAATCTATAGGAAATATAAGATTTTTGGTAAATTATTTGATATCAGCAGATAATCATATGGTTTTCAATGATTTTGATCGTGAGACTTTTTATTCTCGACTTTCTTGAGCACAACAGGCTATGACTTGATTACAGATCATAAATCGTTAGAAATTTGAGTTGTTTATCTAAAGATTTCTTAAGAAACAAAACTAAAGCATTTGTTTCAATGAACTACGTGATGCGATGCACGTATGGAAAGGAGAAAAAAATGTGAGGAAATATAAACGGTGACGCACTATTTCGTTTTACTTTGTGGGTTCATTTTGGAAATGTTTTTAATAATAAACTCTATTGGTTTAAGTTCGGACGTAGTTGATTTCATTAAGCTTAAGAATAGTATGATATATATGGATTCGGCCATTTGGATGAAAAATTGTAGGAAAAGTCGGCATTCGAGTCTCATTGTAAGCAACCCATGACTTTGATCACACTTTTCTAAATGATAGATCTGAATGTTCTCTCTCTCCAACGTTATATAGCTTATTAGCCAATCAAACTTAACTGAAAGGTACTTCATAGGTCGCCATTTGAGCGCCAAATGATTGAAGACATTGGCAAAAATAATTTTTCTTTGTAATGTGAATAAAATCGCCGTCTATAAATTAGGAAGAATCATTGAAATATTCAAAATATCATTTTATTTATACCAACGTTTTTTCGTGAATTTATAACAATAATACTTTACCTTCAAACGCAATTATTTTGACTATGATTTGAAAAATCAGGTAAAAGTTCATTAAGAAACATTGCTATGCGCCATCTGTTGTATTTCGTGCACATTTTTTTCGGAGCGTGAGCTTTAATATGATTAAATTTTTAAACTTGTGGTTAATTCAGCTAAGCGTCTATCGTATTATTTAAACTGTTGCTTCTAATCTGGGACTTACTATTTCGTTTTTTTTTAATGAAAGTTTTTGGTTTCTATCATATATTTTGATTGTAATACAATTATGTCATTCATTTATATCAACAAAGTCAAATTACAAAGAAAATAAAATGTCCTAAATGAATGTTGTGGATCACAGTGCGGAAAAGTTCATCTTAAGGATGTAAGCAGACATTAGGCTCGAGCTATGCATATAGCGGCTGCTATTTTATAGGTGCTATTCATAGGCGCTATTTAATTCGTGTGCTGTGTGTAACACCGAGTAGGAATATCATAGCCTACTATTCTTTTGTACATTTGAATGTGAGTACGAGAGAGATGTAGAAAATAACGCACAATATGCATAAATGCAATAAAACGAGATCAATAGCGCCTATGAATAGCGGCTATGAAATAGCAGCCGCTATATCCATAGCTCAAACCTAATATCTGGATGTAAGATTACATATCTTTTACCGTAAATATTAATTCATGAGAAAACTGAATCTGATATAAGTTTTGCGATACCAATAATTTCTGATAAATTTTTCAATTCGTACCCAAAAACCTCCCAATACATATTTTTGAGTGTTTAAGAATACATTAAATATCACTTTTGGAAGAAAAATTGAATTTTTCCCATGGATGGCCATGGGCATCACACCAGACATGACACTTCACTGTATCAACCAAAGTCGCTCAAAATCTAATGGTTTCTATTCCTCGGCACCTTCAATCATCCTGTGAAGTCAGATTTTGAATTACTTTTCTTGTTTGAAAGTTATCGTGTTAACAATTTTTTAACGCACATACAGTGACAAAATACAAATGTGAACACTTTTGAATGTATTTGATGACCAACAAAAGGTTTAATTTTCCATCAAAGAAACTCGACGTATTATCTATAGTCTCAAGTGTGTTTCTTATTAATTAAACTACACATTTTGAAATAAAGAAACTAATTATATTCTGTGCGATATCATTTAACATCAGTTCGTAGGTCAATTCAAATATCGAAGTCCGTTTATGCCTCGTGAAAATGGTGGTTCACCGTTCGTTTGTAAATAATAATCTCCATAAGCGCTAAAATTAAAAATCAATTGAATAATTGAAAAAAGAAAACGTTTGAATTGCAACGAAAAGCATTGAATACTTGGTAGAACAATCAATTCCCATGTTCACGACATTTGAAGAATTTGTGTCGTCAACTTTAAAACGTGACCAGCTTTTTGCCGATACAGCATGAAATGTGGTTCCCTTTGGTAAGGCAACACTTTCAGCATAATATTTAACTGATCGTTGATGACTACACAAATCTAAAAATATTGGAAATGCAAGAAATATTATGAAATTTAACAATGCCAAGATTATTTTCATTTACCATTAACGCTAAGAGGAATGCCAAGCCTAAAGGGACAGCCCTTAACATAATAAAAAGCCAAATCAGTTTTTGAACTTTTCAACTTCCACCGTTTATGTTTGGTTCGGCGTATTATAACTTACCGGTTGCAAAGTCATTCCATCATTTGGCCAAAAGTCAATTGTACCGGTCGAAATGGGTTGGCCGTAGAGTCCAGCATCAGAGTGTATTATATCCTATGACCGGAAAAGGTTAAATTGAATTATGGTTCAATCAATTGGCAAAAACATACAACAAATTCAGCATCCGAATGACTTAGATGGTCCAATAGAATATTTGGAAAAAAAGGAGGATTGGCAGGATCTAAATGATTACAAAAACACTGTATTATGCATCAAGTTTGGTCTATTTCACGCTAACTGACCATACCTAAACCGGTTATTCTGAAAAAAGTTTAAAATTATATAAAGAATGATCAAATGATAATTTTCATTGTATCGACGTTAGATTTAATGTGATTTTTTGTAACCTTTTTAATTTTTGAAATTGATTCGATTTTAAAAACATCTTGCGACCCATCACTTCCGCAAGTTGAGCGCCAAGCGAATGACCAACAACATGAAACTTTTCTCTATCCAATCCTTTTTTAAATGCACTCAACACCACCGTTGCAAAAATGTTACCCAACTAAGCAAAAATGAAATTACACAAATAGATAAAAGAAATATCAAAAGATGCATCAGTTGAAATACCGTGACCGAATTTGGTACGGCTTGTATGAAATAGTCTCCAAATGCTGCATCAGACCAATCGAGGACAATTAGATTGTGTTCTTTGCGTGCATGATATGCGTTGACTATTAAATGCACGCTGTCGCTATCGGGTGACTCAAGATATCCATGTATATACAAAACGGTTGTTTGACTGGCGTTATACATTTCATGCTCAACAATTTCGTCCAATTTGTTGAAATCATAAATTCGATGGTCAAAGTAATTGGGTCCATAGAAGAAAATAAGTTTTGTTTGTTCAGTAGACAATCTCGCACCACAATTGCCAACAAAAAAAACCACAACTTTAATTGAATAACAGAAACAAAACTAATTTTATTATATCGATTAAGATTTTGAGATTATTTTGCACGCTTTTTACCCAGTATTAGTGGAAACCAACAAGTGACCCACATATTTTGTCCAAAATCCATTAAGCCAAGAGGAAAATAGCAAAAAAAAATAATATTGATAAGACACACAAATTTATTGCTTTCTCGGCGAAGTTTTAACGATACTGAATGCTTTTGGATTTCGAGTTGTTAGTCAGGGGATTAATTTGTTAGTAACTTACTTGAAATATTTGTATATATGTATCTATCTTTTTTCTGATGATATTTTTCGGTAAAGATAGATAGATATGAGGCGTATCTAAATTATTAATATAGCAGTTAGATAGATATTAGATTTTATCTATCTACGATATCTTTTATAGATATAGATAGATCAGTAGTGTGCGAGGAAAATTTTTCAGGGGGGGGTGATTTTCCAAAAACAAAAAATTCTCTAGCAAATTAGACAAATTTTCGTTTTTTTTTTTTTTTTTTTTTGGAAGTCACTTTTTGAGGCGAAAATCCCTAGCAAATCGAAAGAATTTTCTCCGCGAAAAACCTTAGCAAATCGGAAAAAAATCTCTCGGAGCCAAAAACCCTAGCAAATTGAAAGAATTTTCTTCAATTTTCTACATTGATGAGCTAAAAAAAAAAAAAAAAAAAGGGTCTTCACTTTTTGAATCAAAAACCCTAGCAATTTCGAATAAATTTCACGAAAAATAAATTCTCATCCAAATCACAGGGGGGGGTAAACCCCCCCCCACCCCCCCCCCTCCGCACACTACTGAGATAGATACGTATCTATGAAAAACCCTGTTAGTAAGATTGTTTTCTTTCGATGAAAACACGCAAATTTTTACATTTTACGTACAATATGCATAAATCTACGGATGAGAAACAAAGTAGCCTATAGGGAAATTTCGATTTTTATGTATCATTTATTTGTTTACAAGCATAGGCACCAGCCATTTTCTCTGTATATTTTTATTTCCAAAAAAATAATTTGTATTTTTGCGTGATCCTCACCTATATATGAATCGTTGCGGAGAAAAAGTAGCTCTTATTTTTCTCCAAATAATACTGCAACATGAAATTTTTTTCACACGGTTTATTTGTTGTAATACAACAAATAAACTATTCATAAAAAACTTTATGTTGCAGTATTATTTGGAGAAAAATAAGAGCTACTCTTTCGCCGCAACGATTCGAATATAGATAGATGCCTTTTAAATAGATAACATAGTCTTCCATGGTTCTCATCTATAGATATATCTATAAACACATCTCCCAACAAACAAAAATGTAATGTTTTTTTATTCATTTTAACGTTGAAAAATGTAATGTTTTGGCCCAGTTTAGTGGTAATTTTTGAAAGAAAATTGTATGCAAAAGAGTAATATATTTCAATAGAATATTTCCATTTGTTTTATTTACTGGTGTGAGACTTGATGTCGGAGTTGAAGTTTAAAGCATTTTTATAAACAATAATCGCATCGCATACATAAACATTTCTCTTTTCGATTGTGTTTACATAAAACGTTTCGACAGACTCCGTGTGATAGCTATGTGTGTTCGTTGATTAACAGTATGCTTCGTAAGCAATAACAGCATTTGATACAACGTATTGATTATTCATATGCATTTCTGTCTACATATACATTATGTATCACTCTGTGTATTCAGTCAGATTTTTCTTAATTTGCTTGTGTCAGCAAAATTCGAATTTCAACCGAAAATCACACATCTCTCTTTGTTTATAATTTGACATTTCTCGCCGACGTTCATTTTGATTGTTACTTCAAATGTGTACGGTGCATTGTGTTGATTAGTTTCAATCGTAACATTTCAGAAGGAGTTGTTTTGTAAATCAGAACACAATATATTCTGATGGTGAAATGAAAGTAACTAAATAAATCGTTTTCTTCGACAACACAAATAAAATCTCATTTTCATATCAAAACGTTTGAAAAACAGTTTCTGTTCATTTTCAAGATTGTGCTTCAAACCAAGAGTGCTGTTATGCTATTTTACAAATAATATTTTCATACGGTGATTTACATTTCGATTTTGATCATCGGCCATTTTTAATAAACGTTTACTTTTGTCGATTCAACAATAATTCCCTATAAATTCGGGTGCATTTTTGAGGTGATTCCACAGTTTAGTAAAGAATTTCACAGCAGTAAGCGTCTCTTTGACCGCTCTATATTTGTATATATATTTTTCAAATGAAAAAGTGTTTTAATTAAATTTATGCAATTATTTAATCTCTCTCGCTAGCCTTGTGTTCCAATTGTCGACCATTGCATCGTGAATACAACATTTTCGAACGCGCTTTTTGTCATTTTGCAGTGAATGTGACAGTGTTGTTGGTAAGTACTCAAAAACGAACCATTTTTCTTGATTTTTTTTTTGAAGTGATCAATGGACTGTGTGCCATGAATTTGACAATTTTTTCGTGTTTTTTTTCTGAACAGATTTAATTTTCATTACAATGAAGAGGAGACGTGCAAAAATAAATTCAGCCTTTAAGAAAAATACGGCAAAATTGAACGACAATGAAGAGTTGCGATCGATAAAACTGTCAGCGCCTTCGGTATTCAAGTCTGAATATTCGGAAGCGCTAACACAGCATTTTTTCCATAAATGCTACAATGGTACAGTAATATGCTACCTAGGTTCGACATTGTTTTTATATGTTGTCAACCTTGCAGCAGATAACGATGATCGGCAATATTTCATTGACAGTGATGGAAAAAATGTTATACGTGAGTGTTTCGCCGCCGTATCACGAGAAAATTTGGAAAATCCAAAACAACCGAAAATACCACGTGGATTCCTTGAAATGATTGCCGATGATCAATTTGAATGGCCAAGTAGGTACCAAATGGGCAACGCATTTGAATACTTGAATCAACAATATTTGACAAATGTTACGACAAATTTGACAACGCATTTAGATAATATATTGGAGAGCTTCTTGCAAATGATTCGCTATCAATTGAACGAAGACCCTAATCGGCTCATAAAATTTGATGGCATTGACATAAGAAATGCAAAGAACAATCTTATGTTCAATCAAGATTGTACCGGAGGCGATCAACACCGAACGAACAAAATGAATGAGTTGTATGAACAAGTCGCCGTACGCTGTTTACCATCATTTCGCGAATATTTGTCAATGATTGAATACATCGAGAAAAAGTGGTTTGAATCGTTGTGGTTTTTCATCTTCATTCAACGTGAAATAAGTATATTTTTGGAAGAGCATCACGATCTTGTGCAATTATGGCTACGACACCAACGCCATCCGCTTTTTTATTGCAAACCATCCAAGCCATTGCCACCAAAAATAAGAAATTTCACCGTCATACCGATATGTGACTCGAAGTTGAAACACATTAAATTCGATCAAGATGATTTGATGAGCCTGCTGGCCCAATGGAAAGTTGTGCCGAAGATATTTAACAATGATCATGGAGGGCATAATATGTATAGCCGTAACTATTACAAGGAGAACGAAGATGAAGCATGGGCCATTTTGTTCAACATGGACAAAATCAACGAGATCAAGAAACCGAACCAACAGTTTCATCATATGATAGTCTGCGATAGCGTTTCCGCGTCGGTATTGTACAGAACACCAAAGCCTGAGATCGAGAATACGGAGCTGCATCGACAAAGAATCAAGCAAAAACTCGAGAACAATGAGTATAAATACATCGTCGCAATTGATCCCGGTATGAAAACATACTTAGCCGGAATTCGTCGGAATATTGAAGATCGCACTGAGGTGAGTTTATATTTAAATAAAATGTTTTCTACAAAAATCAATGCTCATTTTTAAATTTTTTTGTTAAAGGAGAATTTCAAGATATCTTCGAAGTCATATCATTGGGGTGCCGGACAAAAAGTCAGAGACAAAATGGGAAAGCGTATGACTGCCAGATTCACGCAACGAGAGCAATTGGACCGTGAAAGCTATCCATCGATACCATCACCGCGAGGAATCCGATGGAGAAATTACGTCAGGCATCGATTAACCATGGTGAAAGATGCAGTGGCTGCATATGCTCGGCGACGTTATGCACGGCTTTCGTTTGACAAATACATCGGGTCACAAGGTGAGAAAGATTGGCTGGCGAAAGTAATAACAAAGAATGAGCCATCGCTTATAAACATCGGAGCAGTGGATATGGCACCCAATTCACCAATTGGCATAAAAAAGGGAAAACGATGCCCAGGTACACGGCATCTTCAATGCAGCATTAAAAAACTTGGCCATTCAGATGTACACAAAGTGAATGAAGATTTCACATCTCAACACTGTGCGAATTGCCAGAAGAAATTCCCGATTCAAACACAAAAATATCGATTCAAAGTGTGCCGTAACTGTACTCGCGATGCACCAATACCACAAGAAATAGAACCGTATATCTCACTACCACGGCTAATTGTGACGAAGAAGAGTCAACGACGCAAAAAGAAAGATAGCTGCGTGAAGAAATTGATCGCAAGAGGCATCATGGATCCAGCAAATCAACCAGCAGAATTTCAACCAGGGCGATTAGAGTCAAAGAAAATGTACTTTCTGAAAAACTGGCTACTAAACCCTGTGAATGCAATTCAAATGGGAGGCGACGCTGATAAATATCCGGAACAACAACAACAACAGCAACATCAAAAACGATTTTGCACCGTTTGGCATCGAGACATTGTTGCGGCTAGATGCATCATGTACAAAGGTAAACACTGTAATTTATTTGGTATATTTTCCAATAATTTAAATTGCCTCTTATTAATTACAGGTCTTTGTTACATATTCAATTTGGAAATGCACAACTCGTATGTCAGAGCACCAGCACCTCCAAGACCACCATTGCGTAGAAGACAACCAGCACGCAGAAGAGCCAATGCAAACGTTGTTCCAGATCAATGATTAAGCAGCGTCGAAATCAAAAAGAAAAAATATAATAACTCTGGTAGTTAGTAGCAAAGCTTGTATTTTGTGGCTTTGGTGATTGTGTATAGTACACATTGTCTAAATGTGTAATTGTACACAGTTCAGTACAGATTTATCTGTAGGTAAGTATTATTTTATCAAATGTTAAAAATGAATTTAATTTGGATGTGGCGCTCAGTTAAATAACATTCGAAAAAAATCCATTTTCGCCGATAGAAATATGGCTCTATAGATTTTAGCTAACTTTTTCTTTCTCCTTCTTTTTCTTCCACTGGTGACGTTGAAAATGACTGAAACTACACACAAATCCGGCCACAAAATTGACCGTCAACATATGCCCGATAATGGATGAATTTGCCCCAACAATTGTTTATTGGGTAAACTATATATAGTTAAAATAAGTTTGATTAATTTGAAAAAAAAAAAAATGAGTGTATTTGAATGATGACTGCAGTCTCAAAGATGAAAAATTAGTTTTCATCAAAATTTCGATAGACACAAACGAAATGTTGCATTGAACGGAACTTCTATTTATTTTGCATGCCAAACCCGTTATCAAACTTTTATCTGTATTTAACAACAGCCAATTTAAATTGTGCATAGGGATCTTAAACAAAACAGTTGACTGGTTTGCATATTCACACGGAAGATTGTTATTCATTATTACAAACAAACTGTGGTGAATTCCAAACTATTGTGAAATTCTTCTAGCTATTTATTCTCGTTTAAGAATGTTCTCTTGAACTTCTAGGTCATCCGGGTAAAAATACGATCAGTTTGCTGCCATGGACATCTGAAAATCAATTTAATTCAAATTTAGCAGATGAATATTTGTATGTTCAAAACAAAAGAGAATTGCGTCCGTTTTCGTACTACAGCAACGGAATATACGAATCATTTTAATGATTCAAACAATAACAGACGCTGCAGTAAGAATGTGCGTGATGTTGATGTGAAGCGATAATTGGAATTCATTAACTAATATTCTGTAAAATGAAATCTTTCAATTGGAATAATTTGAGCACACAATATGAAACGAACAATATTTGAGGCAATAAATTGCTATCATTTAAATGAGTTGATTTAAAGAAATCGCAAAGAGACAGTGATCACAAATCAATGCATCATCAAAGTCACGATGACCTTTGATATTTATTGAAATGAAATTCCTTAATAAATGAGACGCCTTACTTTGTTTTATACATATATGTATTGAAAATTTTATTAACAATATGAAAATAAGGTAACAGATCACTTGTGCGATCAAATGTAAAGTGTATATAAAAACGAGAAAAAAAGAGATTTTCTTTATTAAACAAGTAGTAAAATTTTTGTTTTAAAAAATAACATGACATTTTTTTTTTTGTTTTATGATTATATAAATTAGTGATTTCAAATCATTTCATTGTTCATAAATATACAGGCATTCCCAATCGATTCTGATTCCCATTCATTTATGTTCAAAAAAGGCAAATATCATTCCACACACACGATGATTTTGTGACGTAACTACATGCATTCAACTAGCTTTTTTTCGAATGGTCTTATCGCCTACGAATGTACGATTTATATCATATTTGACTTTCGTATAGTTTAATCCGTCTGCGCCTCTTGAAAACGGCCGTAAACCATTCGTTTGTAAGTAATAGTCGCCGCGAGCGCTACAGAAACATAGAAACAAAGGGATATTATTAGGAAATGTTGCTATGAAAAATCCATTGCATAACAATTACCTAGTTGAGCAATCATTGCCCATGTGTGTAACGCTGGACTCGTCGATGCGTCCCTTCTTAAAATCATCCCAACTTTTTGCTTTGGCTGCATGAAAAGCCGATTTCTCTGAAGATGCAACACTTTCGGCCCAAAACCACCAAGATCGCCGATGACTGCACAAATCTATACAACAAGAAAAAACGTAACTCATCAGTCAAACATTTATTTATAAGTAAACTACACACCATTTATTTTCTTACCAACATCTGACAATGTCAAAAGCATTCCTCGTTTCGGACAACCCTTCAATGAAATAATGAATTATTTTTCAATTCAATATAATTGATCAGCACGAATATTTACCGGTTGCAGTGTTTTTCCACTGTTTGGCCAGAAATCAGCATGTCCTGTACTGATTGGTATTCCATAAAGCCTACACATCAAATGAATTGAATTAAATTTAAATTTCGAGCCAAATCGTAGACGAACATACCATGCATCTGTGTGGATAATATCTACAAATTTTGCGTCATTTTTATTCACAGCCGGTGTGCCAAGCGATGGGTAAAATGTCGGAAATGCCGGATCAAGTGCTGATATGCGAGCGATTTGTGTTTCACCTCGTGATTTCTTAAACACACTGCGACCAATCACACCAGACATTTGTCCACCCAATGAATGCCCGACTATATGAAAGGTATCTACATTCAAACCTTCATCAAACCAATCCAATATTACTTCAGCCATCTTTGGTCCCAACTACACAGTCGAAATGACAACAGGTGTTCCATTCTATTAATACCCTTTCTCCGTAATCGCACTTAATTTAACATACCTGCTTAATATTCGGTACTGCATCAACGAAAAAGTTTCCATCAGCCAACACCGACCAATCCAATACCAAACAATTGTAATCGTCTCGCGTTAAATATGCATCGACTGTCACATGAATGCTTTGGTGTGATGGATCTTCGACATAGCCATGAATATATAAAACTGTCTTTTTGTTGTGATCAAATTTTGGATCGGCCATTATCGCATGAGATTCGTGCATTGGATATACGGTATGTTCATTGAATGTTTTACTGCACAAATATACACCAAAAATAATAGAAAATAGCATTGCATTCATGTTTATTTAAGTTTTAATTCAATGTAAACCTATTGACATACCCATGAAAAAACATGATGTTTACTTTATCCGTATGAGCTCGTGCCGACCGAATACCAAGCCATAATCCTGAAACGATCATACAAAAATAAAAATAAAATAATATTGATGATTTTAGAGACGAGAATATATATCGTAGTTCACAATTAAGTGTGTTCTTGAAATTAATTATTTAATCAGAACGCACACACACTTATGTGCAATATACTCATAATTTAATGGGACCTATTCGGTTCATTTTCTATAATTATCGTGCTATTCGATACTTATTGAAATAGAATAAAGCTCACCGTAGAATTAGTGGTTAGTTTGTCATTGCGATCGAAAAGAAATCGAAAACGATAGCAGAATTAAGACTTAGAATTGAAATACTTGTTTTACTCGAATTGAAGGGCACATTGTGCGACTGTCAGGGTCTTATCTTGCAATAAATTACATCATTTATCAGTCACTTAATTTAGCAGAAAAAAAGCGAAGAATTTTACATTCTATGCTCATTCGATTTTGGAATCTTTACAATTAAAATTGAAACAATTCGTCAATTATTATTGTTAAAAAGAATTTTCCAACAAATTTTCGACATCAAAAATGCATTTCGAGAGACAAAACGAACGAAAAAAATCTATAAATGCATCGCAATAAGGTCGAACGGTTTAGAAATATATTTGTACGTAAAAGAGCGCTATAAAACAAGTAGATTGCGATTGCGAAGCAAAGTGGCAAACAGTTTACATGATGGATATAGCGATGAAAAAACACGAAATCACCTGACAAAATCGAAAAGTTGTTTAGAATAAAATGGCATATGCATGCAACGAATTTTCACGGCATGCACACCAGCCACGTTCAACACTTGCGACGATTTCATTGCAGCACACGTACAATTATGATATACATATTCGTTTTGAATTTATATCCGGAGAAGTTGCGGCCAAAACCAATTTCGTGGAACCCATAACAGGTGGTAACTTGAATGTATGCTGTAAGATATGTGTGCAACAACTAAAATACACACCAAAACCATCAAATAAAATAATTATCGATTTTTTTGTGTTTGTGCTTCATTGCATAACTTTGTTTCTGTTTTTTTTTCATTTAATTTAAGCTATATGTTCTCTTAAAGTCGTTTTTATTGGTGGTTGCCCATTTTTTGTTGTGCCGTTGAACTATGTTCGCTTTGGCTGATGTTTGTGTTGATGCATGAAAAGAGAAGATTGAAAAAATAAACTTCATGTGAAATCCATAAAATGCGGTTTGTTGTGTGTGGCTGTCGTTTCAGGTAACTAGGCTATTCGTTTCGTATTACAATTTCTAATTGTAAAGCAAATATTTTATATCAACACTAAAAACAACTGATTCATCAACGGAAAAAAGATCACTTTTTTATTGCATCGATAGTTTAGCTGGGCTCTGGATTTGGAGTGTATTTGTTCATGTACTTTTCGATCTTGTTGACATTTCATTAAATTGATTTTATCTTGGTGAAACAAAGACAAATGTAAAAAATCACATTTTCATTAACGATAAAGCACAACACAAAGAATTCGCTTCTTGTTATCTGTTTATAGGTATGTGGATTTCGTCATTTGTATTGATTCACGTGCGCCCATTATTTCGGCGGCGAATTATGTTAATTTGTGTATTTTATACGTAAATGGTAGATAAGAGAAAGTGGCAAAACTTTACTCACGTCGCTTATTTTTCACTGATTTCAGCATTTTCGACAGTTTTTCTTTCTCTCTTTCTCGCTGTTTTTTATCTCTATGCCAAACCGCTTAGCCTGCTCTTTGTCTTTCTTCTTTGTTTGTTGATATAAATATGTTGTTGTGGTTGTTGTTGTGATTATAGTTGTTGTGTACTTGACGATGTGCTCTTCAAGATTTTAACTCAAGTTATGACCAAAAATTTGTTGGCGCGAATTTCCACCCAGAAAATAATTACAAAACACTCAGACACGTGTGACTTTTCAGACTTCAATGATGCACCTTTCCATATGATTATGTATATTCTCTTTTAAATACTCGATACAAAAGCCTCCGAGAAGTAGTTCATGTGATGTAATTCTATAGAGAGAAAATAAACCAGAATGAAAAAGAGAAAATCAGTACAAGGTTCACACTAGAATTGTTTACGTCTTCATTTTCTTTGCTTTCAATTATTTCATTTTTGTTAATTATTCCATTCTGTTGATGATTTGAAAAAAATCTTTCCATGAATTAATTCAATACGAAATAATCCGAAACGAAAATGATAAAAACAAAACAAAAAATAATCCAAAAAATCATGATATTAAATAAATCCGATAAAAAATCAACCATAAATATATACGCACACAGTTTAATGCACGAAAAATCAATTGTAGCCAGCAGCAATCGCGCGCGCGGTCAAAACAGACAACGTAACTTTTGTCTTTCACAACGGAGTGTCGTTCACTCAGTTGATGGCGTATGACTGATCGAATTCGTGGCAAACCAAGTGTTTTCAACTCCGAAAAAGGCTAAAATCAAACCAAACACTCTGCTCACACAATACACACAACACACCATCGGTTTTGCCCGTACATTATTTAGTATGTCGGCTCCGGTGCCATAAGCGAACGTCATATGTGTGTATATATTGTAAACGATATAATATGCTGACTTTCGATTGTGCCATTGAAATCGTGCATATCGCTCGCGCGAGCAATTACTACAAAGCTCTTCGCATCGTGAATCGCATATTTGTTCCGTTGTGTATGCATGAAAAGTGCCTTTGAAGTACATGTGTGAAATATAAATAAAAAAAAGAAGCAAAACAACGTCTAGAGCAGCAAAAATATAGCTATGAACAATATGCGAGAGAGAAAAACAAACCGCAACCGCGCTCAAATAAAATATACAAGTTTGAACTGAATTTTCTACTTATTCGCTCTACATCATTCTATTCTATTTGGGAATTATTTTTTTTTATATTCTCTTTGTCTATTCAACGCCATATTTCTCGGCCTTTCTATATTTGAATTTTTTTTTCCGATTCATTATTCTTGGTCGCAACTCTTTACACTAGCTTTGGTTGCTGTTGTTATCGTTAAATGATTTTTGTACCCATTAAAACAACGCAGCAAACATTCAATTGAACCAACCAATCGCTGGCTACTTCTCGCTACCTGTGCGTTTATATTTAATGTAACCACGTAATAGCCGCCGTATATTTGCACATTTGGACTTAGAAATTTCATGTCATCGTGCATTCTCATTGAGATTTTGTTTCATCACTCCAGAATTCTTCTGAAATTATTGCTATAATTCTTGAGTTTCAAGTATAACAAAACAAACAATTGAAAATTTTAAACAAAACAATTAAGCGCAAATCACAGCTTAAAAAATGTGATTCACTCAGCTATAACCAAAATAAAACAATTACGCTCAACAACAACACGTCATCAAATTCTTTAGTTTGATTTGAAAGTTTTGGTCGGTTATGTCAACACAATATCAACAAGAATCTTTTTAAAGTTTCTATTAATATATCGATACATGCCGATGCACCCGTAAACTGAACAGGCCATAGGGAGCGGCTAGTAAACCGGCTCTTTACGACTATTGGACTGGAGATTTTCCATCATTTTTTTTTTGCAATTAAACTTTTATGGTTGCATGCGAAAAAGTTGCTCAAGTTCGCCCGTGAACTTCTATTATTTGTTTAAACGTTGAATTCAAATACAATTTATGAATGCGCTCCAGTGGATTGCGTGGGACAAACAACGAACAAATTGTTTGATAATATCTACGGAAATCTATAGAAGCTAAAGAATATTTAAAGCACCGAATATGCACTCTAAATTTAAATCGTACGTATTGAAATCTAAATGCCAAAAACACTCATTTAAATTTAGACCGAAAATGGATACGCCAATAATCGATTGAAGTACACGGAAGGCGGAATTTCGATTAAATAGATAAATAAATGAGTGGCATCACAATTTGACGCGAGAATATTTGAAGCATTGTTGTTCTATCGAGTGAATGAGCGAAGTGGAGAGTGAGAGAGAAATCGTAATTATAATTTGCATGAGGAAAACAAGAAATATTCTATCTCGGCTCGTATACAAAATCGTCCGGTCACTGTTCAAAATAATTAAACAGCTTGGTCATTTTGCGCACGTCATCTTACATATCTAATAAACACGACCAACGTTCAATTCGCTCGCATGTTGGTTGTTTACTTTCAGTCGTATACACACAGGTAATGCGAGCCTACCACCGTGTGGACTTTATTCATTTTTTTGTTGCGTCAACAACACACGAGATGCATGAAGATTACATCGAAACTTGATCGGAATATGAATGCTGCAGGAAAACAATTTAAAAAAGGAATTTCAAAACGCGCACAAATGAATTGGACTAGTGATAAATGATTTGCCGAATTTGTGTTTGTGACTCACACAGTGGCTAGCCAAATACAAATTTTCTCTGGTTATTTTAATGTCACATCAATACAACGACTGTCTCATTCTTTTTTGGTACTCGACTCGTTTTTCAAAGACAACTCACGTGAATTCCAAAGGAATCAGGTTTTTTTTTGGCTAAATCATCATATAAACCTTTCTTACCGCATTCATAAAATTTGTTTTGGAAATTTGCTCTCAAGAATTTTTTGATGAAAAGATCGCATTTGTTTTTCCCAATTCACTTCACTGGCATAGTTTGTGATGTAATAAACAGAAATTCCTAAATATCACTATTAAAAAAAAATATCAACCACACAGTGTCTACGGAAGAGATTTTTTTTTTTGAAACATTAGATAATTGGTCAAAAAATAAAATCACACTAAATCATTTTTCACAATCGAATAATTACAAATAGTTTTATAAGTCGATTATTTAAAAAAAACTTAGAATTATATTCATTGAAACTCAACACAAAACACGTTGTGTCAATGTATCGAGTGCACATAGCTGTCAAGTTTCTTTTACGACTACCAACGAATGTTTATCATTTATACACACACCATACCATTTTTTTATTGCTATTTAGATATATTTTAGAGTCGATATTCAGGCGATCATAGCATATAGATACTATAAACAATAATCACCACTACATGCATCATGACGTACGTTGTGCACGCAACGAATATGTTCTGAGCTGTGGTGTGCCGCCGTCATTGGTTTTCGTAAGCCCGCTATTCTTGAATACAAATGAGTTTTAATTGAATTCATTTCGGAAAGACGTAAATAAATGATTTGTTCGTGTCTCTACATGAGTTTTGCTGTACACAGTCGATACTCAATTAATTACAATCAAATATGAAATTATATCAATTGGGTTTTTTTTCTCTTGGTTTTATTGAAAACTTAGTGTGTAAAACGCCCTTGTGTAGGCAACACGTAATTACTTCAATATATTTCTTTGATAATATCATATATGAATGTTGGATAAATGTTCAAGAGATGACAGTTAACGTCATAAACCATAATTGTATTGAATATTCTTCAATTTGTACACACAATTTTATATAGATATAATATTATAATATCCGATAAGAGTTCTTTAAATCGATTAATGGCATAGAACGACAACATTTTCTTTCGTTCAAATTGATTGTAGTATTTCTGATTTTATCTGATAAAAAAATGAATCTCGTAAAAATCAATTGAGCTATTGTATTTATAAAGGGCGACGGAGAAAAAACTCAAGCTGAATATATGAAAAATCTTCACAATTGGAAATTTATTTACGTCACACAATCACACTGCAATGTCTTCCAATGATAATTACTTCGTCTAAAATGTGCCGGTGATCACGTAAATAATTTAGATAACAGATTATGAATAATATTATATCATGTTGAAAAATGCTATATTGCCAAAAATGCTCATTTAACAAACAATTTCTAATCTATGTGAATTAAACTTAAGAAAAGATAAAATTCGTTTCAATGTCACCGTGAATTCAATTTTTTAGACAAATTTCTGGTTCCATTTAGATAAGAACATCCAAGAAATACTATAAATATACGAAAAATTTGATAACATGTCGCAATTTGATTCATTTCGTAAGTTTCAGTAGGTTCCAAATAATGCTAATTTTTTGCATTTTTCTTCTTGCCATTGGCATCAATAACGCGGCAGTAATATCCAATCAATCCGAAGCGATTGAAGCAGCAACTCAATCAACTGACGCCATTTCAAAACAAGGCACCATAATTAACTATGTAGCCAGTTTACTTTCAAAAGTAAACGATAACCAAGTGGGAGTTGATGATTTTATTGCTGATTTAAAATCATTATCGGAGAATGACGACAACACATTGGGTCCAGTTATTGTTAGAATCAGCGATTCGTTAAACAATCCAGTCGCAGAAAACGCCATTCCATCTGGTATTTTCAACATGGAAGCAAATGTAACGGACCTTATCAGTGCAATCGCTGAAAATTCTGGGTCAATTGGAATTGAAGGTTTTCTCGGTGCACTTTTAAAGTCTGATGAAAGCCTTTCGAATGATATTACTTCGGTGGCTGGTACTTTATTGAGCATTGTCGATGTCTTGGTTTCAAGTGATCACGAAGTGAATGTAGATGATTTTGTGGCTGAATTGAAATCTTCTGAAGGCGATGATGAAACCACAGTGGGTGTAGTACTTGAGATAGTCATTAAATTATTCAAAATTAATTTATCAAAGGAAGCTATTCCATCAGATATTGCTAAGACACCAGTGAAAAAATCGGATATTATAAACGCACTCAAAGAGAAAACCGGATCGATTGGTACCAAAGATATAGTCATCGCACTCGGAATTGCCAACGATCAACTGTTGAATCTTCTTGTTTCACTTCAAAACACCGGATTGAGCATTATCAACGACCTATTTTCAAATGCCAAAAATAGTTCGGTTTCTGTTTCCGCACTTAAAACAGCACTCACTGCACTGGACGATGATGCAACATTGGGTGAAATTCTCACTTCGATCGCAAACGTAACTGGATTTCCACTTGTTGGAAATATTCCTCCTCCCATCGCCAATATAAAGTACTTAAGCCACTCATTAAACTATTGGATGCACGCAGGGGAAAGATTCCAGTTGCACTAATTGCAAGTTTGATTGGATTTATTGTTCCGGCGCTATTGGTCATAACCGTTACACAGATTTTAAGCGGCGTTGTGGCAGTGATTGGAATTGGTGTTGGTGGTTTAGTGGGATTAGTAGGAGCTTTGCTTGGAGGGATAATTGGTGGTATCATTGATCTATTCACGGGATAGGCCAGATATTCACCACTTCAATGACCTGATGATAATCGTTTGTTGTGTATTAATCAGACAAGGAGTGTCATCACTATAACAATCACTTGAGCTCAAATATCTGGATGACAATTATTGATAATAAATAAATGGTCTGGTATTAATGAAAATAAAGCAGAATTTGATGTAAAGAAGCTACTGTGTTCTTATTATCTAAATCAGCGATTCCCGCTGGTGGTCCGCGAAGCTTTAAAAAATGGGCCGCGAGCATAATTTGAGTGCGAAAAGATTTTTTTTTTTCATGAATTAAACAGCTTTTTAAGTCATCCAAATAAACTCGGAAAAATTCATTAAAAAAATGTTAAGATAAAAAAATGTGTTATTATTTATTATACATTCGAAGTTTTTGGTGGGCCGTAGCAAGTGTTTTTTTTTTCCACGAATTGGGCCGCGAGTCTAACTGAGTTGGGAACCGCTGAATCCGAATAAAGCCATTTTAAAAGAGAAAAAATTAATACAAGCGAACTGATGAATCATACGAATCTGTATCCTCTAAATGAAGTTCATTATTTCCCTGATCATGACATACCGATGAAATAAAAGTAAAAATAATGAATTCGTATCTGTAGGCTAATGTGAAATGAACGGACATCTGTAGTATCCGCCCAATTCATTGACGGACAGTTTATGTAATTTCACTAAGCTGGAAAAATAAAACAGATCAGTTCATTGGGCGTTCTCTACATTTTGCTTTGATCTTGATTGACTTTATTTAAAAATTCTCTTTTATTCCTTATTTCTTCAGACAGAGACAAGAAATTCAGCAGACAGAGATTATAATATAAGAAGATGTTTGTGAATTTAAGCTTCAGTGGATGATTTTTTTAACATCCTTACAATGGAAACATCCGAAATTGTTATTTGGTTTTTGAAAGTGTTCAAATATAATGGCCTATGGCCACCAAACAGTTTTTCCATATCGTACACTATTTGGTCGATTGTCGTCATTTCATTCATTTTCATTTTACACTTGTTATTTAAGATATGTTCTGTGCTTTTTGCGAAATCCGTGCACGAAATGGTTGGAATTTTACTTATTTCAAGTGCTGTACTAACATACGTCCTCAGCAGAGGTCCGAGGGGTCCGATTACCCCCCCTGACGAAGTATTACCTCTTAAAAAATTTCAAAGAATTCTTTCAATTTGCTGGGGATTTTGGCCAAAAAAGTGAGGACCTTTTTTTTTGCTCTTCAGTTTTAGTATGTACGAATATATGTATTTTTTTCGCCTTAAATTTTGGAAAAGAAATGTATGTGTTTTGCCAATTCTGTCTTTCTGAAAGGGAAGTATGTTTTACACCAACAAAAATTTGTAAAAGGAAAGTATGTTTTTCGGCTGAATCAGTTGTTGATAAAGGAATGCATGTTTCGCACTAAATAAATTTTGCAGAAGGCTAGTAAGTGATTCTGAATCAGTTGTTAAAAAAGAGATGCATGTTATGACGATTTTTTCTGGAATTGGGCTTTGGTGGATCCTCCGGATGGACCAGTCTATGGTTTGACAATGTCATAGCCTATCCTGAGGGTCCACTTCCAGAACTAGGAGCGGTTCTGAACGATCCTGAGGATCCACTGCAGTCCACTTCCAGAACAAAGACACTTACGTTCTTTTATCCAAACGAAAACAATGAAACATGCATCTCTTTTCCAACAACTGATTCAGCCGAAATACATACTTTCTTTTTTAAAAAATTTGAACCATGAAAAAACTTACATTCCTTTATTGCGACAAAGTCGAATACACTTGCGTTCTTTTAGATCTCACCAATAGATATGTGTTTGTAGGTGTTTGATTTTCTAAATTGAAACTTCATTGACATGTTTTAAATTTGTTTGATTAAATATAATGCACATTACTATCAATAAATGTCATGTATATGATGTATGTATGTAACGTAAATGGGAAAATAAAGTCTCGTTTCATCCAACCAAACTCAGCAATGCATTACGATCGATTGTCACAGGACATTGTGGCCATCTGTAATCACCACTTGGACAGAATTGAGAGGGATAGTGTGCAAAATGGACATCTTCAATTTCACATCTCCAGGAAACTATGTTGAATGCAAATTTTTGTTGAACACATAAGCAATCTGGTCCAAGTCCAATGCTTGCGATCGGACACTCGCGACCGACAATACTCTTGCATGTAAACTCTTCGGGTACATAATAAAATCCAGGTTTCTCACATCTACATCTCGGATGCAATCCAATACTTTCACTTCCACATTCGACATAGCATTCATTTATATACGCGCTAAATACATGATTTTCCAACTCACATTCACATTCTGGATAAATGCCTGGAAAATGAAATTTGATCTTGATTTTTCCGGTATTTCACGTTTTATATTGTAATATATACCAAAAAAAATACAAACCCGTCGAATTTATTGGACATTCGATGCATTTTCTATAGCTCTTTGCAAACAGCCCGTTGTTACACTCACAATTTGGATACGTTCCGTTTGAATTTACTGGACATTGCAAACATTCATTCGCTTCTTTATCATACTGATTTGGTTCATTGCACATACAAGATGGATGGGTACCGGTGCTAGAATGATATTTGAATTGAAATCCATTAATTGCAACCTTAAATGCAAATCTTTACAAATCATGAAAAAACATAAAAATAAAGCTTGAAAATTAAAATGAACCTATTTGATGGACATTCATTGCACGTATTATTTTCTTTATCATACGTTTGAGTGCCGCCACAAGAACAATTTCCGTACTGTCCCATTGCGCCCCATGGACAATTTTCACAATAGTATCCATTAAATAATCCGCCATTTGAACATTGACAATTTGGAAATATACCCTCACTTCCGTACGGGCATTGTTCGCAAAAATTAGCATACATGTTATATTCTGTTGCAAAGAAAGTGAAAATTCAATTGAATTCAATATTACAGTCGTATGTGTCCTTGATTTATTAACCTGCACCATTGTTGCAAACACACTTCGGAATTTTTCCGGAGCTTCCATCAACGCAAAATTCGCATATATTTCGAAGTTCATTAAAGGTTGCATTTTTATGTATGCATGAACAGTTTGGGTATATTCCAATGGAATCTTCAATGGGGCATTTCATGCATTCGTTTCGATAACTATCATACGTGCCAGTCTTACCTAAGAGTTGATCAGAAGAAAAGAATGGATCAGGAATGGTAGAGTAATGGAATAGTAATTTTTAAGTAAGTATGCCTTGGTCTTACCACAGTCGCAATCAGGATAGAGTTGGCCTTTTTCACTATCTGCTGGACATGTTAGACATTTGAATGTACCTGCGATTGAAATAAATCATCAGTTCCGTTTGATAATAACATAAACAGAATGTCAAAAAATGAAAATATCTCAATCTTAATTAAGAATATTTAAGTAACTCACTCTTATCGAATATCGCAAATTTTTCATCACATTTGCAAGTGGGCCAATGACCGGTACTATGTTCCGGACAAACTCGAAAGCAATCATTTATATAGGCACTGTAGGCAAAATTCGGTTGAGTGCAAATGCAATTGGGATAAGATGATTCAGCGGTGCTGGCGGTAGGACAATTTGGATTTGGACAAGTATTTGTCATATTATCGTAATTAGATCCATATCGGCAAACGCAATTTGGTGGATATCCTTCACTTATTGTTGGACACTCCCAAAATTCATCACATGATCCAACCACAAACAATAAACACAATACACAAACGGTCACCAAATCAGTTTTATTCTAGAAACGAAGAGTGTCATTTACTTTTGATATTTACTATTGGATTATTTTTAAAATATATTTACCATTTCCATTAAAACAAACCAATCTTTGTTACATTGACAATCGACTGAATAGGCGACAATCAAGTCTCAGCGAAAGAGACATCAAAATGTATAATCGCATGCAAGATACGTGAACACATCTAAATATGAAGTACAAATAAAACCGGTTATTGTAGAAAGAAGATGTGAATAACCAACGTCGATGAACAAACAGAATGAACAAACAACTAGTAATTAAATGAACGCCACCTAATTGAAATTGAAAAATAAAACATCAACGTTTTCATATTTCAAGGTCAATTTGATCGTTTGCGACAAAAAGAAAACAAATCTCTGAATGCCAAAAGAAGGATTAAACTGTTGAAACTGTAGAATAAAATCAAAATAAAATCTTTATTTCAAAAATTTCTTTTTTTTTTCTTCTTTCAAGTATAATAACAATTTGACAATTAAAATAGAAAAAATGTTTCCGTTTCTTTGAATGTCCATAAAAATATTAAAATAATGTTGCAATCTGTAATGCTGCTGGTTTCTTTTCTTTAAGTTTTCATATAATATAAATTCTACAATTCTGCTTAAAAACGACAACACGGTAATTAATTAGAATGCACCATCTAGGATCTAAGAAACTATTAAATTAGGGCCTGTGTCGTGATTTGATGATAATTTGTATTTTTATCGAAAGTACACAATTACATAATCTAATGCATAAAACATGTTAGCCATTTGATCAAATTAACATGGAAATGTTATTCAATTTCGAACGCAGTGCTAATGTGTGTATCAAACTAATCATTTTTAAGCATAAAATGCATTAACAGTGAACATATACTATATGTTTTCATAAAATTTTAAGTAGTTAATTAGACTGAATGTTTGGATAAATTCATAAAATCGTCTCTTTTAGGGGCATTTGGTCAAGTGCTTCTGGATGGCAGATGGAATACTGTCTTTTGTTTTTGATTGTGTACAACGACCCAGTAATTCTTCGCACGAACGCGAACCTTCCTGTATTTCCTTGGCCTTTTTCAATAGATCATAATTGATTCGTTCGGTTACAACGGAATCTTTCCTTCGGTTACAATGGAAGAAAAATAAAATGCTTTAGTATACACACGCATGAATTGAATCATCCCAGTAAACTTACTTGTATTCGGGATGATTGGTAACTTCTTGACGAATCCACGAAGCAGTGGTTAAAAGTTCGCCGGCAGCACGTCGTTGAATCAATCGAATGTATCGTTGAATCGTGCAGTGTGTGTCGGTGTCAACATCCATCGACGCCAAATAACTGTTAATTAATGGAATTAGGCCAGGGAACGTTGAACCATTACCATTTATAATTTGATCAATGGTCATAAGCTCGTATTCATCATCGTCTGTGGTCTCGCCATTTGTCGTCGAGTCATTGTGATTGCTCGAATTATCACTTTTAGTGTTGATATTCTTTCTGAACCAAAATCGTTCGTCACGGTATGCATTTCGTTTTTGTGCTTTTTGCATGTTCTCGTCGACCTTGCTGATTGGTATTAAAAAGTTCAAGTGATACGATAGAATAACACGTGTAAGCAGCACAACAAAACAAACGATGGCAGCATTTTCAAAATCAGTTAACTGAGCTTCGCATGGCCGAAATTCGACACGCCAACCAATTTTCGAGTTTGGTGGTGGTGGCTTGAAGCGCATTGTCTGCCAATTGGTCGATTGTATATTTTCAAAGTGATCCGTATCCTCTTCATCATTTTGATCAACTTTTTCACTGAACAACGACACCGAATCACGAATGAACAAGTGTGCAATGTGCTGAGCCAATAAATGATCAATATCACCATCGCGCAATTTTTGATAAACACTTTCATCGTATACCAAAGGCACATCATTGTATCTGCAACATAATTAAAACGGTATTAATTTCAAAATATTTGAAACAATGCACAATTCGAAGTAAATTCCATCCTTACTTTTCTCCTTCTGGCGATAAATATGAATCGATACTGTCGTATCTGGATTTTTTGATTCTAAATTGATTTTCTTTGAGAGGTACTTCACCGCGTTCTTCTGCCGTTCGACAATCCACCGATGCACTAATCACATTCCAACGACAGTCCGAATCAACGAGATATCCGCGAAAAACTGGCGAGGCAGCCGTCAATGCCAACATAATTGGACACAGTGGTGTCAATTGATCGTATAGAGTACGTGCTTCGGTTATATTACATGCCTGCAATATTCAATATATTAATTAATTTTCTCACATTTCGATGAATTCTCTAGAAAAACATGTGCAAATCGAAAATCATCATACTTGAAATGTTAGTTGCAAACAGCAACATCCCATGCCAAATCCCATTGCATCCATATGAACAGCATCTGGTTTATCGGCAGGTGCTCCGTCGACGGGTATCTTTGTATTTTCATCTTTGAACACGGTTAGCCTGATATCGACCTTTTCACCGCGTCGTTGTCGAATATTTCTGGTCAAAGTCTTGAAAAAAGGAATACCAAATTTAAGATCTCTTTCAATTCTTGTTTGATGAATGTGTGATATGAGAATATTCGCTTGGTACCTTGAACCGCGGATGACCGGGAAAGATGGCCTCATCAGGGAAGTATAACGAACGAGCTGAGCCATCAACGTTGTCCGGTTGGGTTTTGTATATAGGCCATGTAAAATCTAATGTTCCCAAACGTGGGAAATTTGTGAGCGACATCACAGCTTCGTCATCGTTTAAAAGTTCAGTAACTTCTTGTCGTCTGTATCTCATGTTTGCCTCAACAACATTGAAATGAGCCAAAAGGCCACCATATGGCTGTCCAGGCGTTCCCTCAATCATATAAGCTCCATATTCTGGACGCCATAATGATTTGACACCTGAAAATTTACGTTAATTGTTATTAATAGATTCATCGAATATTAACTTTTCAATAGTTCATACCAGTTGGATCATCTGCCTCTCTTTGATTCAAAATAGCCAATAATTCTTGAGCTCGTAGTGGAACACGTGCAACCTTATTTTTATCATCAAATTTCACTAAAATGTATTCCACCTGAAAATAAATTAAACACAATTACAGTTTCATAACTCCATGCAATTCACAATGACTCAATAGAAAGATAGATGATCAAATATCCATTAAAGCAGAGTCATTGCGAATGAGTCGTGCACAAAATGACGACCAAATTGCTTTTATCATGAATAAATACCTACCTCATCGCCCCATTTTAAAACGTCACCCGTTCGATCCTTCAATCGACGATACAGATTTATAAATTGCGTGATACCATGCTCACGAACGTGTTTCGACAGTTTTTTTGTTTCTTCCCATGATAGTGGACTTCCTTCTGTCAATAGACCCATTTCAACTTTTCAGTTTTTTTTATTTCACAATCAAATCTGAAAGATCAAAGAAAAGAAGATGAGAAAGAAAAATACCATTTCAATTTTATTATCTGATTTTGAAATATTCAAAAAGAGCAGTTCATCTAAATATCTGTGTAGCTAAATTATACAGAAACGGAGAATATCAATAGATAACTAGATGGACTGCTCTGTGATCAAATAGCTTAATACACTCAATATGGAAAATCGATATATCGAAAATCAAATGTTCATTTTTGTGCTGACATTCAGGAAATAAAGCACTCTCCACTCAATCAAAGCGAAATTTTATGAATTTGTAAATAAACCCCAATGAATCACTAAAGACAACAAAATAGCGATAAAATTGTAATGGTATCATAAAAACGTGAAAATATGAATAAATAGCGTGATTACGATGTGAATTGCTCGCGTTTATTGTGACATTTTTACAATTTTTTAGAATTTAGAAAATATGTAATGACCACTTTAAATATAATAGATGTAATTTAATACAACGTCATACAGTTTCACATATTGGATTTATAACAAGCAAAAAATTGCTTCTTATCACCGTATTATTTTTTTCCAATTAATAAACTCATACAGGTGCTTGTATTTGCCACACAGCGCATTTTAACATGTATTAAGACATAAATAAATGATAAAGTTGTATGAATTTATCAGCAGTCTGTTGCGCATCTTAAATACTCGAAATAGTTCAATAAAAGCATGATGTAGCACAGTGAGCGCGGCGGTCACATGTCAATCGCACTGGATTTTTTTTCAATAAGCTTTTTCCAAGTATCAATAAAATATACTTCTGCGCGCCAATTAGATTATTTATTGGTGCCATTTCTCTTTTTTGACCGAACTGAATACTTTATACAATGACAAGAGTCATGTTTTTAGCGGATGGACACAATCAAACCATTTCGGTTTTTTTAATTAAGATTAGATAACCCGTTCTGTATGCAAATGTAAGTAATTCATATCACAATTGCAACATAATCACAGTGTCTATTTAAATAATCCGTTTCGTTTTATTTTACAAAATTTATAATTAGAAGCATATATCTTATTTATTTAAATCGAGTATGGACACTCGCCCAAATGTCGGACTATTTGTTTGAATTTTCAACTTCAATTTAATATTTAACATTTTTGATTTCATGAAAAAATATCACTTTATACACAATTCGATGCAGAATTTAATTGTGCTTCATTTCACGTTTCTCAAAAGATAGTAATTTCCAAAAATGTATTATTTTTTTCCATTTTTTCGTCATAACATCGAAAATTCCAAATGTCGGATATTCATCGTCCAATTCTCGGCTCCCTAATCTCGACATATTTCATGAATTTTCACTACGAAACTTGTAAACTTCAAGTTTTGACAGCCCATGAACGCACTATTTACATTGAGGTAAACAATACAAAATATTGGAGTTAAAATTATTAGATTGATATATTTTTGCTCCATATTTTATTTAACTTATTTTTCTATAGTAAAGTGGCAAAAATATTTAAAAATATTACGTTATTTCACTGATCTAGAATATTTTTGGTTTGAATTTCACAATGATCCAAATACGACTTTAACTGTCACATCTGTCAAATCCAAAGTGTTTCACTTGAAACTTCGGTGCTTTATGTGTCGGCAATTGGACGATTTATTCCGGAATAATATTACAGTGAAAAATGAAAAATAAATATAATTGTTTTTCTTTATATTTTCAAAATTTCTGTTCAATAATTAAATTAAACTATCTACAATTCGCCGATATAAATTTTTTTCCAAACTAGTTATTTTTTCATTTAAAAAAACGCATTTTACCGGCTTGTCTCAAAATGACATAGTTTAACTTTTGACGTGAAAAAGTGATAAAAATGCCGAATTTTTTTTGAACGTAATTTGTGAAAGCAATAATAGATTTTTGATTAAAATTTGGATTATAATAAAGAGATTTGATATTGATCTTTCATAATTTACTTTTAAAAATGCAATTCAAATGAATTTTCAATTTTTAATTTCAATTCACCTTTCGGTATTCCGACATTTGGTCGTGTGTCGACATTTGGCAATCTACTGTAATTATTGGAAATATTTCATTGCAACAATTATCATAATAAAATGTTGTTTCTGTCGGAATCCGACTAGTTCACTTATCAATGAACAAATAAACGCTGTTACTCTCACAGCGCCACGATGTAAACAACGCTCTGTGATAAATGACAAATAAGCTTAAAGTAAGCGGAAAACTTAAACAAAATCGTTATTGTTTGCCGCTAAATTCGAATGATGGTTTGCATGTGTGCGACAAATTGACCTTGATATGTTTCGCCTGACTCGTTTCTCAATTGCTGACCATATTTAAACAAAAAAAAAAACATTTTCATTCATTCGAATCATTTTATTGATTGTTTTAATGATTTGTAAGCGGATAAATCAAACTAAACATGACTTGCAACAAAATTCCGTAGTTCACAGAAGAAGATATGAGCTAAATAAACAAACAAACCAAATAATACATATTTGCCGATTATCAGCAGAATGTATTTAACGATCAGCGTTCAGTTTGAGTCATTGAATTCGCGTTATAAATGAGATCTTGTGCGTCATTTGTGCAAAACGATTTATGAAATAAATCAATTTCGATTCGACCATCAAACAAAACGTTCCTCATAAGCGTATATATTTCTTGCGTAACACTTCGAACCAAACAGATCATAAAAAAACCATAAAATTTTATTTTTACCGAGAAATTATTCTGAAATTATGGGTTCATTAAATAGAATACAGCAGAAACAAAAAAAACAGTCTAACGACTCACAATTGCACACTATTCTTGGTGCCGCGATACTTGGTTTTGTCTTATGCGCTTCCACTTAAAATGCGATTATGTAATTCATATAATCATCCAACCAATGTACTTGGAACTGTTCATTAGGAATAAATTTGCTGTCAGATGATTGTATACAGCGATTTTAATTAAAAAAGAATATTTGAAATTCGACACTACAGAAAAAAATTGCAGAGCACAGCAAAACATAGTCGCCTCTCTTACTATATAATCACTCTAAATTTAGCCGACTCGACATTGGCCCAACACTTATTTCATTCACCGAAAATTCCATATTAAATAAACCAAAAAATAATGGGCATTCCCAATTGAATGCAACGCACGGTGAACAATGTCAAAATATTTTAAATATTTTTCAATGACATCATCAATATTGAGATAACACAAAATTTTATTTTATTTCAATTGAGATAAGAAGCAACAAGATAAATGTAGAAAATATGGTGAATTCAATAGAATTTCACCGTCACAAAGTGTTGCTATAACATTAGAGCAATGTCTTCACTTGGACATTTTTTGGGGGTATTTTTTTCTTGAGAAAATGACACTATTGATTTTATACTAACATTATACAATTAAAAACACACAATTTCTATACACAACGCAATGAACACGATTATTATACACGACTTGATTCACGATCCAGTTCTACTCACTACGGCAGTTTTGGCCAGACTAAGTTTATGTTTTTGGATTGTCGTAATTTTTATTTCAGTCTTAGCACATGAGTTTCTTACATGAAAACGCACATTGGCATTTTACTATTGAAAAATCGTACATGTATCCAATACATTTATATTGTGTCAGCGACTATGACGTTTATCAGAGCACTTGAAATGTCATTTTTCACATATGAATGACGTTGTTTATTTGTTGGTTTTTATTTTCGCTGTCAAATGGACTGTCACAGTCAAATGAAACGTTCAATTATGTAATTGACACATTTACGACACTTGACCAAATAAAATTTTATTTGAATTTTGTTTCCTTCAAAAAGACATATTTTTTTTAATCAAGTACCTTGTTGAAATTTCGTTTAGAATACGCATCGTATGGTTGCCTCGGAATTCATTTGAATGAGAAAAAATTCCATTGAGAGTTTTCTACAGTGGCTTTCATTCATTAGTTCATTCACAATAGTTTATTATCGAAGACACACATGAGCACTTCGACTTATGTACACTGCGCACCGCCATCTTTGAATCAAATTATAAACCATTGTCACAGTAATATTTCGCGCTGAATTATTTGTTTTGAAATGCATCACAAATAACTTGATTAATGTAACTGACATTACCATTATTTTGAGATGTTATCAATCAAACCACTACTCTATGCACTTAATTAAAAACAAGTGTACGAAAGAGATTTTTTTGTTGAAATTATGTCATTATTAACTATATAATCGAAAGGGATTTATTAACCACCATCATAGTGTTTTTATTAGATTTCTGATCGATAAAGTGTAACCAAGAGCAAATTACGATGTAAATATCATGGGGAGTGAAGCTCTCATGGTGCCCATATTCTATAATATACTACACAGATATAATATTGATGCGAATATATTTTCGATTAATTGACAGGGGTCAGCTAAACATTTGATCTGAATTCCATCATTTAACTATAATTGATTTAATTTAATAAGCGTGAGACCACCATAATTAATTCAAATAAACAATCGAATTTTTCGGCGCGAGAGAGAGATCGAGAAATAACGAATTCATTGCAAATGTGATTTTAAAAGAGATTTAATATATTGATTTAAGTTATTGCGGTGCTTGCATTCCATTCCAGTGATAAATTGGCCAAAACGGCGGGCTCATTTATCGTGAACTTTGTGTTTGCGCATCAAAAACAACAGAAAAATCCATATCGGCCTTTTGTAAGTGTGTTTGTTGCTTTTTTTTTTTAGTATCAAAGTAGGTCGTTTTCGCAAGAATTTTTATTGAGATATTACTTCATATTGGAATTTTCGTATTATAAGGGCGTAATGCATCAAAAAAACAAACAACAAAAATTGAGATATTTCATTTGTGACGTGTAAAATGCTGAAATATGGTCCTTCTTCGTAAAAAGGAAACCTTCTGGCCACACACAGGCCACAGTGCTGTTTTCATTCAGGCGTATTTCTTCTAGTTGCGCGTGATATCCGCTTGTAACTCATTCACACATTATCAGTGTCTTATTCTTGAATGTCCGTGCGATGAATGTGACAAACACGCAATGACACAAGAATTTCCGTAGCAATACATGTTTTTCGTTTATTACATATCAAAATTTCATTACAATGTATTACAATCTATGTGTGTAATACGTTTATGCTAGTTTTGTTTGTCACCATAAACTAGAACGAACTATCATAAAATCGTGTGACAAACAAAACGTATCAAATCATTTTGGTGCTGCTGCTGTTGTTTTACTTCAAAAAAATAAAATAAACATGATGTAATGATTCACACATACACACACATACACACACCTAACCAGATACGCACACGCATAAAGAGACCGAACTCACAGCACAACCAAACAGAACAGAACAGAACAGAGAAAAAAAATGTTTCTCTGTATTTGATTCGAATGTTTGTCGAGTTTCTCTTACTCTGTGTGGAATCGCGCGCGCGTTTTCACTTCCATTGACTGCATAACGAAGGAGGCGCACGTTCAATGTACGATACGAGCACTTACGAAAACACAGGCACAAATACAGATAAATAACATCGTCGATGGTAGACTCAGCCAAACATGCAACCAAACGTACCAAGTGACGGCCGAAACGGTAAGCAAAATACAGTCGCTCAGACAGACAGCCAGCAAAACGATACGCATTTATATTGAATTAAGGGGAAAATCGACTATATCCATCGTCGAATTAGTCGCATTTCATAAGGTTGAATAAATAGACGCGTTTATATTTTGCATGATTTTAAAGAGAAACACATGATTTTAAAGAGAAACAGTTTTTTTTCTTGTGTTCACAAACTATCTATATAAATATTATCTTATTTTATTGGAATTGAGTTGAGGGAGAGAGAAAAAGTTCCGTTCGTTTGAAGTTGTGTTTGAAAAGTTTTGTTTTTGCTTCTTTTGTATTTTCGTCGTCACTTTGACACCAAATAAAATTCAGTGCTGTGTTTTTATTTTTCCGTTTTGATATCAGTGCTTATTATTACACGTAATCATAAGACAGCAACAACAAAAAAAGTTATAGCCTCCTGAACTGATTTGACAGAGAGAAAGAGAAACAAGAATATACATCTTATAGCAGATTGTTTATGGTAAACGTTATCATTTTCATTTCAATGTTTCAACTTGTTTTTAATAGAGCAACAAAATTTCGGGTGACAAAAGTCTATTCGTCGAAATATGACGAAGACGACGCAGTGATGAGCCCAAAAAAAAAAAAATTGTGAAATTCGGTCGGTCGGTCGGTTGGTGTGTGTCTAAACAACAGTATTTGCTAATGTTCCCTTTGGAAATACAGTTCGGCAGAAGTGAGAGAAAATGTGTGAAATAAATTCGAACGAAATTATGTTGGTTTCAAATGTGCGCGTTTTTTTTCTTCTATTATCATTTTCGTTTCGTTTTGTTAATTTTGTTTTTGTTTCATTCCGCGGGCCGCAGCAAAATAGGTTTACAAAACATGCATTTAGTAAAATATGTATATATACATGTGTATATATAGCGAATCAAAATGAGCGTGGGAAAGAGAGAGAATCGACGGTAAAGAATGTTCGGTGTAGTTTAAATAAAAAAGAACGAAAGAAGATTGTTATGGAGTGTAAAAGAACATACCGACGACACAACGACACACAACACACAGACGTTCACGTAAACGATGTGATGATGGCGATGAAAGAAGACGAAGAAGAAAAATGAAATCCAAAGAAAAGAAGAAGAAAAAAAAACGAAAAAAGAAGAAGACCTCTTTCGATACAAACACATCGATGGCAATTTGTTATTTTTGTTGTTTTCGTTGTGTATTCTATTTTATTTTCCGACCGCCAAATATACATGTAAAGGCTGTCTGGTAAATTGGCTTGTAGACTCGTGTAACAGTTTGTGTTTGAGAATATACAAGCGCATGCAGTACACTATACAGGCAACCATACACTCTATGGATGTGTATAGAATGTTCTGAGAAGCATGCAGTTCTACCGAAATCGATGTGTACGTGTGCATGTGCACGAATATGAAGTTCACGCGATTATTTTGTATTTTATGATTCCGATATATTCGTTTCGAACCGAACACATTTTTGTTTTTATTTTTCTTCGTTTCGTTTCGTTTTGGTTTTTTCATTCAGTTTTGAAGCAGCAGATTTGACGCATATATATCTATATATGCATGTGTGTATTTAGTTTGGTCGTTTGAGTGTATTGAACTTTATGTGTTTGCGCGCCTTTATCGCTCGTTTGGTGTGTTCTATATCGCGCGTGCATACGCTTCCATGTAGACAACGATAACGACGACGACGAACACACGGAGAAACAACAAAAATAAGAAACAAACAACAATTTATAGGGTGAACGGATGACGCTATTTCAAATCAAATGCCATACATATCTTAAGTAAATTGAACGGCCCTGTTAAAATATAAACAGTCACACCGAGACACAAACACACGCGCACACATACTCAGCAGTACATATTATCGTGCGCTAAGAATGCAAAAGCATTTGTATGAGTGAGCGCGCATCAATGTGTACGAATGTTATGAGTAAAAGTGTTCAGAAGCCACAAACATAGGCAGGGAGTTCTATACGAGTTTATGCAATAAAACACTAACATTTTATTCCTGTATCATTGTCAACGACACAATTTTTCACCAAACACCCTGTTTGAATATAATACGAAGTTCAAGCAGTCTTTTTTTTTCTTCTTTCGTTTGGCCGACGTTTGTTTTGTCAATGTTGTGTGCCGCCGCTTTCTTCTTTTCAACATACATACAAACATATATACATGCGTACATATGTACATACACATCAGATAGACTGTTGTTTTCGTTATTATCATTATTATTATTGTTATTTTGTGTTCTCGTCGTATGCTCTCTGTGCATGATACACACAATTGAGACTTCTTTCACGCAAGGCGTCCGATGTACGCGACAGTTATATAGATTTGAGTGAACCGTACACACACGGTTTTTCTGGTGTAATGTGCGATTAAGTGATTACTTTGTCTGCCTACAGAAAAGACGAATAGAAATCAATTCAAATATACGTTCCGAATTTAAAGACCAGAGAGTTGTTAAACCAATACTTGAAACGAACTTGTTTTGGACTTTTATCGTTTGAAACAAAAAAACCAAACCGAATAAAATTTTACACAATCAAACCATCCGGTGAAAGAAAAAAAACGTAATAAAATGTGTTAAATATTGGACGGAGAGAAAAAAATATTCAAACAAGAAATACACATGTGCTTTATTTGACAAAGTGACAAAAAAACGACACCCAAAATAATTTCTTCAAATTTATTGAACTTCATTGAAAACGCGTGCCCAAACAACATTTCGTTTTTCAAAAAAAAAAAAAATCATTTTCTTAAGGTGTCGCCTTCTGTCGAATGTTTTGATGTTTCAATTTTGATAATTTTACTGATGTTCCTATCACATTAATGGTTTTATTTATGTGCAAATTTTGACGGAAATAATAGTATTTCATGTTATTTTTTTTTTTGTATAAATTGACAAATTCGGAAAAGGAAAAAAAAGTACGAAAAATTATCCAGATTGTCATGAAACGAGTGAATGGATTGTGACACACAGAGAAACGAAAAAATAAAGAAGAAGAAGAGAAAAAAAACAACACACACCAACAGCACGACATTTTATTGATTAGCCTTTTTGTTGGCATTTGGCACTGAATTTCTGCCGTAATTTCAAGTGTTTGGAAAGTGAATACACAGGCTCAAAACACAGAGCTCGTTCTTTTTTATTCCCAATTGTTATATATACAATTTATTCTAGCTCTCTCTCTCTCTCTCTGTGTCTCTGCCTCTGTCTTTTCTGTGTACTCGTGCGAATATTATTGGATTGTATTGGTTGGTTGTGTTGAGAGCCTGTGTACGATGTTTAACTGTGTGATCAAATTATTGTAAGAAATGTCGATTTTGGTGTGCGTATGAATTTTGTGGCATCCTTGATGTTTATATACGTCTACCTTGTGTTATTGTGTGTTGTTGTCATCGTTGCTGTTTTTATATTTGAGATTTGCTTCGCTCACATGTGATGCGAGAATTGATTTTGTTTCGCAAATTTCATTCTATCACAAAAGAGCGAGGAGAACAGACAGCTTATTCTCCTAAATATTTTATTTGTCTCTTTTTATGTGAGCAACTTTTTGATGGCGATGTGTAAACACTGTTAGTTTTGGAGACAACACAGAAATACAAACAGTTTGTCAACTCGTTTTTTTCCTACATCGATAAATCTCCAAAATTGTTTATAAATCGAACATACATTGAAAATTGAGAAGTGAGCTCTTTTCGTCCATAATTAAGCATTGTCTACCAATGTGACAAATTTGTTTATTTTTGTTATGGTGTACATTTGACGTTCAATGGATATGTTGCCCATTTCTACGTCTCGAAATCGTTCGTTTTTCACTTGAATTTGGCTGATGTTGTTGTTATTGCCACGGCTAGCTATTTATTGAATGTGTGATTTCATAGGTGGCCTTCGCCTGGAGTGCGTATCAAAACAGATTTATTATTTAGAATTTGTGCGTGTGGTTTGTTTTTATATTTGTAAATTGAATAACGCGTTTGGCTTGTATAACTCTTGATAAACTGACTGAGTCTTGTTCATATTGATCGTTTTCATTCATCAGAGAGAAAAAATCGGTTGATTTGAATCAAAAGTGCTGACTGTATGTGATTCTGATTAAAATTTCATGGGAAGAGCAAGAGAGAAAATGATTCGATCTAAAAACCTGTCTTTCTTCCATTCAAATCACAAAATCTACGCAACAGTTTTTATCGTTATCATAGCATATACTTGAATGACACAGCACTCAACACATAAATTAAACAATTGCAACTATTTCCCTGTTTCAACATTTAATTTGAGCAAACATTTAAATTTTCCACGAGGAATATGTGTACGATGCAATTCAGAGAAAATCACGTGAAGACTCATTGTGTTGAGCCAAAAGGAGATTATGTTGAAGAATAAACTCGAATTTTGTCAAAAATTTTGTGTTTTCGTTGTACCTTACTTATTGAAACGCTTACTACACCGTTCATTGTTTCTGAATACGATTCAAGATTGGTGTATGTTTCTTTTGTGATAAAGTGCGTTGTGAAGTCTTCACTATTAATTGAATATAAACAGGGTGGCGCATATGATAGGGTCACTCTTAGTGGGTGAGAATTTTGAAAAACCCTTTGGGGGTATGTTGGGGGTAAAAAATAAAATATCTCTATCGGAGCAGAATTTTGTTCAATTCGTGCTCTCAATTGATTTTCATTGAGTTGATATGGCACCCATTTTCCCAATTTTCGGATCTTTCCCGTTGTATGCAAATGTCTAGAAATGGTTGCTCGGTCGACATTTAACACCATTGCAAGTTCTTTTTAAGTTTGACATGGATCTTCATACAATAATGCTTCCAATTCGACATCTTCAGATTTTTTTGGCTGGCCAAGGCGTTCTTTGTCTTCTGTCTCAAAATCACCACTTTCAAAGCGTCGAAACCAATACTCACAGGTTGAAACCGATTCTTCTCCGATAGATTTTTTTATTTTTTACCCCCAACATACCCCCCAAAGGGTTTTTCAAAATTCCCACCCCCTAAGAGTGACCCTATTATATGCACCACCATGTATATCTTTCAAAATATTCATTATTTTGAATTATTTTGAACTTGTAGTTGTCGAAGAACAACAACCACCACCTCTAATCAATCAGCAAGAGCAACTGCTTCAAGAAATACTTCAACAACTGGGCACTCTCCCAAAGATTGGAAAACTTGGAAAATCGTTTTGAAGCTCATGTTCAACAACATCTTCCTCCTCCTCCTGAAAACTAGAGGTAAAGTAAAAAACACTGATTAATTGCACACATCCCACAAAAATCTTAATATTATGAATTTCTTAATGGTGGCAATTTTGGCGCCGGGCCTATTTCACACATTTCGGTTGTCGCTGTGTGATATTTATTGAATTGAGCACTTAGTTTTAAGTTTTTGATCCATAGATAAACTCAATTTCAATTTTATGCTATTTGCAATTCCATTTGCTAACAATATTTTTCTTTCTATATTTTCATTCGTTTCACAGGAAAATTTGACGAAATACAATCAAAACAGTGAATGTGCTAGTGTTTTAATTGATTGGACGACAGTTTAACCAAAAGATAAATACGAAGAAAAAAAAAAACAAAGAAAAAGTACATTAATATTGATGGTGTTGTAGTGTCTTTGTCCAAACATTTGTAAGACCACCATCATCAGTGCGAAAATTATGTTGTGAAGTGAACATCCTAGTGAACAAGAGAGAAATAGAACATGAATCGACATTGTATTCGTCGCATTTAAATAATACGGGATTATTCGCGAGTAATATATAAAAAAATTATAGCACAAGGCAACGAATTGAATACATGCAATAAAATAGTGTAATTTACGTTTGAACACCAATTGAAGACAACAGAAAAAAAGGGAGAACACATTAAAGCGCCATAAAGAAATACGGTTCGCCACAACGATAGCCGATCGATAGGTAAATATAAAAGAAAATAAATATTTATTTTACGCATAGCTCAAGCACGAAAAACTAATTAAAAATTTCAAGTAATACTTAATCATTAAACTGAAACAAACACGTTTTGACGGTTACAATGCCAACGGGCAAGACCGATCGAATATTAATGCGCTTACAATTGAACAGAATAGCTAGAGCAAGAGAGATTATAAACAGTCTTTCCGGTCATTTTATTTCATTTGCTACTTCATGCCAAAACGCACCTTGAAATCACGGCAGCACAATTGCCGAAAACAACAACAACAAAAATTATGAATAAATTAGCTGTAAGAAATGTCCGTTGTTCTAACAGAACCCCCTCTGTCTAAGAATATGAACGCATCACTCTTTGTGAAATATGCGAACATAATCCTTGAGCTCAACAACAAAACATCATAATGAGAAACAACTCACAGAAGAAAGCCGAATAAGAAACAAGTATTGAAATTAGATTAAATCGTTGGCAGGAAGAAAGATGCAAATTAGCCCTCTTTGAATGGTTTCCCTTTACTATCTGTTTGATCACACACTTTGCCATTTTCTTTTCATCATTTTCTTCTTGTACATTTTGGCATGTGTGTCTATTTGAGTGTGTACTTTTCGCATTTTATGACCAGATAATCAATTTCCCGTGCGTATAAAAATCCAATATTGATTAACACTTCGGTTGTACGGACGAGTGAATGAATGCAATTCACAACATTGTGATTGATTTAAAACGATGGCTTGTTTTCTACTTGCAAACAAAGTCATACACACTTACACATGTTTCACATAAATTCTAAGTGGTTTGCTACTTGGGACAGGGACAAGAACAAACGATCAAAACAAAGTCGTAAAGAATGCAGTTTGAAAACAAGAAAATAATAATATATAGAGAAAAAAAAGCACGAAAAATAACAAAACACAACAAGAACAATAGCACATTCATTGCAATGTACTGTATGGCTGTACACATATATTAAATGCGCGCAAAACACGCGTTGCATTCGTGCCATCTATATGTGTATCTTTTATAAATAGACGATTGCATTTCAGTTTAAGTTTTTCAATTTTATTTCTTTTTTTTTTCTCTACTCTTCGTGCCTTTTTAGTTGTTCTTTTTTGTTCACGTTGTTATTGCCATTATGGTCGTCTTCGTTGTTATATTACGTAGTACATCAATTTTGATTATTCAACTAGAGTGAGTGTTGTTGTTTTTTTTGGGTTCGGAAGTTTCGCAGCACCAAGTAAACATTCGTAGTCTGATGGTGCTGTTGTTGTTTTCGCTGTTGTCGCCGTCGTCATTATTACGATTTTCACTGCTGCTGTCTCGCTTATGCCATAGAAGACAAACAGCGAGAGAGAGGGAAAGAGAGTATGCGAATGGCATTGTGAATTGCGCAGATAAAAATGCATGATGATGATTCGACAAAGTTAAAAGTTGCGAAAGCAGTTGAAATCCACACACGTTCAAATGAGCGCAAAAAGGAAAAACAAACCTAGTTACATGCTATCAAATTTATTAAATCAGGGACGTGAATATTTGGAATACGATTCCTTTTCACGCAGCAAACCAAAGATGTATTGTATGAGAAAATATTTTTTTTTTTTCATTGGTGTAAAATTCTGACCCAACTCACCATTTGAAAATGACACATTACATTTGTGTAAATCAATAAAATTATAATATAAAACGTAGTGTCAGCACCCGCAGAAAATGAACACGATGTACACCGCAGCGTAATTGTTCGATAGAGTTCGTATTTGTGTGGCCATTCATAAATTTATTAGTACATTTGCTTTCTAGTTTATTACATTTGATGATTATTACTACATACTAATTGAGCACAAATGAGCATTTTCCAGCTCACACGAGAACGAGATGAAGAGATGAAAGCCAAAACGCCGAAATGTCAAATGTGAATATAACTAGTGCACGGTTTTATTTGTTTATTTTGTTTGTTCGTTACATTTTTATGATGAGGGTGTTTCGGTAATGTGCATGTGCATTTTTATTGATGCATCTCGTTCGCTTTCCTCTCTCAATCATTCTCTGCCTCTCATTCGTAATTGCTTAGCTGCTGTTGAGCGCAGCTTATTTGCGTTGGTTGGAATTAAAAATGAAAATACGTCAAAAATAAAGTAATATATGAAAATAAACAGCGCCAATGCGATAGAAAATATCACACGATTGCAGCGTGTCATAGTCTCATCAGATCTATTTGGTTGAAATTGGTTTTGATGGCGCACAAGCGCCACTATAAAGTGTCTTGCCTATATAAGTGTGTAATAAACATTCAAGCAGTTGTAGTTATTCTTGCATTGAAAACTCATTTTGTTCCCGACTTACAACCTTATTTTCTATTTGACATGCATGCAAGCAAACAAATGTACCGTATCCGATCCTCTTTGGCTTAATATTGGTACAACAATCATTTACCAATGAACTACAACAAATGCACACCCCATCACAAACACAAATACATCGCGGTGGCAGCAAGCATTAGTTAAAATCCAATACAGTGAAAATTGATATGATAAAGAAACCGAATAAATAATAATAACAACAACAACAGACGGTAATACACTAAAAACAAATGAAAAAGCGGAAGAAGAAAATACGCGCGCACACAAAATCAACATTCATTTATTGGGCATTGACACACTCACATACACATATCCAATTGCAGTCCGCGTGTTACGCAAAACAAAAATACTATACTGCGTATTTTGATCTTGGTCGAGTGCTTCTTCTTTTCGCCCCACAACATTTCATTTGTATCGTTCATGTGCTTTGCTTAGCTTACTGTCTGCTGTTTGCCGCTTTATGTAGTGCAAAAATGAATCGAATTGTATATGTGCGTGCGATTCATCGTTATACATCGTATGGTATGGTTGTTTCTTTAGCAGCCATGCGCATTTCCTCCCTGTATCGTCGCCTCTCTATCCATCATACACAAAGTTGGACCCATTCAATTCACAAAACAATATCCACATGTGCACACCACGACGGGCACAACACAAATTCGCAATAAACAGACAACGGACACAACGCAATAACATGCATACATACACACATTTACACACACACACATACATACACATCGCATTGACATTCTCGACGCGTTTTTATTCACATTCTCGTGGCTGCGCTCGCTCTTTTCGCCTTGCCAATGCTCTCAGTGATTATTAAAAACGGAATAACTCTACTATAAAACATATTATATACGAAAATATATGTAAGTTTTGCTTGTATTCAATACGATAGTGAGTTTAAATGTGGCGCCGCCGTCTGCATACTCTTTTTATGTCTTTTTTCTATTTGTTGTTGCTACTGCCGTTGAGTTGTTTTTTTTTATTGCATTCATTGTGGCGATTGTTGTGCCTGCCTCGCTCAATACAGATTATAGGCTGGTTATGTCTGCTGGAGAGAATAAGATAATGTGATTTAAAGTGCATAGCGTGGAATTGATCCAAAATGTACGGCATACAGAAAGATATCTACAGATATTGATACATCAATAACGCAGCAATGAGACACCAACACAAATACCCGATCTATTCTACAATAGGTGCTATTTTCTTATTGATATATCAATAGTTGTAGATATCTGTCTCTCTTGTGTGCATGTGTACGACAAAAAGAAAACAACGGAATTGAATTTAGCTATGTATCCATTACGGACAAATATGTATCAAAGATCCGCTCGTTCATTTTATTTTTGTTATTTATTTCATTGCTATTCTCATGTTCATTTCGCTCATTATTTTACTGAAATTTATTTTAATGAATTGTGGAAGAAAATTTATACAAAATTATAACAGCACTCGTAAGAACTATCCAAGAGTTGAATAATAATAACAATAATATTGCATTACAATAATAACAACAATGAACAAAACAGAAAAAAAATTGGCGAACGAAATAATTTTATACATAGTAAACATTAGCAAAGCACATACAAATTTACGATGCGGCTTTAAATTAAGGCGGTCATGCACGCATCAACCAATTTCATTTTCGCTTTACAATGTTGCAATATGTGCACAAGCACATCACACAATGTTGCATTCTTTTCTAATGATATAATTTTTGATGTGTGTATGATTAATATTTAATTATAATCTTAATATTAATTAATGCGTTCATATATTTTATGCTGTTGAGTTACGTTTCAACATATCTACAATTGTGATAAATTGATGTGTTTTACATTTTCTGCAAGATGTTTACCATCACCAAGAGATCACGACTGCAAAAAAAAAGAGAAATGATTTAATGAAGCGGCGATAAACAAAGAAAATCTTAAATATACTTAATTTGACTGTTTTCATTCTTCATTTAAACTTTGTCTGCATTGCGTGTCGTACAGGTGAAACTGCGATTTAACTTATCTGTTCATCTATCAAAGTCAGACCAACTCTCTATCTCTCTATCTCTCCATATATACATCACTAAATGCATATGTATCTCGGAAAAATCTTGAGCTTGCCATGCGATTCTTATGAGCACGATTCGTTGTACCATCAACCGGAACATTTAATTCCTGTAAAACGTACGTACGTTTTTTCTATCTCTTTATTTTTTGCCGCCGCTGCCGTCGTTGGTTCGCTGTTGTTTTGGTTTTGTTCGGGTTTTTGATTTCGAGAATGCTCATCGAAATGTAATCTATTTTTGATGCAGCGACACTCTAGACAGCACTAAATTACGAGCGAAAATAATCCAGAGTCAGAGTGAATGAGCGAATAGTCAATAAAATGTACGCGATACATTTCATGCCTTGTATCCTTCCCTATATCTATTTGTCTCTGTCTCTTTCTACCTTCATTCCGTTGCACTCACGCTCTTTGCTCACGCTTCGATTCTTGGAGACATACGCTTTTATGGCATTACGCGATTTGGCTGAGCTTAAGATGCAGTATTTTATCACTTTTCCCATTTTCCGTGACAGTCGCAGATGCCAACAAATCAAATGACCGTAGAAATGGGTAATTCA